TGCTATAGACGAAACACATTCCTCATATAAATTACTAGGCGCTAGCATTATAGCGTACTTTTTTAGTACGTTGGGGGCCAAGTAAATTCGGTATTATATCGAATCTTCGGTTTCAGAACGTTTATTCTTTCGTCAAGGAATAGATTTCACGTATTTTACCATCACTGCTCATGAGACACTTGCATCATGCCAAGACCACACTTTGATGAGGGCCACCGAGGCCCATGGTGATGGTAGCGACAATCCCCTTCCTCCTCGCAGTCCCTCGTCTCGCTCTCCCTTTGATCGATGAAAATTTGCTATTCCTTTTCGTCCGCTTGCTGATGGCGTTACCTGCTCGCTACGCCTGCAATCGGATTGCGTCTTCGGCACGACTTGCTAGGCTAACAAAGACGTGGCAGACAAGGATCCCGACTGGGGTCCCGGCATCTCTCCCTCCTATGACCGCATGGGCGCTATACCTCTCCCTCATAAGCCCTGCCGGGCTGCGAACAATCCCTCCCTGCCCCGAGACCAGCGAGAAGAGAAGAAGCAGACAGCCATACGGATTGTGCATACATGGGTTAACCTCTTTCTGACTATAGCTCTCAAGCCCCGCCAATGGCTCGACTCCTTTCCATCGCCACTTCCACCAAGGTACCCATTAGATACGAGTTGCCTGATACCCTGTCACCCAGGGAAATCTCCCTCTTGACTGGCCTCTACCCAGCCCACGGCTCCACCTCAAAGCCTCGAACCCAAGTTCTACGCCGGTGGCCCACCCCGGTCCTTTCAATGCAGGGCGGCGACTCGGGGACCTGGCACCCTTGGGCTGCTGCTGTGCAAACGACTGTGCAGCTTCAAGCCTGCATCAGGTAGCAGATCGTCCGGAACAGGCCATTGTCTCAACCCCGATTCAATAAATCCTGGCTTAGCGTCCCGACCCAGGCGTTGTGCGCGCCACGTGTTGACATGCGGTAGAAGATCGCCAGATGAAGAGATGCAGGAGGCAGCCCGTGGCAGACACACCAGCCCTCCAAAACTCGAAGAGGTTTCCCAGCCGCCATCCTGCGAAGAACTATTGACTGCACTTCAGTGGGGCAAAAGAGGCAACGCATGTTGAGGAGTCTCTGAAGCTCGCATGCCTAGCGCGGGTTCGTCGACCCTACTACCCTACGGAGTACTGCGCGGAATGAATATCGTCTTCCCCCTCGCTGCCTCGTCTATGCAGCAAACACTTGGGGTTGACGACCATCTCGTCGATCCATCGATCCATCTTGGAGCCGATTGTTCACGATGGACAGTCCATCAATGTGACCTGACTCGCAGCATTGTAACACTCGAGGGTAACCTTTGACGGGTTCGGCCACTGATCAAGGACCAAGACGCCCATCTGCGCCAGAAGATCAACTTCTCCACCGCAGAGGACGAAAAAATACAGGTCCTTCCACCGATACTAGGTGGTTCATGGGTTTCAATATCATCATATCTTGGTGGGGAGCTTATAGCAGAGAAGAGACTCCCCGGTGGTCCCAGCCCGTTAGCTGCAGCATGGGTCGTGAAGAAAGCTCACCCCGAACTAGGAAAGGAGCCAGACTGTACCCATGTCGATCCAACAATATCCTCCATGTCTCAAACATCTCCGCCACACCTTTGTCCCTCGCGGAACGAGGTGCTAGGGGCCTTTTCCACCAAGTACAAAGCTTCATTAGCACCGCTTTTTCGTCACAAATCAGCCCTACGCTCTCCATCCTGACTTTTCCTTCCTGGAAAACGCTTACTGGCCAGTGCCCAACCCTGTGACTTTGCTTCTGCAAGCCGCCACCTTGCCCACAACCCCCCCCTGCATTCCTTTCCTAGCATCCTGTGAGGTACCAAACTGCCCTTCGCTGGTTTTCGCAACATGCCGGCTCATTTGGACCACCCCATCCCTCTCGCGGTTGTTACTATTTGTGCGCACGGCAAGGGTGCCCTTCCCTATTGTACCACATGAAGGACCTTCTGTCGCTCATCACGAACCCACCAATCATCTGAGACGCCCCGTCACTCTGCATATGCGGCTGCACAGACTGCCAGTATCACAACCTCCTCATACTGTGGGTGCCGGTAAGTCAACCACCGTGTTTTCAGTGGGGACATATCGGTCCTCGGCAGATTCCAGTGCTTCTAGGGAATGATATTCCACGTCCCCGGAGTGTCCTCTTTCCTTCCCTCACCGCAATCGGGCCTAGCAAAATGCATTGAAACCGGCTCCCTTTTCTTTCGAGCAGAATTGTGCGCTATCGCAAAGGGTATGGAACATCAGGCCGATACCCAGCTCTGCTGCCGACCCCAATAGCTCAACAGCAAGCAATTCTCCGCAGTGCACATCCTGGCTTCGCGGAACTTCCCTCCCACTCTAAACTGTTTTGTTCCCAATGTGTGGTCCAGCCTTTATTTTGTTATCAGCTCATTGCTGGCCGCTTTGAAAATCACAACTCCCCAATTGCCCTCGATACATGATCTATCGACAGACTCGTCCTGATGCCCGACAATTAGGTCTTCAATGTCTCCTACGCCTGAAGAAGAGGAACTCGTTCATGTCAAGAGATCTGGCAGTAAGCCAGACGAGGAGGAAGATGCTGCGGGAGTGGTCGACGCCACGCCGAAGCAGGCCGCTAAGAAACGGACCAAGACTGGCTGTCTCAGTGAGTTTGATCTTGTCTTCGTATACTACCTGCAAAGCAATGACACTGACATCTTGTCTAACAAGCATGCCGCAAAAGACGGTAAGCTCCTCTCCTCGAGAGACACTTCTATGCTCGGAGCTGTCATTGTGAGGGCCCCTTCGCAATCGACACAAGCTAACAGGTGTTTTCAGAATAAAATGCGGAGAAGAAAAGCCGGTAAGCCTCCTCCTCGGTTCTACATACAATCGTCGACGCATCCTAACTTCAAATCAGAGGTGCAAGAACTGCATCAAGTCGAAGCGCGAATGTGCGGGATACTCTCAACCTGTTGTGTACAAGGAGAAGAACCAAGCACAGACCGACGCAGCCCATGAGACTGACCCTCGGTTATCGTTCCAAGATCGCGATGTCACAACTGCATTCAACCAACGTTGGCAGCCAGGACAAGAATACCTGGGATTGCCGCACGACTTTGGTCAAACGAACCCTACGCCTTACAATCAGTTACCCTTTAGCGCCAGCTACCATGCGATGCCATTTGCCCCAACCAACCTCTCTACTCACACAAGCGCTCCGGTTACAGACACAGAGTATGGATGGCAGGGTGCTCAGCATCTGCCAAACCTCCCCTACCATGGCATTGCCGAGACCTCGGGAGGAAATGTACCAGGGTTCACCTCATCGGACAATCAGGCTGGAAGTTCGACGGCCTTCTTTCCTCTCGATCCTCGATTAATGGATCAATCGGCGACGTGGGGTTTGAACCCTGCTTTGGCGCAAATCCAGACGCAAGCGTCAACATTCCCATCCAGCAATCACGTTCTCGCATCACAGCAGCCGGTTCTTGCACAGTTTCAACAGCGGCGTGCTCCTCTGTCTTACCAGTACGGCGTATCACCTCTACCTATAGAGGGTATGTAGGCGAATACAATTGTCATCCGTTAAGCTCTTTTATCCGGTGCTAAGCTCTTCGCAGAACATGTGGCTGGGCAATACACTGCGCATGGTAGTACAGATCAGCCGGAGTTTCTAAGTGCCTCATTCCATGGTCTCTCTGTGCCTCCCCGTCCTACAGTTCACCTGGACGACGATGATTATGATGATCCTGACGATCCATTCGATGTTGAGATGCAAGATTCGAACCTGTCATATCAAGATGCGGCAAACAATCTCACAGAAATCCTCGGTCGTGCCGGACAGCTCGATCCACAAGCCGCAAAATTGTACGTTCCAAGAAGGACAGAATATCGAACTGTCGCGACGTACCGGCCGACAGTTGCACAATCACCGCTTCGCGACGAGAGAAACGAGCATATATTTTGCCATTTCGTTGAAATCACGAGCAACACGATCTCCATCTTCGAGAGACATCACTACAGTCCCATCGCGGCGCCTGCTCGGACTCTCTGGAACTTTTCAATACCCGCTCTGGCCTTGTCGCATATGGCACTTGCACATGCCATTTTGGCGTTGGGGGCCCTTCATCTCGCGAAATTGAACAACTCTTCAGAAAACCTTGCAATCAAGCATTTTACCTGTGCTGTCCGAAGAGTGGGAAAACTCCTGGGACTCCCGAAGCGGCGGCATGAAATAGCAACGCTGGCTACAGTTTTGCTGCTCGGATACTATGAGGTTGTCTCTGGCGACCACTCACGGTGGAATCTCCATTTGTCGGGGGCAATGAGGCTCCTCCAGGAGCACGACTATGCCGGGTTGACTCGAACGACGAGACGCATGCGAACCGGGGCAAAAGCACGAGTCAATCAGTGGACAGCTCAATTTGCATTAACCGAAGAGAACTATGCTCGAGTGGCAGGAATCCCTCTGGCCTTGCTTGACGACACCGACTGGGAGGTTGATCAGGGACTCGTCTCCCGGCTGACAGGCCTCCGTGTAAATTATGACCAACAATTCCAACCAGATTTCAGCTCGCGTCCGACGGTGCCAGATCTTACTGAGAAAGACGTCGAAGATTTCAAGGCGAAGATGGATTTGAGGTGGTGGTACTGCAAGCAAGATGTTTTTCAGAGCATGGTCTCCGGCGACCGGCCACTTATGCCGTTCGAGGACTGGATCTACTGTCCACCTCGAGGTCAAATCGGGCGGTCGGAGAACCCGTATGCCACTCTGGATCATCTGCTCCTGGTCATGGCACGCCTGGCTGATTTCGGAGGCAAAGATCGCGGGCGCAAACAACGAGCGGTGGCTGCTCAGGGAGGACAATGGAAGCCACCAAAATGGCTCTTTGGACCTCAAGGGCCCCCCGGTCCGCCAGGTAGGAAGGACGGTTCATCTCAGCCAAAGTCGGCTGCAGAATCACTTTCCGAGAAGGCTTCCGCACCTTTCAAACCGGCAGCTGCTCAGGCGGGAGCAAGACCTTTCCCTGCTCCCAGTGCCAATGAAGGCAGAGTCAGGCAGAGTAAACCCGGCTTACAAAGTGGCCCTGGCCCTGGCCCTGGACCGGCAACCGGTCCTCCTATGCTTGGAATGCTACCGCCTGCATCCGAGCCTCCGCAGGTGGATTCGGCTTTTCGATCCATGGACGCCAACCTCAAGGATTCGGCCTTTGCATTCAAACGGGAGCGAAAGGAGGCCACGCCACCAAGCAATCTCGAGGACGACACTGCCAAAGCATTCACAGAGTATAACGAGATAAGCAAAGCCTTTGACACCTTCGCAGAGTCCCTGGGCCCAGAATTCGAGCCTCTGAAGCAAAACGGGCCCCCCGTCGCTACACCTTTTGGGCCGGCGCTCATATACAAGAATGGCGCGGTTGCGTGTATATGGGCATGTTACTACGTGGGACGTATCTCGTTGCAACGGCTTCACCCCGAGATGCCGCCGGCAGCAATGGTTGCTGCCGGTGTCACCGGACACCTCACTCGGGAGTATACGCAGATGGTGGGCAAGATCTGTGCAGGACTGTACTCGAGGCAGCTGTATGGCCAGAGCGGAGCCCTCGATCCCAGTTTCGCAGGCTACCTGATGGAGAGCACGTTCTTCCTGCTGTTTGCAGCAATTCAATACACCGACGCTGCGCAACGAGGGTGGACAATAAGCAAACTGAAAGATGTCGAACGCAGATGTGGATGGCGTACATCGGGCGCCATTGCCGGCGCTTGCGAGACTGCTTGGGAACGGATGGGTCAAGCAGGACGAGGACCTCCATACGAGCGAACTCTGGCGGCCCACAGCGAGGACATTCGCATGAGCAGAGCATCACCAAAGTCGTCCCCGCCCAGTGGCGAGCCATCGGATGCTGCTGCCGAACAGCACGAGTCTGAATTTGTGAACCACGATCGGAGCCTCATCGATCGGTCCAGCTCTACTCGGGTGCACTGGGCGCTGGGCTTGCTGTCGGTTGAAGAAGACATCCAGAAGATGGCCTTGGAGGACAAGTAGGTGACAACGGCCAAAGGCTGGTCTGGTCGCCCTTGCCTCTCGTTCCAGCAGTGAATGGATGCTCCTGCTGCAGTGCCACATGCCTCCTTCACCATGCGAGACCACCCCAGTCTGCCATTACCTCTCTTTGATTGTTCTATCTATACCCCGGTTGCTGCATATCCTAAAAGAAGTGCTCAGTTCACTGCCGCCTTGTGGTTCTCCTCCTTCTTCCCCTGGTTGCGGAGAGCTTGCCTCAGATCACAACTCTCATCTTCGAATATCGACGCTCGGATCTGTCTGTTTCGTCGACACCTTGGCCATGGAGTATCAAACAGACCCCTCTGCAAGCGGTAACTCTACCTTCAAGTTTCAGAGTCAAGCAGGAGACCAAGATACGGCTCCTTTCAAGAAAGAGTTCAGTTCCTACTTCGACATCTCTCCCAGACTTGATGGCTCGCCGCATAGCAACTCCACTGCCGACATCAGTCCTGGGACACTGCCCCAGCGAGATTCCTATCATACCACACGACCTCCGTTCTTCCGGTTCTATTCAGACTTTGATGCTCTACACACGAGATTGCACAACCATGTCAGTAGAATAAGCCGCCCTACCGCTGGTGCCTCTCCCTCAGGGTCACACTCTCTTCGGTCTCAAGTCACACTCTCCTCGAAACCAGGAACTGGTCCATCCGTCGAACTCTCTTCTCTCCGTTCATCACGGCGTTCTTCTGGGGCATCCACGAAGACTTCGCCTCCATCGGGATCACATCCATCAAAAGAGAACCGTCCATACTCCCTTCATCGACTGAAGCTGAGGCGTGTCCTGGCGAGATCTCCTTCCTGGAATGCCGGCGTCGAGGGAAGAGAGGCCTCTGCTGATTCTGCACGACGCGTGTCTTCGACTGGATCAGAGGCGCAGACGAGCCTGGGCGACATCATTGTTATCCGAACTGACCAAACCCCGCTGACACCGCCATCAAAGAGTGTTCCTGCTACCGAATTGTCCACCCCAAGCTCTATAAAGGTGGAGAAGGAGTTTGCGGAACACAACTTCCATTGCAGACTGCAGCAAAAGCCTCAGTCATCTGAGCGGCAAGGCCAAACATCATCTCGTAGGAGTTCAATCAACCCTAAAATCATCCTAACGAACCCGTTCCATTACATCCGCTATGCGAGTCTGCCCAAACGCACAAAGACGCCATCGATACCTAAGGAGCCTCACTCGACTCCGATTGCACGAGAGGCGCCAATGGCAGACCATACCAGCCAGCTCAAGAGGAATTATACCTCGGAAGCACTCCAACGTGTGACGAGCATCTTGCAGGAGATAAAGCAGGCACCCCAGACCTCGCTGTGGCCACCTCAGGTCATAAAGCCGTTGAGATGGAGAACGTTCTCAGATAAGTCATTCTCGCAGCAAACGAAAAGGGAACCGCGGACCGTGCAAGGCATTATATCCGAGATCGACAACAACCACAAAAGCAGTGGTGAATTACTCTCCGGCGTGCAATCATATACCTCCAGCCAGCGGAACTTGCGCATGGGCATCGTGCCTACGAATACTCCTGATGAGACGGCCACATACAAAGTTAAAAGAAGCCCTAGCGCAGAGACAGAGGAATTCCTGAGGGTTGACATCAGTATCAGAGGAGGTACCAGCTATCTACCAAGCGAGGCTCGTCGAATACACACCCCGCCGCTGCCGGAAGAAGGAGTAGATGGGCGGTGGAGGGGCTTTTTCTTCGACTACAACGCTCCGGGGGGGCGGTCTGTCTGCCCACGAGGAACAGAAAGCGCAGAAGGTGGATTGGACAGTGGAAGCACCAGCCAGGACAGCAACGCAACCTCGGGTCACAGTCGAACCAAACCAGCCGGTAAGAAGCCAAAGAGGGTCAAGAGCAAGAGCAAGCGGATCCTGGCCGGGGACTGGTACGACGTGAAGCTGGCAGAAGTCGACATGGACATTCAGGCCGACCAAGGCGAGATGAAGCACGCCAAACAAGGCGACAGAAGAGTCAACTCGCCCGAATGTCTGTCCAAGATCCGCAAGATGCTGCACGACGCCCAGCAGTTTGATCTGAGCATCCCCGAGCATCTGCCCAGCAGCCCGCTGTGTCCACGGCATCCCCGGTACTGGCGCGTGGTCAAGGGGCGAGGCAGCCAATTCCGGGGCTGTTGGATGCACGGGCTGGGTGCTTTGGAGACAGAATCCGAGAAAAGCAATCAGGAATCCCAGTGTCTGTACATCTCCAAGTAGATGCTGAAGTCCCTAGACTACTTTTACCAAAGAAAATGAGGATATACTACTTTCACCTCTGATATTGTCCTTCTTCCCTTGGCTGGCTGGCCTGCCTCCTGCGTGCCAGACGTGGGACGATGGTGCTCCAAGAACGACCAGATCGTGTTAATACTGGCCGCAAAGCGCTGGATTCGTACTCGACAAAAGGGAAAACAATCTCTAAGCTGCATCACCTTGTACTTTGTATATTGGGGGGGCCCCTCTCAAGACGCCTTGTGCAAAATGGGTGGATTTGACAGTCGTCCTACTATCCTGGTCCTCTACAACCATCGGCCTAGGCCGCCTGTGCGTTGGTTGACCGTCATGCATATGTATCAAGTTGTCCCGTGTCCTCAGGCCTTCGCTCAATTTCTGAAAGCTAAATGCTCCATCCCAGTGCGATTGTCCTTATTCTTCAGCCAGAGTCTGGCCCTCCCTCAACCCCTCCACTTTCAGCTCCTCTCCCATTGCCCTTCGATAAATGTCTCTCACATTCTCCGTGACCGTCTCAAAGTGACTCGACGCATCAAAGCTGTTACTGATGAAGATCTGGTCGTTCACACCACTCTCCAATGGCTGGTATAAGGGGATTGGTGGTCCCATGAATTTTTCTTCAATGCGGCCAAGTCTTTCGAGTCCCGGTTGCAGTTCAAGATGGTGGTTTGCGGAGCTTTCGGCAATGGTGGAAACAATGGCGATGTAGTATCCTTTGGGACAGACGTTGTGGGCCGATGATACCATGGCAATGTAGATGTCATGCTTCCGACCGACCTGGGATTGGGGGATGATGAGTTGCAAGGAATCGGAATCTCCGGTCTTCTCAAGCGGGTGGTTCAAAATGCAGATGGCCTTGAGTAGGTGACCGACTACTTGGACTTTGCCGGGGAAATAGGAGGGGTCGCCGAGGATCATCTTGGTCTTTGTGGTAAATTTCATGCCTTCTTCATTCTCTTCGCCTCGTTCTCGCATGGTTGCTTTGATGCCGGAGATTCTGTTGCCGTCGTAGAGAAACTCATCCACCGCAGTGTTGAGCATGTACGTACCTCCGTAGATAGCGGAGAGACGAGCAAAGCCTTGTGGAAGCTCTCCTAGACCGTAGAGCGGGTAGATGTACGGTGACTTGCCGTAGCGCGCCATCGAGTTGGCGTAGAGACGGATTCTCTCGACAGTCTCCTTGGCCATGCCGGGTGTGTTGATGTACTCGTCGGTCGAGTACAGGGCCATAGAGTGACCGATGAAGTCTCGCGTGGAGGGTTCCAACCCGAATTTGTCATAGACCTCTTTCATGGTGCACTGATTCATATTCATTCCTGCAGCAGATTATCAGCACCATCCGGAGGTATTCCGTGATGATATTGTTCCCACCATTGTGTGTTGCTGGGTTGTTCTCCTCAAATGCACCCACCCACTCCAGGAATTTCTTTGCCCTTCTCTTCTCGAATAGGCCCATCAGTGGTGAACTTAGTGCCTCGGCAGCGGTGGATGGGACTTTGGCAACTGTTGCGCGAGGACCTGTGCCTTGCTGTACAAAGCTGCCTGCGATCTGTTTGAATTCGAGGTATCGGGTAACATCGGTCGAGACGAGGATGTTGGTGAGTTCGCCATTTGCCATCAAGAGCTTGGGCACTAGATCAATGTTCCAGTCGTTGGTGCGGCCGTATTTCTTCCATGGCTCTTCGCCCGATTTATGGTTCCCATATCTCTTGAAGAGCTAGATAGGGAAGTGTCAGACAGATTCCTTCTCTTGTGGATCGCCTTGCTTACAGCTTCGATATTGACGGATGCAGCCTCACTGTTTATTCCTGGTCAGTCGAACTTCCGATATCATCTTGTGAGGGCTGCGGTTTTCATACCCGCCGTAATGGTCATTTCGGTCGATGTGGAGGACCTTCTTGCCCTTGACGGAGAGGACCCTGTACTCGAATTAGCGAGGAATGCCTCCACACCTAGCTGCGCTGATTCTGACCCAGAGAGCACGCATTCCGTCAAGCCTAGAGAAGGTCGGGTCAACAAAAGGCGGGGTTGAGGTCGGAATGACGGTCATACCTGTGCCGAGGACGATAACATCATATTCTGGGGCGATCTCTTCCATTGTGGAAGGCTTCAAATGAACGTCGGTCGTGGGTAGAGATCGTGAGAAAGCAGATATAATGGGAAGAATAGCAGGAGGTCAAGGGTCGGTGAACATTGTTGTCGCGCTATGCCACCACAGGGTGCCAGGTCGCTCTTGTCGAAGCGCAGCGAATGAGGTCATGGCTGCCAAGACATGCTACGGTTTAGACTCTGTGCCTCCCCGTGAAATCAAAGCCTTGCTAAAGGGGACCTCAGCCTCGCCAAAGGCTGCTGATACTATATGCACATACAACCGAGTCTAGGTAGGTGCTCATTGCCCCGCCTTGCCCTCACTGAACTGTAGAAGCTCTTGTTTCTGGGACAGATTGCATCTCCATATCAACCATGATCCGTCGTCAGCGAAGACGATCATGCCTCGCCCGACGCCGCAGTCAGCTTGTCGGCATCCCGCTTCGTCCGCGCCCTAGAGATGGCAATCTGCTCGGTCAGTCTCCACGGATAATCAAATGTGTCCATGAAGATTTCGCAAAGCTAGAAACGTATTAGCCCCGAGACCGTCAATTTCATCAATGGCAAGACATACCTGAATACTGTTTCCACTAGCGAAATCGTCATCTTTCAGGACTGCCTCAAGCTCTTCGACCGTCTTAGTGGCCCGGCTTTTTGCCTTGACACCAGTATCCTCTCTGGCTCCAAAGAACCCGAGCATCTTTTGGTAGTCCCACATCATGCTGACGTCGTTGTACCCCTGCTCTGGTCCATGGATTGCTCTCTCGATGGCATATCCGTTGTTGTTGATGACAAAAATGATGGGCTTAAAGCCATATCGGATGTATGATCCAATCTCTTGTACTGTCATCTGGAGACTTCCCTCGCCGACGATCAAGACTACGCGTCCGGCATACTTCAGCTCCTTCGCCGCGATCAGGGCTCCAAAGCAAGCACCGACCGTGAATCCAATAGAAGACCAGAAAGTCTGGGTGATGAGTTTGACATTGGGTGGAAACGTGGCGTCTGGCATTCCGAATTGGGCTGTCCCAGACTCTACCAAAAGGATATCATCTTTCCTCAAGAACCGACCGAGCCGTTGCCAGACATAAGACTGTTTTATCTCTCCAGACTTCAAGTCGTTCAGTACTGGGGTCTCGGTTCTCGGCGCCTTTTGTGGGCGAGGAAGGTTGTATTTCTGAGGATTTGCCTTCAGCTCTGTAACCAGCTTTTTTAGGATCGGCAGGAAATGGACGCCATAGAACTTCTGATCTTTGACTTGACAGGAGTCGTGTCCGAGGAGCACCAGGTAGTCGTCCTTGATTTCTCTGGTGAAACCTCCAGTGTTGGAATCTGAGAGGAGTGGGCCGAGATTTAGGACCAGGTCCGAGTGCTCGATAGCCTCAGCCACCCCAGGGAAGGACACTAATGATGGGTCAGTGGTGACAAGTAATAATGCAGAGGCTACTTACCTTTCCCATTGTACAGCCCATTGTAATAAGGGAGAGTTTCGTCGATGACGCCTTTCGACAGTGGGGTAGAGTAGCTCGCAAACTGAGTGAGCTCGGCGAGCTCTCTGGCCAACTCCCGGCCACCGTGGCGTACAGTGAGCACATCGGCCAAGATCACCGGGTCTGAAGCTTTCTCAATCAGCGAGAGAATGCTGCTGACAATCTGATCTTCGATCTTGCCGTCTCCGTTGTGCACACCCACGTCAAGCGGTGTCTCTAGTCGCTTCGCGTCCAGTTGCACCTGCACCGCATCGACAGGAACGTAGATATAGACCGGGAGTCGACTCCGTACGCAGGCCACAATGGTTCTGTCTATCTCCTCGGCCATAATCTTGTCGTCCATCAGATACGCATGGGTTTCCCGAATTGGTGCTGCCATATGGATGTAGGTCGCGTGATCCATGTTAGCTTTCATGGTGTGATGCAGCATTGCCCGCGCCTTCTGCATCGACCGTGCTGGCATCCCAACGATGTGAATCATGCCCGCATGCTCTGCGTATCTATCGCAGCCTATGTCAGTCATTTTGCCCGATCTAGCAACTGGTAGGCGCACCAGTCAATCATCCCAACCAAGGGGTAACTTACGCTCCGGCAACCCCGTTCATCGCAGACAACTCCCCCACAGCATAAGTCGTGACCAGCACAGCCGGAGAGCCTTTGATCCTGGTGTAGCCGTCGGCAGCATACGCGCCGTTGAGTTCATTGCAGCAGCCAATCCATTTCAAGCCCGAGACGTTGTAGATTTCATCAAGAAGAGTGACTGAGATGTGAGCGAGACATGAGGTCAGCGTGGTGTCTTGCACATATCTTCGCAGGGTGCAACTTAGACGAACGGTTAAAATCTCCTGGGACGCCTAGAATATGCTCTGTGCCGAGTTGCTTGATTCTTCGGAAGAGGTACTGCCCCATGCAAATAGTCGGCGCAGCCATGGCGGTGTTGGTGAGTTCGGAGTCGGGCTAATGTGAGCAGAATGAGGAGTGTCAGCAATTGCGACGACTTTGATATCCGGGGAGATTTATACTCTCGTTACAGGATCAAGAACCATACCCGATGAGCTGAGTAAGGACTCAAAGTAGACGGAAAGGGCGCGTCCCGCAGTTAGACAGGGGACGGTGAGGGATGCGAAGGTGGATAGAAGATGCAACGGCCGAGGCTGTGAGGGGGAATTTGGAATCACTCGCTTATTCGCGGATCTGGCTATAGATACGGATCAGGGAATTGGGGGGTCTCTCGGCTCAGGGACAGCGAGTGAAGTAGTGTCTAACGTGTACCTGATCGGGTCTCACTGTCAGATTCTTGCCTCTACTTCACATTGCATCTTGTTGACTCTCTAATTGGGTCGATGACTTGCAAAGGAATGCATTCAACAGTGTCCTAATCAGTCCTTCGTCCTTTGCCTCGGCCACCAGGAAGTGTCCGGGCATCAAGGATATCTACGGATGTCCTCATCTTTCGCCTTTTGATGTCTCCATCACGGGGCATTCCGGGAGTCCGATTGTCTTTATGGGAAAGCAATCCCTCCGTCCACATGGATAACCTGACCCGTGATATACGACGCCCCCGGGCTCGCCATGAACAGCACCGTCTCAGCGACTTCCTTCGGCGTGCCCTCCCTCTTGATGTGCTGGTTGTTCCTCAATCTCGCTCCAATTGGCGAACCCTCCATGGACAGATCAGTGGCAATGGGGCCTGGAGACACCACATTGGCGGTGATACCTTTGGGACCGAGCTCTTCTGAAATCGCCACTGTCATGGAGGTCAGAGCACCTTTGGACGCACAGTAGACGGGCAACATCCATGAACCAAGACGCGAAATGATGCTTCCGATGTTGATGATGCGCCCCCCGGTCGCCATGTACGGCAGCGCTGCTTGGATCAGGACAAATGGGCCTCGCACATTGATACGGAACACCCGGTCCCACTCGTCAAAGCCCACAGAGGCGATGCCTTGGATGTTGGGCGTGGCGAACCCAGCATTGTTGACGATGATGTCGACAGTTTTTGTGTTGAAAGCCTTCAAAGCGGCGTTGACCAGCGTGGTTCCAAACTCGGCGCTCGACGCATCGGCTTTGACTGCGACAGATTGGACTCCAAGACTCTTGATTTTAGCAACAACTTCCTCTGCTGGTCCGGCCGAGTTGTTGTAATGGATCAAAACCTGGACGTCAACTGTCAACGCCGACTGTCATCACAATGGGAACGAAGGGCATACATTGGCACCATGTTCTGCGAGTGCAATGGCAGAGGCAGCTCCAATCCCGTTTGGCTTTCCTGCGCCGGTGACGATGGCAGTCTTGCCCTTGAGATATTGTTGCTCCATAGTATCTTGATCAGATGTGACAAGTGAAAAATTGCTGACGGGGACTCTCTGGAAGAAGAAGGCTGTATAGTAGTGAAGAACCGGCACCACGAAAGAGCTTCTGAGTCGTTCCTTTTAACATCTGAATACGAGTGTGTCTTGGGATCGGACACGAACCCCGCTTCTTCTGAGCATCGCTCTGTGCGGTCATGGTCAAAGCATAGCACCCACCTGAATTACAGAGCATGTGCATCCAGACGGAGGCTTCGCAGCTGCTCTTCTTCCCATGCTCCGTTGTTGTAGTGGACCGCTGACTGATGGTGGACGAAGTCAAACTGTCAAAGTTCTGCTTGGGAGGATCCCGACGGGCATCTTGACGGTAGAAGCCAATGCAGGCACTCGAGCATTGTCTGAAAGAGAAAGAAAGCAAAGCAGCATCGAGAAGGATTAGCTGATCACCGCCCACAAATGGCACGAACTGGCCGCCTCGATTGGTTCGCTCGCTCGGCGACAATGAAGTCTCGCCGAAGGTTTGGCTTATCTAAAACCACGCATCTTCTGGAACCCCATGCATACGAAAGATCTGCGCGTCCGGAGCGTGGATTCATCTGAGTAACCCGTCAATGGATGCATTACCAACCCATCATTGCTGTCTACCGGATGGCCGCGTGTTCAACGATGGCAGTTGTCATTGCAGGTGGGTATATTATGGGCTTCAGCCATCTGCACCCCATATGTCTGCGTCGAGGAAACCCGTCACAGCAATCATTTGCCAGCAGTAACATCTCGCCTTTACAACACCAGGACTAGCCGAATCTCAGCATGCCCTCAGTACTCCTTTTCGGGGCCACCGGCCTCATTGGATGTTGGTAGCCTCCATGGAGAGTTCAAGACCGCATACTGACCGAATGCCAGCTCGCTTAGCCATTGACCTCAAAAAGACACATCCCGCGTGGCCGCTGACGGTATTTTTGCGCAACGCGAATGTCGACGAATGGTTCAGAGTCACCGCCAAGGCAGATCGAATAGTCCATGGGACAATCTCCGACGCCGAACTGGTGCAATCTTTGAGCAAGGAACATGATATAGTCGTCAATGCGATTACTTCTTTCGATGGCGACTTTGTCAGGACGATTATCGCAGGCATGGAAGAAAGACCCGAGCACTCCAAGGGCACCCTGATCCATATATCTGGAACGGGCAATTTCATTGACCATGGCAAGAGCGGCAATTTCAATCCCGACAGCAAAGTGTGGAATGTCCGGCTCTCCCCTCTTCAACGACCAGGAATGAGTATGATTCTGACCTGGCCCATAGGACGACAACGAAGACGACATCCGACAAATTGTTCCGAGCATGTTCAATGGACCAACAGACGTACCGTAAGAGTTGCCGGCTCCCTATCCCTTTGGTTTCATGGGTACTGATCTGGAACAGGGGTGCTCGAAGCAGGAGAACGGGGAAAGATCATTACCTATATTGTGTGTTTCGCAATGACTTACGGCCCTAACATCGGGCCTGTGCCAAACCTAGGAGTTGCGTACAACATCTTGACTTCGAATGCAAAGCAGCTAGGCGTCGCCCCATATGTTGGCGACGGTTCGGCAGTGGCTAGTGCGATCCATGTCGGCGACGGTGTCCGGTTCCTCACCAAGATCGTGGGCATCGCCGGAACGGAGAAGCCTACGGGCAGCGCCTACTCTAGGTATTACATCATTCACGGTGAGAGGGTCGCTTGGAAGGACTTGAGCTCTGCACTGGCGAAAGTCTTGCATGCCAAGGCCGTCGTGGCTTCGCCAGAACCCAAAAGCGTGCCGTCGGCAGATGCTGGCGCAGGAGAGATCGGGTCGCTGATAGCTGCGAACATGCTGGTGAAGGGAGACCGTGCTGCCAGGCTGGGTTTCAAAGCCACGCATCCATCGATCCTGGTGCAAATGCAGGAGGATCTCGGGGCTCATAACTTCTAGAGCGCAGCACGCTAGTCAAAAGTATTATTCTCCAGAGCGATTTGCATATGGGTTCTGACGTCCTATGATCTCTTCGACTGAACTCATGTCAGCTGATGTGTTGATGTTGATGTGTCCAGGTTGCCATGGCTATGTATGCACTCTGAATTCTCCTTTTTGGCGATTGGAGCTCAGACAGCCTCTCCAGAGGCGCAGGCATGCACGGCGCCGCTTAGCGCGACCAGCGGAACTGGACATCGCCACCCAATGCCTCGTATCAATATCGAGTCTTGATTGGCCCCAGTAGTGTCTCGGGCGTCGAGGCTGGGCAGGCGAAGTCGCCAGGGCGCTCTTCTCGAAAGTGAGGCAGACTTGACACCTTTTCTTTCAAAGCTTGAGCCCAAGTCTCGCTTGAATTCGGCATTGATGCACTTCTAGTGTTAATTGTGCTAGGATCTTGAAGGTGATAGGCATCTCAATCTCTTCAAGACGGACCGCGACGACATTTGCGGTGCATCCTGAGACAAGGTTGAACAATGGCTACCTTGCTGCCTTCCAACTTCGAAGAAGCGTATGAAATCGCGAAGACGGAGTTCTTCAAGAGTCTCAAACGGCCCCAAGACTACGATTTCTCCAGATTTACATCGATAGACGACGTCTACGACTACACGGCGAAACTCCAAGAGGAACAAGACCGAAAAGGGAACATGAGGCATTTGAACAGAATCAGACCATATCTCCAAAATCTGGAGCAATATGTCGGAGTTCTCGATGTTCTATCGCAGGCAAAGGGGGACCTGCTTTCACTCATCTGGGTAGGGAGCCCCAAGTTAGAAGTTCTTAATGGTTATGGCCATTGGGTTGACCTTGTTATCACCACCAGGGGCCCATCAAATTCTTGATCCAGGTATGGCACTCAACTCCTCTGCCAATCTAAACAGGCAGCAATCAAGCACCAGCTCATACCGATGCCGCACAGATTTCCAGCACCCTTGTGAAAAGCTATGACAAGATCATCGACACAATGGGGCAAATTGGAGATCGGCTGCCTCATTTTAGGAAATACCTTGAGCTCTTCAAGTCTAACGATACTCTGAAAAGGCTCTTGTTGGTGTTTCTCCGCGATATTTTGGAATTTCATGTTACAGCATTAAATTTCTTCAAATCAAAGAGTAAGTAAAGGAACCTCCGGGAACCGTCAAGGCTGGCACAACAGATGCTCGTGGCTCACGGCAATGCAGAGTGGGAGCTCTACTTTGAATCCATGTGGCCAAAGTATGGCAACAAGATCACGATCATCATGAACAACATTGAGCGGCATGCCGCTCTTATCAGCAACGAAGTCACCCTGACCAGCATCCAGGATGCGCAGGCTGCATATGCTGAAGCGTTGAAGACCTATGAGCGCGATGGAGAGTTTCAGCGTCGTCAGGACTTTGCTACTGTACAGCAATCTTTGTCCCCAAGACTGTACGATGATGATCTTGAGACGTTTCGAAAACGCCGCTCTCCAGACTCTGGTAAATGGATCGAAAAGAATGGGGATTTCAGCGCCTGGCTCAACACCAGCAACAAGACAAAGCAGATCTTATGGGTTGAGGGCATCCCGGGCGCAGGTATATCTGGCTCCGATCGAGATTTTCGTCGGCAATTGTCCTAAGTGGAGACAGGAAAGTCCTATCTTTCGGCATATATAGTCGACATCGCTCAACGCCAAGTCGACAGTTGCACAGTATTTGCGTTCCTCAGTTTCCAGGACCAGAAATTGACAACGGCTAAAGTCCTTCAGTCGCTGATCTTCCAACTAGCGCTGGAGAATGTGGATTTGCACCAGGCCCTCTGTCGCGAAGTTCAAAGCAATTACCGAGGAGTTTCAAGCAACACTGCCTGCCTCAGAACTCTCTTCGTCAAGATGCTTCAGATGTCCAACCCCACGTACATCGTGGTAGATGGGGTCGACGAGATCGACGAGAATGAGAGATCTTTCCTCCTCAGGACACTCCTGGAGGCAAAAAAGGAGTGTAATGAAGTGAAGTTACTGATCAGTAGTCGAGGCGAAGACAACATCTTGAGAATCATGCGGCGTGAGGCAATTCGCATTCATCTTCAGGCTAACAATCTCGCAGACATTCAGTGCTTTGTTCGAGAGAGGACCAATGAATGGCTCAGCTGCAGCGCTTTTGATGAATGTACCGCTGCAGAGATCAGGAACCTCCTTGCACCACTTGCGTCTAAATCAGAAGGTAGGCACACAGTGACGATGGAGAATAATATCAGAGCTAATGGACAAGTAGGGATGATTCTTTACGCCAGGCTCGTGCTGGATAATATCTCATATTTGAGTAGTTTGCACAGCATTAAAGAGGAGTTGAGTGCGCTTCCTCGTGGCCTGGATGAAGCGTGAGACTCAATCGAAGAGGCCTGGGTAATTGGCATTGACATTGCTCTGATAGGTACGGTCGCATCCTACTACGGATTACAGAAGTGCTATCAAAAATCGACCGCGGTCAAGTCAAAAGAATATTGAGCTGGATTGCTGGTTCCCAGGTATCGCTTCAAAAGCGTGAACTCGAGGCTGCGTTCTCGATTCGAGAGGGGGTCAGAAGCATATCAAAAGAGAGCAGAGTCTTCCTCAATGTTTTACATCTCTGCGGCCCCATTGTTGAAGTTCAAGACGATGACACCATTCGGTTTGTCCACTTCACAGCGAAACAGTATTTCAACACCCAAAGGCTCGTTGAGAAATCCGATGCTAATCTTGTATAGATTCCTTGCGAATCAGCAAAACGAGCTTTTCATTGATCTCCAATATGCCCGACTTGATATTTGCCGAACTTGTATTACATTTCTCGGCTTCGAATGTCTCGAGTATGAGGAAGATGAAGATATTAAGCAAGCTATACTGTCTGGGCAGTTTGTTTTCTTCCATTACGCCGCAACTCAATGGATCGCCCATCTAAATCTCTATATCGAACTCCAAATAAAGAAACCAGAAAGAGATGTTCTCTGCGAAGAGGTTCAGGATCTGGTCCAGCGCATGGAAAGCTTCAATCAAATTGCGCCTTCCAGCACGATCCAGCCGAGGAACCAGGATTTCCATTCTATCAAGAACAATTGGCCTGATCTCTCAGCAATATTATCCCAGGAACACGCGTATATGAGGTTCAAGGCACCATTTACCAGCCTTCAAACAGGTAAGTTGGATTAGCCGACAAGAGTATGTTTCTGCTGACCACCATTCCGCTTGCTAGTCACGCTATTTGACTCTGAAAGCCCGTTAAACATATTCGCTATTTATGGAAAGTTCTACCAGACTCTCGACTCCATGCTCTGTCCTGACACGAGGCATCGACCTGAGTGTTCCTGTCAGACGCTCAAGAACCTATACGGACAGTTCATTTACAAGTGTGACAGAATAGCTTGCCGCCATCACCGACATGGATTTGACAACAGGAAGGAGAGAGACCAACATCTGCTGGGCCATGACAGACCATTTAAATGTCCAGAGTCTGTCTGCGCCTTCAGCGAAATCGGGTTCAAGTCCGGACAAAGTCTGTCTCAACACATGGACCAGTGCCATCCAACTCAGAACCCAGTCACGACGAAACACCCTGCTATCCAAGATATCGACCCTGAGAGTGTCGAAGTTGTTCTAACAGAAGCAGTGAAGGCTGGGGAAGTAGGATTCGTCTCGAAATTGCTTGGGAACATTCCAAAAAAACTCGCAGATACACTTTACATCGTCGCTCTGCGCAGCTCTGATCCTGCGATGGTGGCGCAATTTGTTAGCTCAGGCTTTTCTATTGACAAGGCCGATATACCAAGGTCCGCCATTGGTACGGCCGAAAAAGTGGTGCCGCTCAATGTGGCCATTCGAGCCTGCAACTTCGAAGTCGTCAGGTACCTTCTCGCCACTGGCTGTGACCGCAACAGAAGTGACTTCCCCTATGAATGCCCTATGAGTGGATTGGTGAATTGGGGTACGGCACTCGATCACGCAATTGGTCTATCCCTTCCACAAAAACGGCTGGAAGCTATATCCGCCTTGACTGACAACGGAACCAACATTCATGAAGATTATCGTTATTCATTCAAACCGCTTCGGTCGCTTCTTCGTCGAAAAAATGTCGAAGCGGAAAGGGTCGTCATTCAGACCTTGGAGCTTCTCAAAAGGAGCTTTTCTCTGAGGGATCTCAATGAACTTCTCAGAGTCGAAGCAGACGGCGGATGCTCGGTTGAAGTCGGGAGATGGCTGATACAGAACGGTGCACGAGCTGACGATCGTCCTAAAAACCCTGTCAAATATTCTGCACTCCACAGGGCTTGCAACAAGCGAACTGAGAATGCAGCTTATTTTGTAAAATGTCTGTTGGAGTCTGGAGTAGATCCGGCCTTAAGGGCTGGCCATCCGCTCGCAGTGGAACCGAAGGGTGCCAAGAACATTTCCACCTGGCTAGGCGTGACTTGGGAGGAGCTGATCGAGTCTACAAAATCCGCAAGGCGAGCCAAGGAATAGGTACCTCGATACCGAAGGTAAATGAGCTGGGCAGATGAAGTTGATATGGATATGAGCCGGGAGCGTGTGATAGTCACCTGGAAAGTGGGATAAATCTGCAAAGCTTGTCGTTCTGCCATGCCTCATCAGCAGTGGCCTCGAAGTAAACCTGGAGACTAGGAAGATGACAAGAAATGAACACTGATCATTCCCATTGCAGAGATTGATCAATACCAGGAACGCAACAACTCCTCTTCAGTCGATAGGGTCATTAGGCTAGATAGGTAGGATTGGGCATTGCAAGGCTGACACCGTCGTGGTGGAGGCACTGGAGGGACGAGGCTACTAGGCTAGCATTAGCTCGCCAGGCCCAAGGGCGTTCACGAAGCCCGCCTGGGTTTTCTGCCGCAGCCGTGCACAGAATAATACGAGTCGGCCTGGGAGTGAGCCTACGCTCCCTCTATGAGCATGTACGCCATCAGATGCTACATGTCGTCCTGGAATTGGTATCTACGAAAACTACTTGGGGCTTCGTTCAGAACAGCTAGAGAGCCCGACATGGGAGTTTCATGCTTCCACAACTTTGGTGTTGTGTCTCCCTGGCGGGCGGCTCGTTTCGATCACATCTCACCGCCCTTCAATGGCTCACCAAGACAGGGCGCAGTTGGGCGCAGCCTCGCTGCTGATAGGATGGGCTTTCTTTGCAGCGTTCTGCCTGCCAATTCATAATGCTCTCTCGTATCCCGCCGTTCCCTCCCAAGTCATGTATTACAACGACCGCCATGTCTCGGCCACATGGCCGCTGTCTTTGCACGCTGTTCTCGCTGAGATCCTGAGGTGATAGCACCTCTATTGGACATGAAACACAGAAAACGAAGCCGACAATGTGGAATACATGGACCCTTTTGCAAGAGATCCTCGATACGTCTTCGTGGACGAGAATGTCCCGCCGCTCCTAGCGAATACCTACATCCAAGACGGCTTCTTCCTGCCTTCAGCTAACTTTGATGGCATCCAACAAGGCTTCGAATTTCCTGACCCCACCTTCCAGCCTGAGTCGATGCAGGTTGACACCAAGATAGCATTATCACCATGGGGAGACGCGCCTGAGTTTGCCCAAGATCGACCGCAGACCAATGTGCCCGATTGCAAAGAGTACCCAGAGTGCAGAAAGAGATGTCTGACAAACAATGGGGATGGTGTCGACACCGATGAATCAGACTTCACGTTGGATTTCGAGCCGTGCCCAAAAAAACATAGAGGTGAAATCGAAAACTATGGTCTCCCTTTCTCTGAGTCTTTACTAGGGGGTTCTGCACTGCATACCTCGCGTACGATGTGCCCAAACGACCAGGACCCGTCCAGCTATAAGCCGACTGAAAACGTTGTTGTTAGTCACATGCACCAGCGCGCCGATCATCAAGTGATCGCACGCACGCCCGACCAGCAAGAAGAATTTCCAGTTACGTCCTCTTCTGCGGGCTTTGACTTTGATCAGGCTGTTCTTCAACTTGAAGCGGCCGAGCTTTCGATGAAAGATGAAGAACAAGTTGCTCCCTTGCTTGACGAAGAGCGATCTTCATCGTGCGAGGTACGGTCTCAAACATCGTCCGGCGATGTGCATTCAAGCGAAACCAACATAGCGAGTCCAACTACAAGCGATGAAGGACAGATTGATTGTGATTACAATGCCGACCTCACTCTGCAGCAGTGTGATTCTTGTTTTGGAATGGTATGCTTGCCCTTACCTTCTAAGTTTCTAGCAATAATGCTTTTGGCCTCCCGGTCGACTCGTTCTATGTGACTAGAGCAGCATAGCCCAAGAAGTTGAGTCCACGAGATGCTAATCATATGATAGATCCACGCCAAATTTTCAAACTCAAAGTTTGTTCCAGATAACGATCAACCTCACACCGAACTCTACTTGAAGGTGGAAGAAGAACTGGTTTTCTTGTATCAAAGAGCATCAGGCAAGTTTGTTGGTGTCACTGATGCTTCCGCTGGCAGAACCCTGAGTCAACTGAAGAGCCGGTTTACTGTCGCATTTCATTCCTTTATTGTACTCCAGGACGGCGGCGGACACAAGCAAAAGATGCCACCTGGAGAATACAAGCTTCAGATCATCATATATGGGCTGAATAATGATGCCGATGAAGTCGGAGCTCTGCTATCAACACACAATTTATTCTTACAGCATCCTTGGCAAGTTGATCCTACGAAGCCATATTCGAACCCACACTACCTCTCCCGGCCAGGGAGAGACATGAATGAAGAGCGGTACAGAAGTACAGCGGCCTCCTATTCTTGTCCTGATGAACCGGTGCTCGACGAGGTTGGTCATGCTCGCGTGCTCAAGGTTTTTGAGTCTGCTCGTGGCCCCACCACGTTTGTGAAGCCTCGGATTGCCACTTGTTTGAAGACACCCTTGAAAGACTACCAAATGCTGGCCCTAGTCATGATGTTCGAAAAAGAAAACGGAACGATTGAGGGGTCCAGTTTCCCATCTTTGTGGCAGGTCCGCGACTTCTGTGGGAAAAAGAGACATCTCAATGCGGTTACGAAGGCATTTGAAGCTGAAGGCGCTGACTTTCGCCATGGTGGCCTCCTTGCAGATGATATGGGCCTCGGGAAGACTCTGACTACCTTGGCATTCATCGCTTCTTCAAAAGCCGCTGGCATTGGCAATGAAGATCAGTGTAAGGCGGATTTGTCCCCGCAGCCTCCATCTCTTGTTGTTGCCCCGAAGACAGCAATTCCCGTTTGGGAGGAGCAGATCCAAAAACACTTTGAGAGAAACAAGCTGCGACTTTATGTCTACCACGGCGCAGCTCGGAAAATCTCGAGTTTTACATCTGTTACTCATGACATCGTCATTACGACCTATGAGACACTCACCACGGAATGGTCCAGACACGCTAAGAAGCCCCTGTTTTCCCATTTTTGGCATCGCATCATTCTCGACGAGGCACATGAGATTCGCAACACCAATTCAGCCAAGCATCGTGCTGTCTGTGACCTGAGGGCTCACTATCGATGGTGCCTGACCGGGACCCCCGTTCAGAACATGATAGAAGACTACGGTGCAATTCTCAAGTTTCTCCGAATTAACCCATTCCTTTCCAAACATGCATTCAACCACTATATCGCGAATCCTATCAAGTCCGGGCGAGATGAAGGTTTCAGGACTTTGGAGACCCTTGTTAGGGCTACCTCGCTGCGACGGACAAAGCAATCAGACCTCAAACAGGGTGACCTTCCCAAAAGGCAAGCAATCATTTACCCCGTTGATCTTAGTGCAGCGGAAAGGAGTATCTACGAATTCTTCAGGAAAAGAGCTTCCAATTTGGCCTTTGGTCCTGATGGCGAGGCTGGGACGGTCACAGCCTTAGGCAATATTTTGCCAACTTTGACAAAGCTCCGACAAATTTGCAACCACAGCACAGGGCTACTGTCGCCAGCAATGCTAGCCGCTGCTGAGGATCGAGGTCTAGGGTTCATGACAGATTCTGATTTACAACAAGATCGATGTGACCAGTGCCATCTACCGTTTGCAGATGTCGAAGACGTTGGTCTCACGGAGCTGGACTTGGCCTGTGCGCATTCGCTATGTCAGAGGTGTTTGCGGCTGGCTCAGAATAACGAAACTATGCGAAATGCCGATGACCTGGATTGTCCCGTTTGCAGCAAGGCTAGCTCGCGCTCTTCTCGTGCCGGTCCAAGAGGTGGTGCACTCTCCCAGACGCTACTCGAAGCCGAGTTGGGGCCTTCTACCAAGATTCTGGCCCTCGTCCAGAATCTCCGACAAGATAGATCTGAATCAGCAGAACGACCTTACAAAAGGCAAGTGATGTGCATAACCTCTACTTCGTTGGCTCTGACCGTTTACAGTGTTGTTTTCTCCTGTTGGACGCGGATGTTGGATCTCATTGAGCTCTTTCTCAAACAAGACGGATTCAAAGTGCAGCGAATCGATGGAAGCAAATCACTATCACAGCGGCGTGATGCTTTGAAATCCTTCCGCGAGGATTCCAACTGTCTTGTCATGCTGGCATCCATTGATTGCGCTGGTTGCGGGTTCGTCAGGCTATTCCCATTCCATTTCGTTCTCTAACTCAGTGATGCTCTAGGCTGGACCTAACAGCAGCAAATCGGGTACATCTAATGGAACCCCAGTGGAACCCAATGGCCGAAGAACAAGCTCTTGATAGGGTCTACAGACTCGGACAACAACGGGACGTACTGGCAATCCGCTACATCGTCAGAGATTCAATAGAGGAGGCAAGTCCCGGAGATTGCAACATTTGGATACATCATGAAGGGCCTTATACACTAACTATCTTCCCTCAGTATGTCCAGCAAGTCCAGAAGAACAAGACAGATTTGATTAATCGAACGTTTGGCGAGACTGGGTTGAGTCGACACCAAATTGAGCAGGAACGTTTGGACGTAAGCGGCAGACCCGATGTCTCCTTCGCGCGGTATATTGACCTGCTAATTACTTATACAGCTTCTCAAACGCACACTGCTGTGATCTCCCCATGTTTTTACTGTCAAATGCACTGTCGCTGTCGGATATGGATGAAACTTTCCACTCTTCAACAGTGGCAGTTACTGCGAAAATGTTGTATTTCCATACCACATTGGAAGAAAATGCCGTCCCCTATCTTCGAGCGGTTAGCATTGCTTCTTGGTGAGGATTTGTCCATTTGTCGATGGATTATCCGTGGCGACTCTAGAATACAAGGACATACCGCTATGTATCACGAATCTGTCGAGGCCGCTTTAGATCCTGTCGGCCCTTGACTCAGCTCTTCCCTGCCTGAGTTTATCTGGGTTCCTTAGAACTCAGATACTAGAGTGTGCTTCTTTAATGATATGACACTAATCATTATTATTGCCATATTAATCAATATCAACTGTCTCCCAGGTGGCCGTCGTTGAAAAGTGGGCGCTTGGCTGCTGCGGAGGGTCGGCGACAAAGCAGCTCCGCGCCTGCGCCACTCTGAGAAATCCATACGACAAACCGCATCTTCCTCTGGGCCAAACCGCGTCGCCAGCATGGTCAATCTTGCCTTTGTTCTGTCAAAGCCTCTGGGCACCGATCCACGGCGGGCGAGATCTGATTCCCTCATGATGACAAAAGAGATGATTAAGCTCGTCAAGATGCAGTATCCCAGCCTCATTACTGTGGCTTCACCACCCAACCCTCCAAGCCGCTATTTCGACCCGCTCCAAGACGACATACTTCAGAGTATAAACCTCCCCGTCAACGTGTGAACTTTCAAGCCATCATCCCACTTCTGCATGTCCACGTACGCCGCCGAGCACTTCAATGCCCCCTCAAGAGATGAGCTATCAGCCACCACCACAACAGTCCCCTCTGCCCACGCAGGATCTCCCTTGCCTTGACTGCCGACGGAGGAAGGTCCGGTGTTCGAAAACGGAGCCATGTTTCAATTGCCAGCGCTTCAGCGTCGAGTGCGTCTACGAAGACTCGAGCCGTCTGGTGAGCAGACGCACGCCCAAGTCGACTGATCCCCTGTCCAAACGAGTCGCCGAACTCGAAGACCTCGTGCGAAACCTAAGTCGTCGACAGCAGCAAGGTTAGTCTCCTTCCCAGCGCCAGCTCAACAAGAGGATGCGGACTTAGACTTCGTCCCAAATACAGGAAACCCCATGGAAACCATGACCCAGAACGTCTTGCACAAGGTCTCTTGTCAAGCTGCAACACCAGAGGACGGTGCTACAGAGGGCAAGCTTGTATTCGACAAGGACAGATCCCGCTATCTCCACAAAGGGTTTTGGGCTGCTATGTATGACGAAGTTCGTTCAGCGCAAACCTCCAGTTGCATCGAACCTGCACATTTTTTTCTGGACCGAGTCTGATCTTGTTGTCGTGCAGGTAGGAGACCTGAGGTTTACTTTGCAAGCAGAGCCCAAGTTGCAAGACGACGCGTTCTTCTTCCCGTACACAAGTGGTCAGAGTCAACCTGCCGTGGCCCACCCCTCGATCCCCGAGAGCGACTTCTTGATCCAGACGTTTCTTGACAAGGTCGACCCGTTCGTCAAGATCCTGCACAAGCCGACGCTGCAGCTCGAACTGAACCATTTTCGACGCAGTGTGTGTGCGCGTTCTACGGAGTTTGAATGCCGTCTCTTCACGATCTACTCTCTAGCACTTCTGTCGATGTGTTCGACGCTGGTCGAGTATCGCCTTCACGAGTCCAAAAAGGTCTTGCTTTCACGCTTCCGCTCATATGTGGAACAAGTTCTAAGTCGAGTAAATCTAACCACAAGTCACTCCTTATCCACGTTGCAGACATTCTTGCTATATATTGTAAGTGTCAATCTCTCGGTCTTGACTCTAAATCTACACGGACTCACCGCTCCCTTCAGACTCTACTATTCTGGACAGGCGAAATGCTTCACGCGAACAGTCTCTTGGCAGTAGCGATTGCAATGGCCAGGCGAATGGGCCTCAACCACGATGGAACGCACTTCTCCCTTTCCCCCTGGCAGATCGAGCTCCGGCGACGACTATGGCACCACCTTGCGCTTTTGGATGCCTGGTGTGTTGAGAACCACGGGGTCCAGCCAATCCTCCAACCTGGAGACGCCGACACGTCTCTACCCCAGAACCAGGATGACGCGGACTGGGATACTACCGAGTTTGCCTCAACCCGTCCCAAGGAACACAACAAATTCACCGACATGACGTTGGCTCTGATGCATTACGAGGTGGGCGCTCTCACCATGTTTGTCATGAACAACACGTACACGCCCTCCATGACGGTCCGTGGGTATTTGGATCTCCAGAACGAGGTCCTGCGACAAGCCCGGGATCGACTGGACATTCTCTATGCCAGGAACCTGGATGAAACCGACATCCTGCAGAAGCTGGCAAAAGACCTCATGCACCAAGCCTTCAAAAGAGTGCGATTGATCCAGCTCCAGCCGATCCTCAATGCCAAGGGCATCGACGAAGGCCAGCGCGCCGGGCTCGAGGCCAAGGTCTACCACCTGGCCATCGACTACTGCAAAAGCACGCAGAATCTCATCACCTTCTACACCCCCTACAGCCTCGACTGGGCCGTCATCCGCGCCTTTTCGTGGCACTCGGTCGCCACCATGCTCTCCATGGTCCTCCGCCACGAGGCGCTCAGCACCACCCCCGAGGCCCGCGCCGCGAGCAGCCGCATCGAGCGCCTCTTCCAGAACCGTCCCTCGATCGACTACCTCGCCGGCAACGACAACCTGTGGGAGCCGCTCAGGGTCTTGCGTGCCGAACTCGCCGCGCGGGAGCGCGCTGTCGCTGCCGCCGCCGCCGCCGTGGCTCAGAATGGCGTGGGGGTCGACGTGGTGGGCACGGCAGGGTCGGACGCTGGGACGACGGACGAGTGGGCCGACTTGGTTTCCATGACTTCGACGAGCATTGATCCCGCGCTGTTTGGATTGGTGGGTGTGGGTGTTTGTGAAGGCGAGGACCTTGGTTTTGAAACTCTCCCGGACCTGGAAGCGTTCACGTAAAAAGCGATGACCTCTGCGGCGTCACGATTTGGGAGGTATGCAAGAAGCCTAAGGATGGCAGGTTATAGAAATGCTTCCGGGTATCCAATGTTTTAAGTATACAGGCTGTTACACATGATCCGGGAACGTTTCTGTGGTCCTCTGAATCTTTCGCTACCGGCCGCCGCGTCCCACAGTCACTAAGCAGGTTATCCGCTATGAGTGCATTCTGCAGAAAAAGGTAGGATTTCTGAGAATCGTTCTCACGTCCATCACCGCTGGTATGGGGTTGACTTTGTCTGCTCTAGCGGGCTGTCATCCTCCAGCACAGACCGTGGTTCTTCAAGGATTTCGGCCACTTCCTTCTGTCCGACCAGTATCCGCGCTTGGTTATATGACAACTGGCGGTCGACCAGGACTTCTCTGATAAGGCTCATCGTTTCTCGTACCTGTCGAGGCCACGCGGTCAGCGATTTCCACCACCACACGAGGTCTAGTGTTTAACAGAGTGTGCGTAATTTTTGTCTCAGAAAACTTTTCAGTACTATTCGAATCATGACCAACGAGGATTAAGCGGTCCCTGGAGGCCGGAGTTTCATATCGGCGAGTGAAAGGATGGGGTTCATCATTGCGACTTTGACGGGCGAAGGGGTGAATCACTTACAACGGCAACTCGCTCTTCGCTTTCCACTTCTCCATAGCCTGCCCTCAGACGTTGTCTCTCTTTTTCTCGAGTCAAGGTTCGATTCTGCTCCTTGACGCACACCCAGTAGAGCTTGTGGAGATCTTCAAAGGATTTCACAGATAACTCTTTGTACGTCCAGGCCCGACCTATTTGTTCCCGCGAAAATGGTTAGTCCGCGTCATCATGCACTCTCCGCACAAGGGAGCAAAGGCTTTTAGCATACCATGGCTCGACTCATCGTCCGGTGGAAGCAGTGACTGTTTCGACTTATCAAAGAAACCCCAGAGTCCATGGTCCGCAGATTCAGCATATTCTGCCGCCGTTCCCCTGTGATCCCGTGCCACGGGCACTGGAAGGGGGTATTTCCACAGTCCTCGCGTGCTCCTAGGTCCCGTCCGTCGGATAGCAGAGACACCTCTTTTCTTGTTCCTATCAATCTTCGGACGCGCGTGTAGTGCCCAGTTTGTGTGGCTTTTCTTTTCGTCCTTTTTGGTTGCATATGATCGAAGGCTCGGAGTTGATAATGTGACTGCGGTAGCAACTGACCTGGCGAAAGCTGGTGCCAGGAACAGGGGGATGCTTGTCACTGACGGGGCCCCAGCGATTGTCCTGGATACCGACGCCATCCTTGACTATCGGACGCCTTCAAAACCGTAAGAGTCGAAGTCGACTGAGATTATAGGTCTGGTTGGAGCGTAGCAGTTGGGGTTGTAGAGAAGCTCGGGGAGATTCACAATTGAAAACTGCGCCAAGACTGGCTCGCTACACCTTCTCTAAGAGCGATCGGCTAACCAAATCGAGAGGTGTCAACAAACCGACTGTATCAATCAGTAGGAGAAAGACTCCCTCATGCGCTTGGACGTGTTGAGTGGTATGATCGCGTTGACTGTGTAATTCGGCATCATGAAAATCATAGAGTTGGTCATCGATGGGTAAGGGCCCTACAACTGTCGCTTGAATAACACCGATAACTAACGAATGCAGCTTCAAATCCTACAGCCAGAGAACCGTCATCTCCGGCTGGGATCAAAGCTTCAATGCCGTGACAGGACTCAATGGATCCGGAAAGTCCAATATCCTTGACTCAATATGTTTCGTACTGGGCATCACGAACATGTCCACGGTCCGAGCGCAGAACCTCCAAGACCTCATCTACAAGCGCGGCCAGGCGGGAGTAACAAAGGCGAGCGTCACCATCGTTTTTGACAACAGCGACAAGAGCACGAGCCCGATCGGCTTCGAAGAATATGCGCAGATTAGCGTGACGCGACAGATAGTTATGGGCGGGACAAGCAAATATCTCATCAATGGTCACCGAGCGCAGCAGACCACAGTACAGAACTTGTTCCAGAGCGTCGGACTAAACATCAACAACCCAAATTTTATCATCATGCAGGGGCGCATCACCAAAGTCCTCAACATGAAAGCTGCCGAAATACTGGCCATGATCGAAGAAGCTGCAGGAACTCGTATGTTTGAGGATCGCAAGGAAAAAGCTGTCAAGACCATGGCGAAGAAGGAGATGAAGGTAGTCGAGATAGAGGGCCTGCTACGCGAAGAAATCGAGCCCAAACTTGACAAACTGCGCGGTGAGAAACGAGCGTGGTTAGATTATCAGAAGACACAAAGCGAGCTCGAGAGATTGACACGAGTGGTTGTCGCAGCAGACTACGTTCGATCTGGCGAAAGGATGAAGAGCGCAACTCAAGAACACGAAGTCAAGCGAGCCAAGGTACAACACCTGGAGGAGAATGCCGTTAAGTTGAAACGCGAGATCGAGAACTTGGATGAAGACGCCCAACGCGTTCGTGCAGTTCGAGAAAAGGAGATGCGCAAAGGCGGGCGGTTTCAAGCAGTCGAAGCCCAGGTGAAAGAGCTGAGTCACGAACTTGTACGCCTCGCTACTGTGCTCGATCTGAAGCACTCTAGTCTGTCCGAAGAAGAGCAGAAAAAGAAAGACATTGCGAAATCTGTCAAGAGTCTGGAAAAACAAGTGAGTGACAAAAAAGCAGGGCTGGCGAAACTGCAGTCGCAGTGGGACGGCGCGAAAGCCGAGCATGATTCGCAAAACTCAGAAGTTGAGAAGAAGGAGGAGCTCCTGTCAACGCTACAGACCGGAGTTGCTTCTCGCGAAGGCCAGGAAAGTGGGTATCAAGGCCAACTGCATGAAGCTAGAAACCGATTGACAGCCGCAACCACCGAGCAAGAACAAGCCAAGATGAAGATCTCGCATCTTGAGAAGCGAATAAAGGAAGACGAGCCCCGAGCCAAAAAGGCACGGGAACAAAATGCGGATCTCCTCAAGGGTCTCGAAGTGCTCCGCAAGGAAGCACAGAAGCTGGAGAGCGACCTGCAAAAGCTGGGATTTGAACCTGGCCGGGAGGAGAGCATGCGGGAGCAGGAAGTTGCTCTTCAAAAGAGCATCCGCACTCTAACCCAACAAGCCGACGAGCTAAAGCGAAAAGTTGCAAACGTTGACTTTCATTTCAGCGACCCTTCGCCAAACTTTGACCGCTCGAGGGTGAAGGGGTTGGTTGCTCAACTCTTTACTTTGGATAAGGACAAATCCGTCGCCGGTACCGCTCTCGAGATATGTGCTGGCGGTAGGTTGTACAACGTCGTCGTCGACACAGCAGAGACCGGGACACAATTGCTCCAGCACGGAAAGCTGAAAAAGCGAGTGACCATCATCCCTCTCAACAAGATTTCGGCTTTCAGAGCTTCAGCAGAGAAGGTTGGTGCCGCACAGCGAATAGCACCTGGCAAGGTTGATCTCGCCCTATCATTGATTGGGTACGACCACGAAGTATCTGCAGCCATGGATTACGTCTTTGGGACCACATTGATCTGTCAGGATGCAGAAACAGCAAAACGGGTCACATTCGATCCAGCAGTCAGGCTGAAGAGCGTGACGCTTGAAGGAGACGTCTATGACCCATCAGGTACACTTTCTGGAGGAAGTGCTCCGAATTCCAGCGGCGTCCTTGTGATCCTCCAGAAGCTGAATGAGGTCACGAAAGAATTACAAAAGCACCAATCAGAGCTTCAACAGCTCCAAGAGACCATGAAAAAAGAGCAATCAAAGCTCGCCAATATCAAGTCCGTCAAGCAAGTTCTGGATCTCAAAAGCCATGAAATCAAACTTGCAGAGGAGCAGATCTCCGGCAATTCTTCCTCATCGATCATCCACGCGATCGAAGAGATGAAAGCATCCATCGTGCAGTTGAAGCAAGATATGGCGGGTGCCAAAGCCCGGGAGACCGAGGCAACAAAAGATGTGAAGCGGATTGAGAAGGACATGGAGGATTTCAGTAAGAACAAGGACAGCAAACTCAAAGAACTCGAAAAGTCATTGGTCGACCTGAAAAAGTCACTCAGCAAGACATCAGCCGCGATCAAGACGCTTCAAAAAGAATTGCAGGACACAAAGATCGACTGTGAACAAGCAGAAAGCGATTTGAACGCGGCTCTGGAGCAACTTTCCGAGGCCGACACCGCCATTGAGACCCAGAAAGAGGAACTCCAGAATCTCCGGCAAGAAGAAGCCACCGTGAAGAGCAACCATGATATCGCACAGGCCGAACTGGACGACGAACGAGCAAAACTGACGGGGTTCGACGACGAGCTGCGCGAATTGGAACAAGCCAAATCTAAGAAGTCCAAACAGATCGCTGAAGAGGCCCTCGAGGCACAAAAACTGGGCCATGCGGTCGAGAAAGCTCAGAAGGACGCTCAAGCAGCCGCACAACTGGTGGCAGCGCTGGAAAAGGAACATGACTGGATTGAGGACAACAAAGACCAATTTGGGCGCCCCGGCACGCCGTACGATTTCCACGGCAAGAACCTGTCCGAGAGTCGAGCAACCCTGAAAAACGTCACCGAGAGGTTCCAGGGGATGAAGAAAAAGATCAATCCCAAGGTGATGCCCATGATCGATAGTGTCGAGAAGAAAGAGGCATCTTTGAAGAACATGCTCCGTACAGTCATCCGGGACAAGAAGAAGATTGAGGAGACAATCAGCACGCTGGACGAATACAAGAAAGAGGCTCTTATCAAGACATGGCGCAAAGTCACCGAGGACTTTGGCAACATCTTTTCGGACCTTTTGCCAGGGAACAACACTGCGAAATTGGTGCCGTTAGACGACAATATTGATCGGATTCAGGAAGGGTTGGAGGTGAAGGTGTGTTTGGGAAAGGTCTGGAAACAGAGTCTCACGGAGCTTTCGGGTGGTCAAAGGTATGCCATGCTTGCAGTCTCTCCTTCTCCAATCGCCACAGTGCTAATGGATTGTCATAGATCGCTCATTGCTCTGTCCCTCATCCTTGCCTTGTTACAGTTCAAGCCCGCTCCGATGTATATCCTGGACGAGGTGGACGCGGCATTGGATCTTTCGCACACTCAAAATATTGGTCGGATCATCAAGACAAGGTTCCAGGGGTCGCAGTTTATCGTCGTCAGTTTGAAGGATGGCATGTTTCAGAACGCCAATCGTGTCTTCCGGACGAGATTTAGCGAGGGAACAAGCGTGGTGTCTGTGATGACACCTGGGGAGTTGAAGGGTTGAGTGCTGCTTTTGTCGAAAGTTCTTTGTCGGGTGAACTCATTTGGGAGGCGTCTTGGGATTGATGTGATATGTTTGGTCGTGGCGATCTGAGTCCATTTAAGTACCTGTTGGGTTGGTCGATGAGTTCATGACTTGACGAGGGCATGTTTTGGAGTGGTGAAGTAGGTGAATCTTCCGCTTGCGGGTTGGCGATCAGGCGCTGTCCTCATTGCCAACGCTGCCATGATTTGGCACAAATCTCTAACAAGCCTGGCTCTTCTTCACCTCGTTCCCAAACTTTCAACAACTTCTTCCACGACTCCTCTTACACCCGAGATCTCATGGGCAAACCTCCCCAAAAACAACCCATCGACCCATTTCCCCAGTCCGTTGCCTCCATTGGCCTTGCCACTCCACAGCCCGGGACCGGCGCTGCCGCCGTAGACGACCTTGACCTCAGCCTTCCTCTGCGGCGCGACTTGCCCGGCGACCTCTCGGATAGCCTGGACGACGGGGCCGACGTAGTCGACGCCAGCGGGCTCCGCGGCGCCGATGGCCCAGACAGGCTCGTAGGCGAAGATGACGGGGGCGTCGTGCGGCACGGCGGCCAAGACGCTCTGGATCTGCGGACGCAGCTGGACCATGGCGGCGCCGACGGACTGGCTCAGGGGTCCGCGCAGGTCAGGCCTGTCTAGCTCGCCGATGCACACCAGGGGCACCATGTGCGCGGCGCACACGGCGGCGGCCTTCTTCGCGGCCGTGCCGTCGTCCTCGCCCAGGTACCGCCGGCGCTCGGCGTGGTTGAGCTCGACGACGGAGCAGCCCAGCGCCTTGATCCCGGGCACGACGATCTCGCCCGTGAAGGCGCCGTAGGTGGTGGAGGGGTAGACGTTCTGCGCCCCGAGGGCGATGGGCCACGACGACGGATCCACGTCGACAACATCTTGGGCCGAAGGAGACGCCGCGGGGAATTTGGCGCCCAGGGTCTGCGCGCACGGGTAGAGCGTGAGGAAGTCCGGGATGAGCACGAAGAGCACGTCGGCGCGGTGGCGCTCGAGCTGCGGGAGGATGTTGTTCTCCGGGGCCAGAAGCGAGGCCAGGTACGAGATGGTGCGCGAGGGGGAGAAGTAGGCCTTGGTGGACGTGAGGATCAGCTTGGGGGGGAGACGCGGGTATGAGGGTGGTGCGGACATTGTTGGGCGAGGTCGTCGTTCAAGCAGGGGGAGTCGAGGTGGATTGATGGGGCTCAGCTGGTGGTGGTGGTGTAGTAGCAGTAGTAGGAGTGTATGTAGCTGTACTTGAATACTCAGTATGGTGGCTTGATATATATCCAATTGCGGAAGAGCCGTCCACACAGCAATAAGTACTTGTATACTTACCCGTCCCGAACAACCACCGACCCAAACGGCCAGAACTTCCACACCGTGCCACATACCGCGTTCTCCATACAAGAAATTCTCGAATGTCAATCCCCTCCCCTCACCCCCACCCACTACTTCATCTCCCCTCCCCCCACGTGTGTTGACCTCGAATTTACCCGGCCCCGGAAGTCTCGATATGGCAATTCCGGCGTCGGAAAAGAGGTGTTACAACTATGACGCCAGAGCGAAAGAGGCGCCACCACAGAAAATTACCCCAGCAGCGCCGATGGATTGCGGGCATCGGACACGGCAATGGACGCCGTCGCCCTCCAGACCTCGCGCGAGGGCGGCGATGGGCAATAGAGAGAGAAGAGCTTCGTTTAATTAATAAGTTGTAATTAAATATTTCTATTTCCTCTTCAGTTTCCAAACACACACACACATACGCACCTACACCTCTCTTCGGGATATTCTGTGTGAAGGGCAAGACACCGCTCGACATTTCCTCCACCCCCCACTTGAACAATAACTACCGCGACCAAGTCCTCTCCTCCATTGTAACAACCCTCCCCCTCGAATAGAAAAATCAAGCGAGACGATCCCAAAATCCTCTCCTAGGATGGCGACCAACGGCACGGCCAAGACCCCCATCCGCGTGGTCGTCGGCAGCGACAACGCCGGCCACGCCTACAAGACTGCGCTCAAGGAGGTGCTCAAGAAACACGCGGGCGTGACGCACGTGCTGGACGTCGGCGTCGTCGACGCGGACGACGCCACGGCGTACCCGCACCTGGCGGTGGATGCGTGCAAGAAGATCAAGTCGGGAGAGGTGCGTTGAACACCCACCTACCTACCTACCTACCTACCTACCTACCTACCTCCGCCACGCTTCACACTCGCACACAAATCCCCATTGATCCATCCCCACAGCCTTGACCGGATGTTAATGCTGACGCTGCGGCGCGTACGACCAACAGGCCGACCGCGCGCTCCTGATCTGCGGCACGGGCCTCGGGGTGGCCATCTCGGCCAACAAGGTCGAGGGCATCCGGGCCGTGACGGCGCACGACCCGTACAGCGTCGAGCGCAGCGTGCTCTCCAACAACGCGCAGGTGCTCTGCTTCGGTCAGCGCGTCATCGGCCTCGAGCTGGCCAAGAAGCTGGTCGACGAGTGGGTCGAGCTGCGCTTCGACGAGACCAGCGCCAGCGCCGAGAAGGTCGCCCACATCACAAAGTACGAGGAGCAGTTTGGCGAGTTGTGAACGCCGAGCATGCGAGCGTGCGGACGGGGCGGCGGGCCAAAAAAAAGGGGGGCAGGGAAGATCATTTCAAAAGAAGAGGCGAGGGGGTGGTGGTGGGTGAGGAAGAAGGAGAAGAAAAGAGGCCTGAATATATATCCGCCACTGATCCTTTGCGTTTTGGGGAGCATTTGCTGGGTGTTCCCTTTTTGTTGGATTCTTGGATTGAGGGGCGGAAATTAAAAAAAAAAAAAGGTCTGCTGCCATGCGCATATAGAAGAGCATGTATCTGACATCTTTGTCGTCCAACACAAATTCCCAATGTCCACGATGCCATGATGGCCGCAGCCTCGAATCCGGCACCCATGAACGGGGGCCTCGCATCTCACAACGTCTTCCCTTTCTCCGAGCCGACACCGTGCAGGATCTGTCTCTTGACTCTGACAAACGCGTCGACGCCCATCAGGCACGCTAAACTCCCAGAGATCCCAACAGACCGTTAGCCAAGCTGTGTTTCCAAACCGACAACCAAGGTTCCTGCATTCACTCATGCCGAACCTATATCTCGGAGACAGAAACGAAGGGAAAAGGAACGTACCGAGAACCAAGTAAGGCACGTAGAGCCCGTACAGGTCCGACTTCTGCGCAGCCGTGTAGCCCTCCCAGGCGGAAATGTCGACGACGCAGGTGAGCGTGGTGACGGCGACCTCGAGGGCGAAGATCAAGAGGTTGAGCGGGACCAGAGGATGGTCTGGGACCGAGGGGGAGGGGGGTTTGTCTCGTCAGCTGAGGAATGTACATAGATAGCGAGATCGAAATGCATGCCAAATGGGTGCCCTGCTGGGACTCAACTCACCGCGGAACAATCCCCACACCATCCACAGGCTGATCGGCACGTGGTACACGGCCTCGAGCCACATGTACGCCGTGAACCACGCCGGCGGGCTGACGAAGAACTGGTCCCGGAAGCGCTCGAGCTGGTACGCGCGCAGCGAGCGCGAGAGTGGCGAGACCAGGAAGGGCGGGAGGATCGAGGCCAGGTCCACCACTAATAGAACGAGTCAGTTGCAATGGCAGCGCTGCACGAGTAGGAATGATTTGCAAGCTAGTGCGTGGAGAGAGAGACGGGGTAGAGACAGCATAGAATGTGAGAGGACACGGGTGCAGAGGAGATGCATGGCTCATGAAGAGCAACCAGCCAATCTTGTCCTCGTCCTTTTGAGCGTGTTGGGTTGGAACCGACGTACAGAACATGATGGGGACATGCACGATGAAAAAGGCCAGATACACCGCGTCGAGCTTCCTGGCTGATAGTGGACGCCGAGCTCGTCGCGTCGCGGTGGTTGGTGCTGTCACTGCCATCTCTCCGGCTTTGGGGTCTTTAGGTAAAGGTGCTTGGATAACGTGTAGGTGAGGAGTAATACCCAGCAACTGGAGGCGGGTTAAGAACCACAGAACTAGTTACAGTTGTGCAATATGTACTTGTACATTCAGTCATCCGGGTGGTACAGAAATCAACCAAATTCAGGGGCTGGTGAAGGTGGTGAAGCTTCCTCAATCGGGAAAACCCTGGTCAGATTCCAATCTTGTTTGGTGCCAACGGACAACATGGCATGACGGCGGCTTGTTGTTTCTTGTTTCTTGTTTCTCGTTCTTGTAGCTGAGCGCCATGCCAAACTTGCCAGACTCCAAAAGCTCGATCGACTATCTGGTTACGACTTTTCGAGCACATGCGTTACAAAATAACATGGTATCAAGATAGAGAGACAGGACCTCTTATCCCAGAAGTCGCCCGACTCTCTCGACAACCTCCCTGGCGACTCTCGTGGTTTCCTCGTCCAGCCCTGCCGCTCTCCCCTGCTGCAATAAGGCTTGCATCGTCTCCTGCACCCTCGTCGCCGCAACTTCGCTGCCAAAGATCACAGACCCCGCTCTGGTCGAATCGTGGAACCACCTACCAACCACATAAACCAACTCAGAGGCGATGTACTTTCGATTTGATCCAACAAACGGAGGATCGCCCGAGAAAAACATCAGCTCCAGGATCTCAAAAAGCCGCTCACAGGGGATCTCGAGCGAGAGAAAGATATCCACGACCCAATGCGCAGGCGCCACATTGCGTTGGTGTTCGAATGAGTATTTTTCCAGAATCGGGAGCAAAGTGTGAACCGGGAACGTCGTCTCCGAGACGCGCAATTTACTGCCCAGACTTCTCACCTCGTCGGCAATGGCTTCGAAGGGCTGGATCTGTCCTTCCTCCTGGACTTTGTCGTGCACCGACTGGAGGAGCTGTTGCCAGGTTTGCTTGATCTGGGCGGGATCCCGATGGTCGGCGACTTGGTAGATCAACAGACAAAGGTCATAGTACCCCGCGTTGTCCGCATAGTTGTTGAACAGCGTGTTAATGTCCAAGATCTGGCCATTGACCTGATCAAGGACTTCCTGTCTCCGCTCGGGCCCGAGTCGATAGTCGTCACGCAACCGCTGAAGCACTTCGTCTTGTATGGTCGCAATGTCGAGGAGTTCGGTGATTTCTTGCAGTAATTGTTGCTTGGTCTTTCTGCTGCCTCCCGGGGTGTAAGTCGAGGCATTGGCTCTGGCTCTGCTCAGATACTCGATTCTCTTCTCGAGCGACAGTGGAAACGAGCTCCGGGCAAGTTGCAATTGGATCTTGGCCGCCTCGGAGAATTGATTCGTTTGGCTGTAGTATTTCCAGAGCAGATCCGCGTAAAGAATGTCCTCGGTTGACTTGCGTTGAAGGTATGTCACTATGAACGGAGACTCGGTCGCGAGAAGGCGATCGTACCATCCTTGCTGGAGATACCAATCGTAGAGATTGGTCAAGAACGCCTCATCCTTGGACCGGCTGATGACATCGTAAGCTTCGTTCCGTCTGGTCGCAGCCAGCGTCGGGTGGCCATCCACAAAACTCGGACCTTGCTCTGTGGTCTTATCCACGGCGACAATGACCGCGTGGATGAGGTCGTAGCACTGGCTCCGGAGGTCAAACCTTGCTTTCCGAGCGTCAGGCTCTGGTCGACCTTCCGCCATCCAGGACAATGCTTCGTTCGCCTTGTCCTTTTCATGAGCAACCCGTAGGACAAGTTGGATGGCTCCAGCAAAGAACTGGAGATCCGTGTACTGTTTCACAGCCGATTCCAGATAGTCATGAGGTAGACTGTGAGCCACCTTTTCAAAAAGTTTCAAGCTTTCATTTAGAAGATTTCGTGAAGAGTCATTGTCGGGCCCTGCTTCCGCCGCTCGTCTGAGTTGCTCTTGTGCTTTGAATATCACCACGTCGTCGGCGCTGCAGAAGCTGCCACATTTTCGGCGCAGAGCTTCCGCCACCGTCTCCACATTGGACCCTTTGGCGATGTTGCGGTTCACAATGGCCTTGACGAGCTCTTTTGCAAGCTCGTACCCTTTCTTTGTCGTGAACAGCTCCTCAAAGGTAAGCTTCGGCATCTCGGGTCTGGAAACCTCCGGCAGCAGAGGCACTATCTCCGCGACCTTCTCTTCGAACAAGACGAGAATAAACGAGAGACCTTCAATGGTATCTGACGTAAACTTGACCAGTGAATGCAAGGCACGATGTTCCCCCTGCAGAGCGATCTCATCATCCTTGGTGCTTGTTGCCGAAAGATCATCAGGCCCGCTGAGACCTTTGATGAAACTCCTGTTCGTCTGGAAGAAGCGCTGAAGCGCAGACAACGACTCCTGAACATCTCTTAGTTTTTTGAGAGGCACGGCCGGATTGATCTGGTAGCCGGCTGGCGTAGTTGACTCCACAGCAATTACGTTCTTCCACGTCGATCTCAATAAGCGTGAAAGGTACAAAGCAATGGCCGCATGGCGAGGCGACGGTCGTACAGCGTCGATCAAGGGGACAGACCTGTCCGTAATGGAGTTCTGGTTGATGCTTGGCTTGCCCCCGTATTCGATGAAGGTCTTGCGAGCAAGCTCGAGGACTTCCGGGTCGTTAACCCGGACCGACTGAGCACTACCTGTGTCTTCTACCCCTTGGCCGCATGCGACCGCAAGTGCTGTGGCTAGAGTCTCTGTCCTACCATAAGCCCGGATTAAATTGCTGACCTCGTGCTGAAATCCCTCGGGGCCACCGCCTTGACTGCTTAGAGCTGCAAAAATGTCTACCAAGCGACGTCTTCTGATGATGTGGATACCGGTATTCGTCAGGATTGCAATTTCTGGAATAGCCTTGTCAAATTGGACAGCCAAATCGTTCCCGTAGCCGATTGGATTTGGAATCGGAGCAGAATATGGGATCACCAATCCTACGTCTTCTGCGCGACTGCCCAGTGAGAGCCATATTGCAGACTCAGATGTTCGACTCGTCTGGCCAGGTTCGGAGCTCCGCAGCAGTCTTCCGGCGTCAGGGGCTGAAATGAATAATTGGTCAGTAGGTGAGTTGGCGTCCCTAGCTGTGAAGCAAAAGAAGTACCCGGGCGGATACCGCGCTGCGAGTCGAGTCGTTGTCAACGTCTTGATAGGCTGATGCACGTCGCTGGACGAATCCGTTCCCCATGTGCTCGAATGACCCGGATTGGGGGATACCGGCGGTACTTTGACATGTTGTGCTTGTACACTGATAGGCGCACTGGACCTAGTTGAAGAACCGTAGCTGTAGCTGGTGGCGCTTTTGGCGCTGAGGTATATCCGATAGCCAGTCGCTGTGATGGCTACCAGATGGTATCGTGACGCCTCGGACGCCGGAAGAGCTGATATGGACACAATCTTGACTCGATTGTTGAGGGACTCGCTCTGGTTAATGATGTGGCCAATATTATCGTAGATCTCGGATGCAGGTTTCGTGACCAACAGAGGCAGGCCGCCTTCAGGCTTGATGTGGAACACGCGAATATTCGAAGCGGAAGACAGAGTGTAAAGCAGGTCTCTGCTATCATCCACCACGATCTGTTCCACATGCTCCCTCTGGCCGTGGGCGAAGCTGCTGAACGTCCATGTCAAAGACTTGGTAGCACCACTAGTGTGACAGATCTTCGCACACCGACTTGCAAACCACCGATCCTCCTGCTGATATGTGAGCTCATAGATGTCATTGTCCGTCCGGCCACCAAAGAATATCCTTCCAGTTTTCGCAGAGGAAGCGATGACGCTAACATCGAGACCTCGTACTGAGACTGACATACCAGTCTGAAAAAGAGACAGAGCGGATGAGCCGCCTGAGCCCGACTCCGTGCCGAGTCCCAGTAGGAATATGTCTGCCGTTGTTGCAATGACAATGACGTGTTTGATGTTTGGCAGAAAGACTCCCGGGCGAGGGACGGCGAGCTTGACAGCAAGGATGCTGTGCGACTGTCCCTCAAAGCCTAGTAACTCGGGCCTTGGTGCAGAGTAGTCCCACATGTACAAGGCGTTGTCGATCGTTGTCCAAGCGTACCTCAACTCCGCAAATAGACCCATACTCGTGGTCAACTGCGCATTGTTATACTGTTCGAATATCTCATCGGGGATCCTGTAAAAGCCAGCTCTCTGAAATGGCGCCCACGTTGTCGAAGATTGGATGTCATAATCGGCAGAGTAGCCCTGGGACAGGTAACTGTCGACCTCTGGGAATCGCGATTCACTTGCAAGGGATTCATTGATTGTGCGCGCAGCTCTTTCCACTGGTTCCAGCGCCTCGGGTGGGCGCATTGACGCTTGGACAGGCGCTTCGGAGGGATTTGTGGTGATGAGGCTTGTCGACGGTTGAGAAGGTATGAGGGCAGGGCGAGATATTGGAGTCGAGGGAGACTGGAAGGAGGGTGCAGGTATTGCTGGAGGGCGCGCGGCAGGGGTCTGAGGCCAAATGCCCGGCACAGGCCGGACAGGTGTTTGTGCTATGACAGAGCCCATCATTCGCCGTGACTGTCGTCGTTGTCGTCGCAAGGGGAGGAAGGCTGGGTTAATTGTGAACAGACATGAAGCAAGGCAGTCGCCAGTGCAATGACAGCACAAGAAAGGCGGTCCTGGTTGTCGGTCCAGAGGCGACGCGATCAGGACAGTTGCGGATGGACAAAGCGCAATATTCAACCCACACAAAGCCGAGCCCCAGGCCTCGCAGAACTGTGAACTTTTGGTTTGCAGAGACGAAGATGGAAATATAGACGCGACTGGAGATGGAAAGTAATGCGGATAGCCCAAAAGTAGTTTAGCGTCAGGTACCATGACTCGCGTACACAATTTGTGTCTCTTTTCGACCTGCAACTTACCAGTTGTGATTGATCCTCTACTGGCAGCTCATACCTAGAATCTTGCAGAGTGCTAGCCATGGCGTCGATCCGCAACTCCAGGCTTCTGTTTTTCCTCGATCAGCCGATTTGTTATCGATGTATCCGCAGAAATGCAGGTTTCGGCTTGCGCTGGTCGTCCACATCGACCGAAGCTCCAGCTTCACCTCTGCTGGCCAAAATCAAGAATGACTTGAAGAGTGCCATGCGCGCAAAGGACACATCAAGGTAAGGCAATGCAGTCTATCTCTCACACACAATACCGTCTGCTATACACTCCCTTCCGATGCTTCTAGATGCTGAGACAATAACCCTGAGGTAAGATTAACGGTCCTTCGGGGCACCATCTCCGAGATCAACCAAGCCGCCTCCTCTTCCGCGCCCATAAAGACGGACCTCCAAATTCTCGCTCTACTGCGTAAGCGCAAATCTGCGACAGAGGCAGCGATGAAGGAGGCCGAAGCCGCCAAACGACCGGATCTGGCAGAGAAGCAAGCGAAAGAGATGGAGGTCATTGATGAGTTGGCGGGGAGTGTAAAGCTGATGGATCCCGCAGCTGTCAGATTGGTGGTCCGGGGAAAGATAGAGACGTTGAGGAACACCACGCAGGGGGAGTTGAAGCAAGGGGTTGTAATGAAAGAGCTGTTGAAGCCCGGTGGTGAGTTGGACGGGAAGCCACTGGACAACAAGATATTGGCAGAGTTGGTGCGGGAGGAGCTATTCAGCAACCACAATCCCTCGTGATGAGGGGATGCGTTTGTTCAAGAATAGGCCCGATTTCGGGGTTGCATTACTTTGTATTAATATTCTGGACGAGTGGGATGAGATGGGCCAAAGAGCACCAGAGCTCGCCCTTTCCATTTCTTGAGAGGAGAGCCATTCCTCTGGTTCCCGTATCCCTGCCTTCAAATACATGCGCAACGCCTCTCAGCCGCGATAATATTGCACCTATTCTTACTGCTCGAGACGAGACGCCCCGTGAGTCCGACCCCAGGTCCTCCTGCTTTCCTGCCTGCAAAATCCCGAGCCATCCCTCCCTTGGCGATCGACAATCTTGGGCAACCCCACAAACTTGTTGATCCAGTTGATCACGACGAGATGCCACACGAGACTGTTCTCCGGTTTCAACACCCAGTGATTTTCGTCCGGGAAGCTTAGGAAGCGACTTTCGATACCCTTCATCTGAAGCACGTTGAACGCCGACAGACCCTCGGCCACCGTCAGACGGTAGTCGAGCTCGTTGTGGATCACGAGCATGGGAGTGTCCCAGAACTTGGTGAAGCGGCTGGGATCCCACTTGTCGTAGATTTCTTGCCGCTCCCAGATTGGCCCTCCGAGGTCGTGAACGGGGAAGTATTGCTCCTCGGACGCCAACTGGCCGGTCATACTAAACACTCCGTCGTGGCAGACCAGTGCCTTGAATTTGCGCCCCAGGTCGTGTCCTTGAATCCAGTTCATCATGTAACCCCCATAGCTAGCGCCCAACGCGACTGCTCGCGAGGTGTCAACGAACCCCAAATCGGACTCGATGAATTCGAACCCTTTGACGAGGTCCTCGTAAGGGAGACCACCCCACTGATTTCGGATTGCGTCGGTAAAGTCCTGGCCATAACCCGTAGATCCTGTCGGGTTAGGACAGATGACCACATACCCCTGCTCCGCAAAGACGGCAGGATTCCAGCGTGTCGACCACTGGTCATTCCAGGCACCTTGCGGGCCACCATGGATCAAATATGCAAGGGGATACTTCTGCTCCGCCCGGAAGAACGAAGGCCTCATCATCCAAGCGTGAACAGGATGGTCGTTCGCCCCTTTCCACCATATCGAGGAGACTTGTTCTGGGGATAGACCGAACATGCTTCCATTTTTGCTCAGTGACGAAATGATCACCGGTTGCGTCTCGGCCAGTGGATCGGGATCCACGAGAGTGTATGTGCTGTTGTCAACAAGACTGTTGCTTGAGACGAGCAAGAGATTAGTCTTGGTTGAGATGGGCGCAAAGTCAATGATGTATCCGGTATGGGTCAATTGGCGTGGTCGCCATTCTGGGCCGGGAGTCGCCGTCAAGTCCAGCGCAAAGAGACATCCTCGGCCAGTGTCTTCAGCCTCCATCAACAGCATCTTGCCATCCACAGACCACTTCAACGCAGTGGGGGACTTGTCCCAGCCGCCCTTGCCATCGTCTGTGTGCATGAGCTCGACTGCAGAGACTGACTCGCCCTTCTCAAGCCCACCCAGGCCATGGACAAAGACGGTTCGATTTTTATCACTCTCATAGCCATCGGTGGCCATCTGAAGGAATGCTAGGGATTCCCCGTCGGGTGAAAAGACAGGCGATGAAGCTGCTCCATTCAAACCCGGCGCGTGAAGCTTGTGGAGGCTTGTGGGCTTCAGATCCAAGATATCCTTTTTTGGGAGAAACCAGCAATCGCACTTGGTGTGTGTGGCAGGATTGAGGTGGGCATCCTTGGCCACAATTGTCAGACCTGTGGGACCAATGTCGAAGTGGTCGACTCCGCCAAAGGGTGGGATGGGACATTCTAGGTCAGTACCCAATAACGCGTTTTTGAAGCCTAGCAAGCTGTATCGCCCTTGGCGCGAAGTCACCATGGGTTGCGATTTTTGCAGCAAGGCTATGAAGACGGCGTTGCGCTGCTCGGTGATCCAAGAGTCCCAATGTCGCACAAACAACGAGTCATAGACACGAGCTGACGTGTGGGACTTGGGGACGTCCTTGGGATTGTGCAAGCTGCCATCTGGGTTTGCCTGACCGGCAACGGCAACGGCGACTTTGCCTGGTTCAATGACATAGAGCTTGAGACTGGAGACCGGGCCGGAAATGGTGCCAGCGGTGTAGCATTTTCCAGGAAGAGTGGCATCGGTGACAATCAAGCACGTGTTCCCATTCTCGCACTCCTTCAACCAGACGACCTCGTGGTTGGTACCCAGCCACCTGGGCTCGGTGGCCTTGGGGTCTTTGCTGATGGTGACGGTAGTGCCCTGAGTAAGGTCTAGACAACAGATCTCGCTGGTCCTAGAGTGGGTGTCGAACGAATAGGTAGACTGCGTGAAGAGCGCGAGTTTTCCATCGGGACTCGGGACCGCCGCTGATCTTCTTGGAGCGCTCAGAAGAACCCTAGAATTGTGAATCCGCGTCCCTATGAATTGAGCTGTTTCAAGAGGTGGCTTACTCTGGGTTGTAATGTTTCCGGAGTGTCATGGCTGCGGTGCTTGCAGGCACAACCCGACCACGAACAATCAAGGTAGATGACGTCGCCGAAGAGCTTGGGCCTCAAATATCAGGCAGGCGACCTCTGGCAGGCAATGGAGGAAATCAATCTCGTCGTTGACGCGGTGAGTCTGGCTCAACAAAAAAGAAAAAACGCGGGGAGAGCTAATCAACCCCTGTTGCTATTCTTGCGTCTCACGGGGCAGCAGGCCCGGAGGTCTAGACCGCCACGTGCAGATGCTGGCGCTGAACAGAGCGACATGCTGAGGTCTCCGTTCCACCGCCATGGGCAGCATATATGGCTCAGTATGTCGCCAGAGACTGCGATGAGCGCGTCGACTGATGTCCTGACGTAGGAATGCAAAAGGTTTAAACGCGCAAATCATCCGGGCTCTTGATGGGTGGAAACAACACGGAGACCATCCGAGGGTCGGGAGAAGTAGGAAGCGCCTTCAGACCACCGCAGTCACCACCGAAGTCACGATATGTACTCTCCGGTCTATATTCTTGGTGATGGACAGAGGGAAAACAATCAGTAACATTGATTACACATTGACGAACATCTATCACATAATATACATAACATCTGGCATCGCGGCCAACTCTAGAGGTATCTCATTTTTATGCACAACATCCCGGGGGGCAACGCTGGCGTTGCATCAAACAAGTAAAAAAATCTCTATAGTTCATAGCATGGCCAGCCGGTGAGCCTCTCCAACCATCTCCAGCATACAGTAAACCCAGGTGCCTACAACGCCGAGCTCAACCGAACTTTTGACGAGAGCACTCGCAACCGCACAACGACATTGATCCGGAGGTTTAGGCCACCTGGACTCCAAACTTCCAAACCTGCTGCACAGTCAGATCTCCCTCGAGACCCTCTTCCAGAACCACCAGGTCGGCGTCCATGCCCACCTCTAGCCTTCCTTTGGTGTTCTCCACGTCCTTACCCAGCATCTTGGCCGGAGTGCTGGTCACACACTCCAGCGCCTTGGCCGTTCCGCAGCCTGTCCATCGCTTGAAGTTGTTGACGCAATCGATCAAGTCGACCACGCTGCCGGCGATACGTCCATTGCTTTCCAGCTTCAGCAGCTTGCCTTCCTTGACGAAGCGATCTTCTCCTCGCCACTCGTAGGCGCCGTCAGGACATCCGGCAAACTTCTGCGCATCGGTCACTAGGATTGCACCTTCCGGGTGGGCAGAATAGGCAATCTTGAGGGTCTGCGCCGACAAGTGGATGCCATCGGCGATGAGGCCAAAGTATGGTTGCTTGTATCGAGCTGCCTCGTCTTCTAGCTCCGACATGGACGTGCTGATACTGAGACTGGAGCGAGGGGTTGACCTTCTCGATGACCGCGGAGAGCCTTGTGGTGAAGTCGATGGGCTTGCCGGGCGACTGGTCTTTGGAGTGGCGACAGGGGTTGATGGCGCTGATTGTCCTAGCAGACCAAAAATACCAGGATCCCGATGCCCAAAGGGGCGCATGGCGTTGAAAAGATGCGTGACCATGGAGGCCCCAGCGGCCATAGCAGCCTGCGCCTGTTCGAACGTGGCATCAGAGTGTCCCACGGAAAAGACGATGCCCCGTTTCACGAATTCAGGGATCAGATTGATCATAATCCCCCTCTCGGGAGCGGCGGTGATGTACCTCACATTGCGAAGATTCTCCGCGCCGTAGCATTCCTCGATATCGGCCCAAGAATGCGCCTCCCGTAACACCTCCTTGTTGTGAATTCCATTTCGCACCGGCGAAAGAAAGGGTCCTTCGATGTGTGCCCCAAGACTCTCTGAGCCGTTGCTCGCGTCGCGCGCCTTCCCGGAAGGACCGAGATAAGGTAGCACGGCATGATAACTCTCCGGTGTCGTGCTGATGACGGTCGGGACAAATGAAGTAAGACCAGACTTGATCATCTGCTGAGTCGTGTGTGTCAACTTTGAGGCGAAGTCTGCGTCCGGCGTTGAGAAGTCAAAGTTGTGGGAGCCATTAATCTGAACATCGATAAAGCCCGGGGATAGGATCTTGCCTCGAAGATCCACTGTTCTGTCGGGTCTCAGATGCGAAGAATAGAAGGCTGACTGGGAGCTCAGGATCCGTCCCGTCTCGGACGAGACCCAGAGATCACCAGGCACCAATTCTCCATCTCTGAGAAGATAGCCGTTGGTGAACCTAACAACACGCGGAGATGACGTCGACATGGCGAAAGGGAGGTCGAGGTCAGTCAGCGATAAGCGCAAGGATTGTTACAACACGGGGAGGAGGGGGAAAGAATAAAGGAAGGGACGATTGCTCATAGGGAAGCCCTACAAGAATGAAGAATCAAAAAAGCCCCAGCCCCGGGAGGCAGCAGTATAGACTGAAATAATATGATGGACGAGGGTGGTAGCGGGATAACCACATATTCGCCCCGGGGGTCACGTCATAAGGTTTGTCTGGGAATCTTTTTTCTCTCGCTGTGACAGGCGCATCGAACATTCTACTGGATCCCGCAAGATCCTGACATCCGGGGCACGGCAGGCTGCGGAAATGAGCGCAACAAAGCACCGTTTCGTTGGTAAGGGAAATTCGAGGTGCGAAGGTGAGAGGCCCGTCCAGAAGGGGGACAGGGCGGGCTGCTCTCCTGTCATGTTGCAGTGTCCAAGCACGTTGTAGCCACGACAGCAACACAATTCGGTGGCATCTCTCTGGGCATTTGAGAAGTTTTGCTGGGAGGAAATCGGGCAGTCAGTCCAGACCATCGAGTAATCGAGGTGAGATTGAGATTCAGGGGCTTTCGGCGAGGGATCAGATGGGTAGACAGATGGATGCAACGATGGCTTCGAGGGGGAGGTTTGTGGTTGATGATGAGAATGAGACTGAGAAGGCAGGGTAGCAACGGGCGAGACTTGGTGTATGTAACCCTGAGGCGGAGAGGATGCGACTCTGTTATCGACGTCACGTGCGCTTGGCACTGCGCCCTCGCCCTCACGCCCTCGCACCCTCGCACTCTCGCGGCCTCCCATCTGACAATGTGTGGAGAGACAGCAAGGGACAGATACACACAGCGCAGGCCATGTACTCAAAGACACCTCTCGGAACACGGCTCGCTGGCTGGTGAGAACGACTCCTGAGCAACCGCTACTACCACGACCACTACCACGACTCCATCCTCCCGCCCTATCTCCCCCATCTTTGCCGCAATCATTCCACACCCCTCGCTCGGCCTCCCTCCCTCCTTCCATATGCTCCCTGTCGCTGCATTCTGGAAGGCTACAATGCTACGGCTCTATCTCTCTATCACTCTATCTCTTCGCTGAACCGCTGCCCTGATACCTCCAAGGTAACCATTCGCCTTAGTGTGACTGGTGACACTGTTGGACGGAACTCTACCATTGACCTCGAGACCTGGTTGATACTGTTCTATATTACTTCCTCGTCTCCTCCTCCTCCGTCCGTCCTCCCCCCGTTCCTCCAGCTCTTGTCCACAGGTGCACGCGACCTCATCTGCTCAGACTCGAGTCCATATGAGCCAGACTCCACTAGGAATCTGCCCCGAGACTCCGCAATTGATCTCCGCTCGCCACCTAAAATCGTCCCAACTTTAAATCTTCTGAGCCTCGCCCCGAACCTCCCCAACTCCTTCCTTCCTTGTTCTCTCCCTCTCAGCATTGCTTGATCCCTTTGCAATGTCTGACGTCTCCAACGAAAAGATGGCTACTACGACCGAGAAGTCTGGCACCGACACGCCGCCCGAGATCATCCACGGCGGTGAAGAGACAAAGCCCATGGGGAAGCCATGGATGTACAAGAAACTTAAATTGGGTCCCATCACCATTCCCGCATATGCAACACCTCAATTCCAGATCGTCTTTGTTGCGCTTGTATGTTTCTTGTGCCCGGGTATGTTCAACGCAGTCAACGGTCTGGGCGCCGCTGGTCAAGTCAACGCGCACGACATCAACAACGCCAGCACGGCGATCTACGCCACCTTCTCCGTGGTGGGCTTCTTTGCTGGTAGCATTGCCAACAAGATCGGTCTTCGCTTGACCTTGGGATTTGGTGGTTTCGGATACGCCCTCTACATTGCCTCGATCTTGTCCTACAACCACAACCAGAATGCAGGCTTCCTCATCTTCGCCGGTGCCCTGCTGGGTGTTTGCGCTGGTCTGCTGTGGACTGCCCAAGGTGCCGTGATGATGTCCTACCCGCCCGAGCATGCAAAGGGTCGATACATTGCCGTCTTCTGGATGATATTCAACCTGGGTGCCGTGATCGGTGCTCTGATCCCCCTGGGCCAAAACCTGCATTCCACCGCCAACAAGGTTCAGGATGGAACCTACATTGCCTTCATCGTCCTCATGGCCGTGGGCTTAGTCCTGGCGGGATTCCTCTGCAACCCTTTCCTTGTTCAACGCAGTGACGGATCGCGCGTCATTCTTATGAAGAACCCGACCTGGAAATCCGAGATCAAGGGTATGTTCCAGGTCTTGGTGACCGATTGGTACATCATCTTCCTCTTCCCCATGTTTTTCGCCTCCAACTGGTTCTACACCTACCACTTCCAGGACGTGAACCTGCCCTATTTCAACATCCGCACTCGCTCCTTGAACAATGTCTTGTACTACCTGTCCCAAATCATTGGCGCCTGGATCTTCGGCTTCTTGCTGGACACGACCTACTTCCGCCGCACCACGCGCGCCAAGATCGCCATCGGCGCGCTCTTCGTGCTCACCTTTGTCATCTGGGGCGGTGGCTATGACTTCCAGAAACTATACAACCGCACCGAGACCACTGCCGACGACTATCATAAGCTAGACTTTACCGATCCCGGCTACGTCGGCCCTATGTTCCTGTACATGTTCTACGGAGCTTACGACTCTGTGTGGCAGACCACTTCGTACTGGTAAGTCAAGATCCCGTGAAACCCCCCCCCCCCCTTCTCCCGAAAAGTGAAACAATGAATTTGTCCCGCTAACTGGTTTTGACTCAGGCTTATGGGCGCAATGACCAATAACGGGCGCAAACTCGCCAACTTTACCGGCTTCTACAAAGGCATCCAGTCCGCCGGGTCGGCCATCTCGCCCCAACTCGACGCCAACCTCGTCCCCTTCATGACCCAGTTCGCCGTCAACTGGGGCATGCTCGCGGGCTCTCTCGTCGTCGCAGCCCCCATCATCTGGACCAAGGTCAAGGACACGACCGACATCGACGAGGACCTGAAATTCACCGATGAGACGAGGGAGGACGTCCTGCCCCCGAGCCCCGTCGGACCCATCGTGGGTGCCGAGGGCATGATGGCCGAGAAGGAGGAGAAGATGTAAAAGGCCGGAGGGGTAAATTCTCACGTGGATGTGACGAGTCATCAGGAGGATGAGAACCCCCTTTCTGGCTCTTCCCACGCCGCTCTCTTCAATACAGAAATGTCTTGAGGACGAGAGAAGGGATGGGCATAAAGGGGAGAAAATATTCTATCTAATGGGACCGGCTGTTGTACGAGAAGAGAGTCCTCGAAGGGACTTTGACGTGGTGGTTGGTGATGCTGGTCGTGCTCGTCGACTGTGGATGCGACTAAAGCAGAAATTCCCCTTTTAGCCGCCATTGCCACCATCCTTCCTTGCATATCCGCTCGGAGTCGTGGCTCTCAGCGAAACGGGGCTTATTCTTGGTGTTGAATACCTAGGTATAATGGAGCGAAACCCCCTTTTTTATGATACCAGGCACTGGCAGGGAGGGGAAAGACACATACCCACGACCGACCTTTACATATGTACCCTTAACTCTTATGAATCACAATTACCTTGACGCGAAGGACAGGACCTCTATCTTATTCGGTTCACATGTCATTGTTGCAGGGCAACCCTGACCTAGCAAGTACCTAGGCAGTTGTTTATGCTAGCTGAGACCACCGCCCGAGACCGAATCGACCATAATACCATGAACAAGAAGTCGGATTCAAGTTCGACACCAAAGTAGAGATGGTATGCCCCAGATAAAGAGACAACATTCTAAGACTCCCCGTATGCTTGACCTCAGACATGGCAACGCTTGTTCAAGCCTTCAGTTCTCTCATGCCGACCTTCAAGCCTAAGTCTTCAGTGCTTCGATTCAATGCCCTTGCGTTGCCAGTCTGCCAGTCTTCGCATGACAGTACCGAAATCCAGGGATTCGCCCCCGTTCTCGTCATCAACAACATCGTCTTCAGCCTCCAACGAATCTTTCTTCAAACGCTTCCTCAGACCGGCGAGCACCTCCATTTGCATGTCAAGTGCAACCATTGCACGTCGCTTACGCTCCCCTCCCGCCGTACCCGCCGTGTCTGACGCATCAGCTGATTCCCCTTCGCACTCTTCTACCTTCTTGATGGCGTCCTTGAGAGCGTCCTTGACCGATGCCAGGGTCCTCTTATCCTTTGCCTCCTGTGCTCGCTCTTTGAACTCCCGCATTCCCTTGGCGAGCGTTTCCTCGTCGAGAACGATGCGCTCGCCGGGTTGCAACGAATGCTCTTTGGAGATCTCGTCCTGGAGTTCCAACAGGACATCGAGATGTTGATGAGAGTCCAACCATGCTGCCGCCACCAATTGGGAGACAAGGTCGGAAAGTCGTCGTGCAGACAGATCAGACGCAGGATCTGATGCTCGCATGCGCATCGTGTCAACTTCAATGGCCTTGCGGTACAATGCTCGTAGCAACTCACCGAGAAGCCCAACAGATTCTCTTTCTAGCCCTTTCGATTCTGAAGACTTCTGTGTCGCGGGGAGCCATGTCAACTTCAACCGTTGAGCGTTTCAACTCGAACTTCAGAGATAAGAGAAAGGATCGACGAGAGGTAATAAAGACGGAGATGAAAGAGAAAATCCCAGGTGGAAACGAGGGTCGACGAAGGAAAGCTGAGATGTCTTTCAGACCCTCCGTGCCTTCCTCGCTGGGTCTGGCACTGCCGGCAGGCGCGACTTCGACCAGCGGTTCGCCATCGAAGGTAGCGAGCGAGTTGGTTCTGCAATGCTCCCTTAATACTCACTTGGCCGATTCCTGGGGAGTCTGGTGCTCTGCAAAAGACAATTAATTTATTTCTACAGGCACATAGTAAACAAGGTTGTACAGTCGCGCCACTTGCAACGGCGCCAGTGTCCACATTGTCGAAGCATCACACGGCATGGCTCAGGAGTCTCACTCATCCTCTTTCTGCCTCTGCTCCTCCTTGCTTCGTCGGGTGGCCAGGGCGACCTGTTCCGCCACACCGCCTGCTTCTCCCAGGCTTGCAGGCTTCATCTCTCTTATCAACCTCTCGTCGACGTTCTCGCCCACAGACAGTCCCAATGCCGCGCTGGTGCCCAGTGATGGGAGGGACTCGGATTCCAGCTGCGCGTCGGCCTGGCGTGAAGGCGTGTTTGTGCCCGCTGAAGAATGCGAGAGTGGTTCCAGCTCGCCTGGTTCCGCTGAGAAAGGCCCCTGCGGATCGGTAATAATATGCCCGTACTTGCTCGCAGAAGCTGATGATCCATCATCCTCCCTCTCCTTTCCTTTCTTGGGCTTGCTGAGCTTCGTACTGTGCGGGCTCTCTGTGAGAGGGCCATCTGTGAGCTTCGCCGTTGTCGCTCCCTCATCGGCCGAGTCGACGTCGAAGTCGATGTTGAACATTCGATCGAGTTCTCCTCGATATTTTGCTCTCCGCAACTCCTCGCGCAACCCACCATCACCCTCCTCTTCGTCTTCCTCATCACCATCCTCGCTTCCATCGAAGAACCGATCACTCCATCTTGCGCTGTCCTGCCTGACAAGCCTGGACAACGCTGCCTTGCTGGAGTTCATGCCGCTGTAGCTGCTCTCCCCTGTGGCACTAACCCGGGACACCAGCTCTGCAACGTCGTCTCGAGCCTCGCGGATCTCGGATTCGGTACGCTTCGAGGAACGTCGGGTGGGAGTGACCTGCTTGTCGCGATCACGCACCTTCCATGCCGTGTGTAACTTTTGTAGATCCGCGTGTATTTCCGCAACCTCAGTCGGGCTCGCCTCTGTGACTCTGACATTATCAGTAGTCTTCGCCCTATTTTCGACGTCATCACCATCTCCTTGGACATCTTTCTCCTCAGGTAAGTCTCGCTGGCCCCTAACGCTCTCCCCTCCCCTCTCTTCACCCGAAACAAGTTCGTCTCGTTCCATGGCTCTTTCCACATTTTCTTCGTCTTCGTCTCTAGTCCTCGCCGCTGCCGTGTACCCGAAATGTGTATCACACATATGTCGCACAACTGGCCACCCGTACGCATTGGCAAACATCCGGCGGACTACCATGTTGTTGTGCGCATCAGGTTCCAGCCGCACCAGGACCTTACGCCATGATAGATCTTTATGGTAAGCACGGGCGATTTTCTCCTCAATCTTCATGGCACCGACTTCTTGAGCCTGAGATTGTTGCGGTATCTGAGTTGTATTCGTTGGCGTATCCGTGGAGTGCCCTGAGGCAGGGCGGCCGGGGTCAGAGGGCGAAGCTGGTGTGGACGGGAGGTGAGAAGTTGATGATTGAGACCCGAGGGTCGATGCGGAGCGTCTGATCCCAAAAGTCCGCTGCCGTTTCGCTGGCGGAGGAGGAATATCTTGTGGGTGGTACACACGGTCATGGAAGATCGTCCTCGGCCTGGCAGCAGGGTCAAGGATGAAGTCCTTAGGAGGTAGCGGTGGGTTAAGGAGATCTCCAGCCGACTCGAAAAAGGTTGTTTTCGGAGGCGTTTCGACGTCTCCAGTGCCACCATCTTGGGAGCTGTTGGTGTATAGTGATGCGCCCCGGACGGGTCCCCTCACGGCATTGCCGTTGCTTTCTGCTTCGGGGATTTCTCGCGAGGCTTCACCAGGGTCTTGCTGTTCTTGTTGATGATACATCGTTTGCCCTCGCCGATAAATTTTCTGTGTCTTCCTCGGGCTCTTGGGCGGACTGCCCGGTGGTGACTTTCGCTGTCCGGCATGTGGCTTGAAGAAGTTCAACAGTTCCGTCCACAAGTTCGGTGCAGGTGTCGGCCTCACTTCTGCTGGGTTTGTCGAACGTTCCGAAGATAGACTCTGCTTCTTCTCCAGGAATTGACTCTCTTCGGGTTCTGTTGCCCTCTGGTCGTGGTCAAAGCCTTCGCTTGTCTCTGCTTGTGGGACTTTCGATTCAGGATCTGGGGACGATTGGCCGGACTTGTGGCCGCTCACATCTTCGCCGCTGTCGCTAAACAAATTGTTCCAGGTCAGCGCCTTTCTAGGGTCGCTGGCATTCTGGCCCGTCATTTCAGCCCAGCCCCATCCCACCATCGTCCCGACCAGACCGCTTTCGCGCCTGGCTTTTTCCACGCGACCCAGGCCTCGCCAGTCCAAGAACAGCAAGCAGGACGTTCTCAGTGGCACAATCCCGTCATTGACCACGTTCGAATAGACGGTGCGATTTCGGAACTTCTTCAACGCCACATGCGCCGGACCGGTTGGGAGAATTCTCAGCAAAGGCTTCGCTCCAGGATCAGACTCCTTCCCTGGGCCGCCTTTGTGAGATTCGTTCGTAAACCCGGCCACGACGGCTCCCCAGCCGCTCTTCGCCAACGTAGGCGGCCTCCATGTCAGACCCAGGTCCTGGCCTGTCCTCCCAACCAAACCAAAATCCAGCGCAAACTTCACATATATGGGATTTTCATTGCTTAATCCCAGAAACGGCGAAGCCATCGCGACAAAGTTGATTGGTTTGATCAGATTGAAGAATTCGGGAGAGTGCTTCTGGATGTACGCGATGGCGTATGTCTGTATTAACCCGCCCAGACTGTGACTGATGAAACTTATGGATGTGATGCGGTAGGGGAGATTATGGGCTCGGTGGTTTTCGTCTTTGATAATGCTGCTGTTTTTGTGGGCCGGTTGCGTGCTACCTTGGTCCTGCGGGCTTGGTTTGTTCGACAACGATGAGGCCAGCGACTGGGAGAGGGACTTTCCCATGGACGATTTCACCGGCAAGTAGGGTTGGTCCGGGTAGGTTATGGAGAGGACGTATTTGGCGAAACGCTTGCCGAGATACTGGATCCCCCTTTCGGTCTTCATGGTGTTGCCGGTGAACCCTCGCACGTAGATTTCTTCTTCGTCTTCCTCATCATCTTCCTCCTCACCCTCGGCGGGATTGGAGCCAGCGGCTTCATGGGGAACATCACCGGCAACCGTAATGTCCGGCATGGATTTTGATCGCTGTCCCAGAGCATCTCTTCCAAATTCATTCTCCCGCGTCACACGTCGTGCCCGTACCTCGGCTCGTCTTCTTTTTGCGTCCTCCCTCGCCTGCCTCGCGGCCGTATCGATGCTCTCCTTCATGAACAGCATGTCTGCACCCACATTACTGTGAATACCGTGGGTGAGAAGGACCAGGTGGATCTTTTTCTGCTTCCTTTGCGTTTTCTCCGGTTTCGCGTTGGCATCTCTCCTGTCGCCGTGTTGGGGCCCTTGTTCCACTCTGACTCTGGCTTGTCCGTCGGCTTCTGTCTCCCACTCAGGAAATGGAGGGGTATTCCAGAGGCTGTGGGTGTCATCCACCACCAATCTGACCGCCTTGGAGAAGACGCCCTTCGGGTGCTGCGGGGTGTTCGCTTTTTGCGACCGAGCAAGTTGGTGATCCTCGAGTCGTCCTGGTGCACCGTGGCCCGATCCGATGACACCGTGGAATCCGAGTTCCACAGACTTCTCGTCGCGTCCAACGAGGACCTCATAGTCGACGCTAGCGGTCTTTGAAAAGATGACTTGCGAAGCAATCTCGATGATCCAGGTGAAGCTCTTTCTCTCGTGTCCCCCTCTGTCTCCCCATCTCCCATCTATACTCTGTCTCTGAGCATCTTCTCTCACATGTTCGGGGACCGTGAGTCTCGCATTCCACTGTCCACCGGCCTTCAACTGCGGTTCAAAGTCCGGAACCCCTTCCGAATTGGAAGCCTCGTGTTTCTTGTATGGATCAAACGTGGAGGGGTAGCAAGCCACGTATAGGGTATAAGGTCCATGTAAGTATGCGGCGCGAAGAGGCGCGGCGACCGTGTTCTTTATCTTCACGTGCAACTGCGTAGGGGGCGGAAGGATGCGGTCGAGGCTAGGAGTGTAGGTTATGGTATATCTGCAAAGCCACATGTTAGTCTCCAGGCATGCGAACTAGGGAGATGAAATCGTACCTTACGACCTCACCGACCTTGACAGCGCCGGTCTGATGGAGCAGGAGCATGGTTTTGGAGGGAGAGTCTACATGCCGCGATCTGCACTAACACACTGTTCAAGCACGAGAGATTTGCATGCGTTTTGAACCATTCTTTGGCGGCTTGGATGGGACGGATATCGGTGTGGAACAGGATGGGCAGTCTCAGCTGCATGACTTTTGATGACTGAGACTCCGTAAAGCTATCCCTTGACTCACCATTACGTCCATGGCATGGAAGAAGTACTGGGTACAAGGTGTAGGCTGGCTAAGGAGGCCTTCCATACAATCGGGATGCAATCGGTATGACATAACTTTATGGAGCATGGCACAACATGGGGCTGCAATTATTCTTCGGTGCAACGATGCACAGTTGGAGTCACGCGCCCGCGCTCGCGTGCCGCCGGATGGGGCCAAGATATCTCGGTATCTGCATAGGTAAGGTAATGAGCTCAATGAGGTCTGAGCGTAATATTATCATTGCCGAACGCAGCAGATTGCGTATTTGTTGAAACAACAGCCCTCCACCGAAGGACAACCTCCCTGGACCATTCTGTGTTTTATAGGGAGAAGAGCTTCGGCTCCAGCGGATCACCCGCTCACCCATACAGCTAACAGTGTGGATGGTTACATGCCGGGAAGGGTTTCTTCGGTGGTAATCAGTCTACGTTAGGAGGAAGTCTCCTTTATGCTCCAAGTTTTGTTCTCAAGTACATTCATGGCCCTGGCCGCCCGTGTATCGTGTAACCCAAAAACATATACAAATGCTGCTCGGCGACCTCAAGCATAGATCTCGCTGCGTGCTCTAGAAATCACAGTCTCGCCTTGAGCATCTCGTGAGGTGTAATCAGAGGGTCGTAGGCTCGGATTCCGAGAGTATCCTGGGGGACGGTCGACGTATGGTACCGCAAACCAGAGGTGTCGACCATATCGGGCGTGAGGTCCTCCACCTTGGAAGCACCAATAAGCCTCATGTTCATAACCATCTCGTCTTTCAGCAGCTGCATGGCACGATCCACACCGGGCAGTCCATAAGCCGACATCGCGAAGAGGAATGGTCGGCCGATGCCTACACCTTTGGCACCCAGACACAAAGCTTTGATAATGTCGGTTGCTCGGCGGACACCTCCATCAATGAAGATCTCGAGCTTATCCTGCAAGCCCCTCTCACGCAGAACGGGCATGACCTCAGCGAGGACTTCGACGCCAGAGCGGGCGAAGTCAAGCTGGCGACCTCCGTGATTGGAAAGGACAACACCGTGGACGCCCGCCTCAATGGCCTTGAGGACATCCTCTACCCGCTGGACACCTTTGAGAATGATGGGCATCTTGGTGATGCTCAAGAACCAGGGAATGTCTTTCCAGCTCAGGCTAGGGTCGATGAAGCTCGAGATGGCTCGGGCGGCACCTTGTGATCGATCAACGTTCTCCCCGCTCTTTTTTTGGACGTTGGAGCCGGTGTCGTCAAACTTGCTGCGCATATCCTTCTCTCGTCTGCCCAATTGGGGAGCATCGACCGTGATGAAGAGGCCTTTACAGCCTCGTGCTTCTGCGTGTTGAACTATTTTCTTGGTGATCTCTCGGTCTTTGTTGACGTACAGCTGAAGCCATTGACATTGGTCACCTTCCCGAGCATCGCAGATTTCGTCGAAACTGCAAGAAGCCAAGGTTGGAATCATTTGGATCACGTTGTGCTTCTTTGCTCCTCTTGTGAGGACAACCTCTCCCTCGGGATTACCCAACTTCCCCAGCGCAGTGGCGGTGACGTAGAAGGGAATGTCGCATTTTGTCCCGAGCATGGTAGTGCTGATGTCCACCTCCTCCACGTCAATCAGTACCCTCGGTCTGAACCAGATCTTATGGAAGGCGGAGTGGTTTTCTCTCATAGTGATCTCGTCGTCCGCACCAGAGCTGTAGTATGCCCAGGCCGGCCTCTTCATCACCTGTCTTGCGACACTCTCAAAATCCATGAGATTGTAGCATGCGTCAAGAGGCGGCATGTTCTTGATCCGCTCTTGTCTTGCCTTCTCCTCGGGACTTTCTTCCTTTTCTTCCTGTTGGACAGTTTCCATGTTCACGGGACCCAAGTGTTTCTCGCGAGGCAGATACTTGTCCAACGTATCGGGGGGATGGATGGGGTCGAATTCCTCAGTAGCATCTTTGCCAGCGTACTTGAGGATGATCTTGGAACCGCCAGGGTGCTCTAACAGAGGTTAGCCAGTCGTCGAAGAATTCTGGAGGTGGTGGCTGCAAACCTGGTAGAAACTCTGTCACATCATAGGCTTTTCCATGGACAATAACCCAACATGACTCCTTGGAGTTGTGTTTGGCCACTTCTTCTCCAGTGAGGGTGCCCACGTCGGGTCTTTCGCCTTCGTCATGATTCATCTTGAACGGGGTTGATCGGAGAGCAAAGACTGTCTCTCGGGGTCGGGGTCAGAGGGAGGGGATTCCAGAGGACGAGGTGCAGATGGACAGAAGAAGACTATGGCAAACGCAACCACGACAAGGAGGCCGAAGAGGAGTATAAATGCTGGAGCAAAGCTTTGGAATTGAAGAGACTGTCCACGGACAAATTTCCTGGGGAAGGTGTAATGATCAGCCATCTTGCCGGCGATTGGTGAGGAATGCTATCAACAGAGCTCTGGAAGCCATTCTGGGAGGCGAGGCGGGGACAAGATCGATCTGTGTAATGACGGTGTTCCCGCCGCCTCTGGGGCTGCCCTCGTTTGGGGGTCGCAGGGGCCCGTTGTCCGGGTATATTGCCTTGTATGGCTGGGGAATGAAGAAGTGCCGGTGCCCGCAGAGACGATCGCACACCGGGCTTCAAACCATCCACCCAAGTGGATAGTCGCTGTGTGGAGGAGGCGGTGATTGGTCTTCGTCCCTATTGAACTTTTCTGTGTCTCTGTTTGCTAAGAGAAAGCGTCCATTGGCCAGGAACAACGGGCGCGAGTCTTGTCGTCCCCCGCAAAATCCAAACCATCGCTCGTCCTTCCAACATGGGCCTGCGCCATGTTGTTGCGATCCCCAGATTTCGACAGCCACATACCTCCTCAATGCCACCATCGCCACCACCACCAGCACGACAGGATAGACAGTCCGCTCCTTGGCACTGCCCTCCTCTCGCGTCACGCTTCAGGGCGGTTGTCATCGGTGCAGGGGTCTCCTCCCACTGCTGCAACAAGACATCATGCTGTACCCTTTACTCCTCCCAGGATGCTGTCACTGTTTTGCTTGGGTGCGACGATCCCTTGACTGGCCACCCCAGTCCAGAAGCTTCGCACTGGGCAATGATGAACTCGTGGACGGGTTCAAATAATGCAACCCTCCTTGACTGGAGGGGTTTGTCTTAAACCTGCGCGATCCCCCAGTCTGGTTGCTCTCCCTTTCTGTATCTCTTCCCTCGATTTGGCCTTGTCTGCTACCAAAGATGGCGGAACCCACTGAAAAGGAAATCGTTTCACACGATGAATCTGCGTCTTCGCGGTACGATGCCTCTGGCACGAACCGCGACATCGATCCCGAGAAACTCAACGACCCCAGAATGCAGAAATTGGCTGGTGAAATTACATATGAGGATGAGACAGATCCAGTGAACAGGCAGCACAACCCGCTTGCTCAAAAACTGCGGTCGCGCCATATGCAGATGATTGCAATCGGTAAGGCTTCTTCTGCACACCATCCAAAAGCTTGTCCATGCTAAGACTCGATACAAGGCGGCTCGATCGGTGCGGGTCTATTCGTCGGTTCTGGCAGTGCGCTGCATAAAGGCGGCCCTGGAAGTGTGCTGCTCGGCTTCATCATCATCGGCTTCATGTTGCTCTGCACGATGCAGGCGCTCGGTGAATTGGCTAGTAAGTGCCCGAAATGCCGTCTCGCGTCTTGTATGTTCTTGCTGACGAAGCTGAATAGTTCTGTATCCTGTCAACGGCGCTTTTTATACCTACATTGTTCGATTCGTCGACCCCTCCCTCGGTTTCGCGGTCGGTTGGGTAAGTGCCCCCTATGATCTGTAACTAGGTCGAATGCTCTGAAATATTGACCGCCATCCAGGATTACGCCATTGGCTGGCTGACCGTCTTGCCCTTCGAACTTACCGCGGCGTCAATCACGATTGAATATTGGAGAGACGACATCCACGTCAGCGTCTGGATCACCGTGTTCTTGGTCTTTCTCTGTCTGGTCCAGATCTTCGGCGTCCTCGGCTACGGTGAGGTGGAATTTGTGCTGGCGATGATTAAAATCACCGCTTGCGTAGGTTTCATCATCTTCGGGATTGTGGTTGATTGTGGCGGCGTCTCTTCCGATGACCGTGGCTATATTGGTGCTCGCTATTGGCACAACCCTGGCGCTTTTCAGAATGGATTCAAAGGCTTCTGCACGTATGTCTTTTGTCGACTGTTCCAATCAGAATCAAGCTGACGGTTCAGTGTCTTTGTCACGGCGGCCTTCGCCTTCGGTGGAACCGAGCTTGTCGGATTGGCGGCCGCCGAAGCTGCTGATCCTCATCGCTCCCTGCCCAAAGCGACCCGGCAAGTATTCTGGCGGATTGCGACATTCTACGTCCTTTCCCTTTTCATCGTCGGTCTCATCGTCCCGTCTGACAGCCCCGACCTTCTGGGAGCCAGCGGTGCCAATACGAAAGCCTCTCCTTTTGTCCTGGCTATCAAGTACGCCGGTGTCAAGGGGTTGCCATCCGTCATGAATGCGGTCATTACCATTTCTGTCATTAGTGTCGCTAATAGCTGTACTTATGGCTCCTCGCGCACCATGCAGGCTCTCGCAGCGAGAGGAATGGGGCCGAAGTTTTTGATGTATGTCGACAGGCAGGGGAGACCACTGTGGTGTGTCGTGATCCAGCTCCTATTCGGCTGCCTCGCGTACATTGGTGAGGCTAATGCTTCGGACACGATCTTCACCTGGCTGCTCTCGCTGTCTGGGCTGAGCTTTTTCTTCCTGTGGATGAGCATCAATCTCGCACATATTCGTGAGTCCATTCCCTTTTGCCCTTGTTTGAGGATGACCGCCGTGCTAACAACCTCCAGGGTTCCGACACGGATGGTAATATTCAGGATCCAGCCCTCGTCTGTGATGAGAAGCTAACTTTTGGTGCTAGGTATGCCCACGGCTTCACCAAACATCAACTACCCTATCAAGCCGCTTTCGGCATCTGGGGATCTTATATTGGAGTCTCCTTGAACGTCTTGGCCATCATCGCGACATTCTACACATCGCTGTTCCCGCTGGGATCCAGCCCTGACGCCGAGGTGTTTTTTGAGAATTTCCTCGCTGCGCCGATCGTCATCGCCTTATATATCGGGTGGAAACTCTGGTCTCGCGACTGGAAGCTCTTCATTCGTGCCAGCGAGATGGATGTCACGATGGGTATTAGGAGAGGAAGCTTGGAGATTGCGGCGGAGAAAGGGCGAAGTGGGTGGAAAAAGGCACTCCGGGTGTTTATTTGAAGTCTGAGCGAGTTCTGGTGAGCCTACCGTGAGCGTGGCCGAGCAACTCCCTGAGTCTCCCTAAGCGCGAGGTAAGGGAACCTGAGTTGGCTCCCTTCGCTCGACTACCTAGATGACTCGAGAACGAAAAACCTGATTGCCATCCATATATCGCTTGATCCTCGAGGGGTGAGCGAAGGCTGCTTTAACCTGAACCTGGCAGCCTCCCTGTCCTTACCTGGTTGCCTCAATTTCCTTGTACCGTAACCTTGGCCCGGGCGAGCGATCAACTTCACGTTTATCACGGCGCAACCTGGAACATGAGGAATCTCTACCGTTAGGGTGCAATTATGACGTGCGGGCATCGCGATTTACATGGGGATTGTGCCTGGCCAAGTCGACATCTTGTACTGTAGCATGTCCTTACTAGGTATATCATAGGAATTGCTCGAGCATCAACGCCAACCCGTGGCTCCGTTCTCTGGTATATCCCTTGCGAGTACTTGGTTACTTATCAGCACAGTAGCCACTTCCCAACCTCTCTGGATAATGGCGAAGCTGTCAGAAGTTTCTGGAACGGGGACAAACGCTTCAGCTATACAAGTCCATCACGTGCTACAAGGCTGTTCTCCCCTTTTCGGTTTTCTTCTTCCCTCTACAAACTTCACGGGGTTTTGCCGACCCTCCGACATGACAACGCGTCCTCATCTTACTATGTGCACGATCCGCAGGTTCGGAGTCCCGTAAGAGTTTTCTCGCTTCCTTATTCAAACCCCCCAATCACTTTGACGCCCGGATTTCGACCCCAACGTTCATTCGACCTTGACGTCGGACGTCGATGTATGCCAGAAGTTAGGCCGGCTACCACGGGGCATGTGCATGCTGGACAACATTGCTTGATAGGTGCTGATATTACCCTGTGTCAGCAACAGTGCTGCATAAGCTGGGCTATCCTAAAAGACCAATAGCCATGCCTGCCCTAGCTCCCTATTTACAGTCGCCCAGTCAGCTATCCCTCGTCTCACGCGAGAAGGGTCAAATACGAGTCCAGTCAGTCACCCCATTCCTCGACTAATGAAAGAGAGGCCGGGAACATAGCCTGTGGAGAACATGCGAAGAAGGGACTTCTGCTTCGTAAGTGGGCACGACTATAGTATCTCTTTTCACGCCCATCCATCTCGGAATGCTTCTTGCCCTCCGACTCCCAGAGGAGATTGCCACCAACCACAGTCTCGACGGGGTTCACACTTCGCAAAAGTTCAACGCGCCTCAGGCGTCTCTGGCGAAGTGCTTTGTTGTAAAAAAGGCAGTGCCTGGAATAAGAGCCGTCGTCGTGCAAAGTGGCCGGCGAATGGCCTAACTTCAGATTCTTCCTCCGTCAGGCCCCTGTGTGTTTGTCATACGCCATAACCTAGACGTGCTGCTGCTTGAGAGGCAGGTCTATAAGCGACGGAAACGACCCCTTCTCGGAACGTTCCTTCTGGGTGGTATTGTACACGAGGAGGAGCTGAAGCGGCCATACCCCAATCAAAGCAATGTAAGATTGCGCGACGCGCTCCTGGAGGCAGCTCGTATAAGGCACAGAGGGCAGCCCACTCCGATTCTATCACGAAGACGTTTGAACGCAGAGATTGAAATCGTCAATTGAGATTCTCCTCGCCTTTCCCACACCTGGGTTGCTAGCTCGGCCCCTTAACACGCCGTCGACAACCATGACGTGCACGGATCGGTGGTGCAACCCCCAGGGCGTGCACTTCGTGGGCTCCGTCCCGCTGCCGACGACACGCGACGTCTTCACACTCCTCGGGTCGACCGTCCCATCACACATCCGACGGATCCCAGACGGCGAGCCCGCGGCGCGGGGGACCTTCGTGCAGTTCCAGCGCGAGCTCTTCTTGCCGTACCCGCAGCTCGTGAACACGCGGCACAACCCGACGGCCAGCTCGGGCCAGCCGCTCGACGACGTCGACGAGGTGACGCGGTACCTGGCGCGGCTGGAGACGGGCTACGACGCGGCGGCGATCGAGTCGTACGCGACGTTTGCAGAGATGCGTCGGGAAGGGGTGATCCCGCAGCGCGGCGTCAAGTTCCAGGTCTGCATCCCGACGCCCATCAACGCGCTGACCTCGGCCGTGGCCCAGAACTACAAGGCCTTCGTCGAGCCGCACTACACGGCGGCCCTGGTGCGCGCGCTCGAGAGGATCCAGGCCGCGATCCCGCACGACGATCTCGCGGTGCAGATCGACTGCGCGCACGACTTCGCCGTGCTGGAGGAGACGTGGAAGCGGCTGCCCGGGATGGAGCGGTCCAAGCCGTGGTGGTGCGACGTCGACGACGACGCCGTTGGCGACGACAATGTCGACATCCCCCACGACGCCGTCTTCCGCGGCGTGGTCGACCGGGTCGTCTCCTTCGCCGGCGCGGACCACATCGCCGCCGACGTCGAGCTGGGCCTGCACTTCTGCTACGGCGACTTCGGGCACCGGCACTTCATCGAGCCGCGGGACATGGGCGTCATGGCGCGCGCCGCGGCCGCCATCCTGCCCCGCCTCGGCCGCCGCGTCGACTACATCCACATGCCCGTGCCCCGGACGCGGGACGACGCGGCGTACTTCGCGCCGCTGCGCGCGCTGCTCCCGCTGCTGAGCGCGCAGGCCACGGTCTTGTACCTCGGCCTGGTCCGCGAGGGCGACGAGGAGGGCACGAGGCGGCGCATCGAGACGGCGCGCCAGGTCATCGACGGCGTCGTAGTTGGCGGGAGCAGTGGCAGTGGGAGTGGGAGCAGCGGGAGCGATGTCAGCGACGACACCGTGCGGGGACCCATCACATGGGGCATCGCCACCGAGTGCGGCATGGGGAGGATGAAGGTGGAGGACGTGCCGGGGACGTTGGAGCTGATGAGGAAGCTCGCAAGCCCGATACGCTGAAATGTAACGAGGGCAGGAGGAGAACAAAGAAGCTGAAGGTACGTAATTGCGTGGAAAGGTGAAATAGCAAGAATGGATTGTGTGAGGACGTATCTAGGAGGCTCTATACACCGCTATAGAGGCTGCTATACGCTGTATACAGTCAGGGTATAATACATATCCATTATATTATATGTCTGACACCAGATCAGTCACATCAGCCAAGGTTGAACTGTTCCAAAACAACAATCCAATAAATTTATACATACAGCTCATCAAGCAAAGCAGCAAAGAGGAGAAACAGGATTATCTACACTACCAATTCTACATAGTACAACCACATCGACCCAGAAGACGTTCGTCCTGCTTGGTCTCTTTTCTTTTCCCAGCCATCCCAACAAACTCCCAACGGCAGCCGCATGACCTGCAATATCGTAGTTCTCCCCAAGGTCCTTCATCACGAGAGACGCATATCGACAGCGACCCTCTCTCGTCAAGGGGACGGGTGTGTAACTGGACAAGCTCTAGCCTCGCCCGTCGACCAGACCACCGATTATTAATTTTTCGTATCCACATCTCGATTTTCAAAAGAGATCTCCCCTCTAGAAAGCCTCTTCAACTGGACAGTCGACGCTCTCGTGCCCGTCGCGCTCACATAGCGCACACCACTTCTCCGGGTCTATGACTCCCGTCGTCCGCCCTGCCAACATGCCCGCCTGTGCACCTGTGCCTTCGATGAGTTTCGCTGGAGCGGGAGCTGAAGCCGTCGTGGGCGTAGAGGTCGTGGGCATGGGAGGATTCGACATCTTCGCGGTGGGTGATTCGGCTGCTTCTAGCAGCGCAATCGGCGGAGAGGGCAGGTCTTCTGTAGGGGGCGGGTTGGGATGCACGTCAGACGGCGAGGTTATGGTGTTGTTCGTCGATTTCCGACTCATAAGGGGAGCAGGTCGATCTGGATCCCGTGGTCCTGCCATCACTGCCAGCATCTGTTCACCATTGTCGACGTCGCCTTCAACGTCTCGCCGATTCCCCTCAGGCACACCGTGGTCATCCATACCAGACGGTTCGACGTCTGTTGTAATCTTCTTGCCCGGGCCAAACATGTTACCACAGGTCAGAATATCATGCCCGCCTTCTTCGCAGATCTCGCACCATAACACGGCGCTTTCAGAAGTAGAGACATCTGTGACCCCATCATCGGACCTTTCGCGTTCCCGGATGCCAGCGTCATAATCGTGACGTGTCCTTACCGGCGATGCTCCCCCGGAGGAAGCATCATGCCAGGCTTCCTGACCCGTAGTCTGACTGTCGTGACGCTCATGCCCACTTGCTCCGTTTCGCTTCACCGGCCCGAGCACAACCGTCCGCTGACTTCCTATAGTACCGGTACTGAGATGCTTGCGGTCCAGTTCCTCGCTGTTTCCTCTCGAGTGCCCTGTACGCATACCCGTGTGGATGCCAAATGCAGCCCCGCCCATAGGCATGGGAAACTTTGAAAGTGTGACGCTGTTCCGCAACTGTCTGACTTCCTGCACAAGTTCTTCTTCATGAGCACTCTTTTGCTGCAAGAGAACTTCAAGATCGCGGATTTGTTGCTGGAGGGCATCCTCTCCACCATCGCCAACAGGCGACGAGTCTTTCCGTTGATGTCCGTTCGCGATCGTGATGCCGTTGGGTCTCTTGGGGCTGTTGGCGTTCAGATTTTGGATGATGGCCTTCAATCCCCTTATCTCATCATCCTTTGCGGTTAACTGTGCTTCGAGTTCTTGCACTTTGGAGGAAGACGAGTAGCCGCCACCACCATTCAACTGCTCTTCGGTCTTCATTCTCTCCTTCTCCCTCCTTAACTCGCTTCTCGATCTCTCGACCTCGCCTCTCAAAAATTCAACCTCTCCCCGCGCCTCAGCCTCGCCTCGTCGAGCATCCTCGAGCCCTTCTTCAAGCTCTTGCACAAGTTCTTCCAACTGCTTAAGTTGCTGTGCGACGGTCTCGACGTCCTCACTTCGATCCTGGAGATTTCTCACTTCCTCCAACAATTCATCTACTCTCTTCTCGTAGACACGTTCGGTTTCGGTGCTCGCCATCTCCAACGTATCGATCGTAGAGCGGAAATCCGCACGGTTGGCGTCAAATTCCGCCGTGAGCATTTTGATCCTGTCATTCTTCTCCCGCAGGGCTTCCCTCAGGGAAACGACATCACGAGGGAGGTCGTCGTCACCGTCCTCTCGGCTTCTTTTATCGGCCTGCTGGTCTTCTTCCAGTCCAGGTAGCAGTTTTTGTATCTCGTTGAAATTGCGTTCCATCTCGGCAAAACTTGTGCCTTGTTCATTTAATTGGCGTTTCGCGTTCTCTAGTTCTTCATTCAGTTCGCGGATTTTCGTCTCATACTTTTCCACGTTAGTTTCGGTTGTCTTTCTGCTGAAATTGGGCGTCGGCGTCGGCGTGGATTCCGCCTCCTGCTCAGGGATTTCATCAAAACTTGATTCAGGGCCTAATGACGGGCTTGCGGATGCAGTCGAGCTGCCCTGTCTCAAACTCTGGCTAAAGTTGTTGACGCCGCGTTGCTGGCCTGGTTTGGCATAAGGCCCGCCTGGCCCTCCTCCGTTTGTGCTCTTTGCGAGACCAATACCGCTGGGCCGCGTCTTCGGCGTGGCCAGCGTTCTGGGCGTAGGGGTATTGACTTTTCGCAACGGACTCGAGGGCCGAGGAAGGGATTCCCTTCTCAAAGGTGGTTTGAGCGCCGGGCTGGCGGCGCCCGATGGTCTCATTGCGCCAGGACCCATCGATTGACTGAAGGAGGGTTTTGCAATACCTGTCGTCACACCAGGCGTTCTCCCGCCCTGATTAAAGCTGGCAAGTCTGTTGGTGGGTGTGCCGGGACCAGGACTCGCTCTTACACCACTGAGACCCAGTCCTGGTCCTGCACTGCCAGCACTGCCCGGTTTCTTGACGGCCTTCTCCAAAGGCAGAAATATGCCCGAGCCTGGGATTGTGGTTCTGAAGTAGTATTTTCCATCCACCTCGCCAGAATTCTTGCCGCGAGGCGCATACTCTGTCGCGAGTTGTACGCCCGCAAATATTCCCTTTTTCCCCGTGACCGGGCCGATGAATTTGACGATGCCGTGCATGTCACCGGGGACCATGACCGTGTCCCCGACGTTGACGGTCGCCATGGCGGGCAGAGGAGGCTATCCGGGGCAAGTGGAATCGGGGTCGAGGCAAACGCCAGGGCGGACGGAAATGATCAGGTCCGCTGATTGCTCTTGTCTCGAAGTTTCGCAGGGTTGAGCGGCGATTTAAGCCACGTTGGATGTTGCAGTGTCCATTGAAGGAAGAACTTGAGGAAGATATTCGGCAAGATCTGCAGACTCGCCGGAACTTGTGGGGGAATAACCTTGCGGTGACAGGAATGAGGGAGTCCAGCAGGAGACGAGACAACCCGATCTTGTCAGATGTAGGCGACGCCGATAGCCAGTATCGACCGTGGCGATTATTCAAGATATGGTGGCCTCGGGCGCAGAGAGGGAGAAGGACAGGGAAAGGGGAGGCAGGACGAGCGTCGGTATCGCAGCGAGTGGTGACGGCCGGTTGCACGGGTGAAGACTGAGAGATAAACAAAAGACGTAGCAGCAGGAACCAAGCATAGTTTTGGGTCGTGCCGAATCGCAGGTCAAGAATAAGCTGAAGCTGTGTTGTTTATGGATGGTGAATGGCCATGGCGACCCGACATGGGGGCTTTTCTCGCAGGGTAGTGAGGGTGCGCAGGCGAGGAAACGAGGGCACCACAGGGGACCAACTGGCGAAGAAATTGTCTGATTTGCTTAGCGAATCTGGAGCTAAATCCAACCCTCCAGTCACCGCTGCGCTGGGCCGCTGACGGGCGCTTTGGCGACAGGGATACGGGGTACAGACCTGGTGAGGATGGAGAGGCTTGTCTGCCGGGGCTCCAGGCCAACACGATCCCACTGGACTGGTCATGGGCTTGTGATAGCCAGATGCCAGATGCTCCGATGCCCAACAACCTCGCCTATTTCCACCTCCGACCTCGACCACCACCACTACCTCATCATCCTCCCCCGGTTTCTACCCGTCTCCATACTCGTACTAATATCTGTCGGGACTGAAATTGCAGGGAGACCTCATGGGAACTCAGGTTCGCTAAACATATCCGACTGCTTCAGCCTCGCCGCGCAGAAAGCGGCCGATCTGGCGCCACAGAAACCCAATTTCCACCCTTCCCTCCATGCTATCCTATACGCTGTATGGAGGCGTGGGAGGGTAGAGAATGCCCCCTTTCCCGTCGCAATACACGGTACTTCATAGTGGAGGAGAAACGCAAAAAAAGAACAACAAGCAACGTGATTGATACTTTTGTCGAGTCCCAAAGATGCACGCTCCATCTCCTCAACCTATGTAGGTCATCCTGCCCTGTTTTCGACCAGCTACAACTGCAACCTGAATGTCTTGACCTCAAACGCCCGCAGCTCAATCGGAATACTGATCTTGTTCTTCCCGGACATGTCCAGTTGTTTGCCATCGTCCTCCAGCACGTTGGTCTCGTACACCTTCTTCACCGGCAGGGTCGTCTCAATCACCCCGCGACTCTTGCCTCCCATGCTCTCATATATTCTCAGTATCACGCTCTGACCTTTTCGCTGGGTAAGTTCTCCTCGGGACACGTCTTCGTCGTCTTCTCCACGCTTGACGCAGTCCAGGATTAGTGATGACGCGCCCGTGACGTTCACGGCGTTGAACAGCTCCTTTGGAGGCCGGTCATCAACCACCGACACCAATGTCATCGGATGGTTGAAGTTGTAGGCCGCTCGGACAGTGTCGCTGCTCAGCGCTCCTTGGTGAGGCATGATGGCCCACTTGATGTGGTGACGGCCCATGTCGGCGTGCGCATCGGGTGCTTTGGGCGCCCGCAACAGTGACAAGCGCATAAGATTGCCGCATGTCGCAAACCCATATTTGGAGTCATTCAGGATCGACACACCATAATTGGCCTCTGAGAGATCAGCAAATTTATGACAGCACACCTCGAACTTGGCCATATCCCAACTACAATCGTCAGCACTTGGATTGTCCATGGAAGAGAAGCTGCAAAATTCTTACCTGGTGTTGTAATGTGTCGGACGGCGGATGATTCCATACTGAGTCTCGTAATTTGCCTCCGTGTTGACCACGTCCACTGGAAATTCTACCTTTAAGAATTTCATGTTCTCATGCCATTCCACTTCAGCTTCCACCAGCAGATACCCTGTCTGGGTCTGGCTGTTGCATGCATCGAGGCTGATAGTGGTCTTGACCCAGCTGTCTTTGCTCACCTGTGTCTTGGTGGCGACGCTCACCCTGTACGGACCATGTTCGACAATCTCAGAAGCTTCCGACTTCAGCTCTTTCCTGGAGTCGAGATGGAAAACTTCCACATCCCAGGCCTGCCAGTACAAAGGCTTGTCATCAAACATTACCAGCTGATTGCCCTTGCCTCCCTTGGCAATCACCTCTCTGTTGGCTCTTAGGTCAATTAATGATGTGATGCAACCCGCCTCCACTTCTGCCTGGAATATGCTGTTCTTCAAGACAAAGACACCCTTCCGCACCTCCTCGATGGATGCCGTCGATTGAATTGCCGAAGCGGCGTGCGTCTTACATACACCCGGCCCGCCGGATACGTATGTGTACTTCTGCTCCTGCGACTTTGCGCTGGCATGTGGGATCCTGACCAGCTCCGAACGTGTCCAGGGAGTGGTGTTGACTGCCGCAAGCTCGGCGTTAGCTTTGAGGTGCTGGGACAGCCCCAGAACCGTGAGAGCCTCCTCTTTCACCTTCTCTCCCAGTTTCGCATTGTGGGCGTAAAGCTTGTCCGAGTCATCATAGCACATCTCAATGGAGCTGCCAGGCAAACAGTCGTGGAACTGACAAAGCAGTACATTTTCCCACATCTCATCAATCTCCTTCTTGGGGTACTTGTAGCTCTTGCTCTTCAGGCTTGCCAAAGTTGCCAGGTATTCGACATCATGTAACATAATTTCCTGCTTCCGATTATTAAGCTTGTTGTTTGCTTGTGTTGTGTACGTGCCTCGATGCAATTCAAAGTAGAGCTCGCCGTACCATGTAACGAGCTCGGTACCTTCCGCCACTTTCTTCTCCAGGTTTGCATAGAAATCGTCCACGGAATTCCCCATATTCACACGAGGGAGTAGTCCAACTGTATCGCTCAGACCACGGCATCTTCTCAACTTCTCGAGCATTGACCAAGTAGGTCCACCTCCTCCGTCTCCCTTGCCAAAGACAAGCAGGGAAGTGTTGTCCTGGTCCATGCTTTTATGTTGAGTGACACTTCTTCTAACGTCTCCAAAGTGAGCATCTGCCGTGTATGTCTCGCTGGGGGCCATGTGGCAGATGACCTGACTTCCGTCCAAACTCACCCAGTTGAACGTGGTGTGCGGAAAGTTGTTGATATTGTTCCAACTAAGCTTCTGGGTGAAGAACCGCGTCATCCCCGCAAGACGGCAGATCTGCGGGAGCTGCGCAGAGTAACCGAAAGTATCGGGGAGCCAGAAAGTCTGACATCTTTCGCCAAAATTGCTCTCGAAGAACCGTTGGCCGTAAAGGAATTGCCTGACCAAGGACTCACCGCTGGGCATGTTCGTGTCGTGTTCAACCCAGCTGCCCCCTATTGGATGGAATCTTCCTTCTTTGACCTTGGATTTGACCCGGTCGAAGACGTAGGGGTAGTACATCTTCAGCCACTTGTACTGCTGTGCTTGGCTGCAGGCGAAACGATGTTCTGGGTATCGATCCATCAAGTCACACTGGTTGGACCAGCTTCGGGCAACTTTGCGCTTTGTCTCAGCCCACGGCCACAGCCAGCACGTATCAATGTGACAATGTCCAATTCCATACACGATGCTCTTCTCATCCGAGTCATAGACCTTGGCTGAATCGACATTCTTGCCGATATATTTTTGAGCGATTCTGCGGCCCTCTTCGATCGAGGTGGCTGATCCCTTACCAGCGATGAAGACATCCATGATCTGATTGCAGACCTGCAAGGCTTCATGCTTTTCCCAGCTGTCACCAGGAAATTCCCGGGCAGCGTCGCCGATGATCCAAAAATCGACGTACAAGTGACGAACGGCAAGATTGACATCCACAATCTGCGCCTTCCAAAGCGTGTAGTACTTGTTTGGGTCTGGGGGTTGAATGCTGTCACCTCCCGGTGCGTTCCCAAACATTCCGTTGCACGCCATCTCTATGTAGAAGATGTGCTCTTTGCCATCCCGCCAGCTTGTCGGCAGAATCCATTCGACTCGATCTCCACCAGTAAGGCCTTGCAGAGGGTTTCCATCCTCTGTCCATACCATGCCTTCATTGTTTGCGTCCCAATGGAACTCTAGATGTTCTCCATCTCGCATGTTTTTAGGCACGGTGAGTTGAATCTTGAACCAATGGGTAGCCCAAGCCGGTCCGAAGGATTCCCCGCGATGTGTTGGGCGGAAAGTGTGAGAGATAGCATCGTGAAAAGTCGGTCTGGTGAGATCAGGTGGAGAGTAGACGGAGAGCTTCACATGGTCTCCATCGTCGCAGACATTGTGATAGAGCTTAGAGAGAAGGTTCTCCTTTTCGTATTGGCCACCAGATGTAAATTGTCGTAAGCGGTCGGTATAGATGCTCTGAATCTTTTGTCCAACGGGATGAGCGCTAAGCTTTGGGTAGGACGAGGTAGTGCGAGAAGACGTCTCGCCCCCCATTGTTCTAAGCTCGAGCAGGGATCGTATTCGGAAGGGAAGACAGGAGGCAAAGGGGTCGAGCTATCGAAAATACTTTTGGGCAAACAGTTCAAACGAGAGGCGATGGCTTGGAGCACAAGGGATAGAGCAGCAGGAGGTTGGTGACAGCTTCGACACACTGGCAGCCAGTTGACGGTGCGGGGTAGCTGCGGCTCTGTGTCAGTGCTGACTGCGCGTTAGTTGGAGAACACAGACGAGGCTGAGTGTTGGAGCCACAGCCACAGCCACAGCCACAGCAGAATTCCCAGGTTTCTATCGTCTTATGTATCGAGTACCTCTATCAAATCGAAATTTAGGTAGTTCGTCTAGCAGAAATGTTGTTGATATGCAGCAAGGTAACCATCGCCTTCAAATCCACGAGTTATCGCCGTCGACTGTAGGCTGATCCAAGGCATTTACAGCCCCGGTCGTCTCTCTTGGGCCAACGAAGATAATACTGTCCTTCAGCTTGCGCTGTCTCTTCTGCGACGACTTCCGTCTCAGTCTGCGTTTTGCCTCTTCAAGAACCCCGACAATCTGACTTTGACTGTTTTGGTACGCCGTGACGAGACTGACGGATTTTCCCCTTTGACGCGTCCGCTGAGCCTGCCGCGCCTCTTTTTGCTGCCTCTTCTGCAATTTGTTCCCGAAGACCTCAGCCCCATACACTTGATATGGGGTTGCAGGGATGGCCAGCTGTCTTTCTCGTGGTGGAGTATCCTGCCCACGGCTCTCTTTACCTTCCGAGGCGCCCTTCCGCGAGAGAGACCTGAGTAAGTGGGTAACGTTTTGCTGGAGGCTGGATCTCGCACTGCTATTGCGTGGCGGCTTCCGCTCAGCACTGTCTCTTTTCATGCCTGGGTACTTGGTTTCGGCATAAGACATCACTCTCTCTCGTTCCTTTTCGGCCGAGCTCTTTCTCACTCGAAAGCTCTTCCTAGGCTGTAGTTCAAGCGGCGAGGACTCTGGACTCTGATTGACGAAGCCGTCCTCTAGCCAGTTCTGTGACCAACTTTTGCCGGAGCTGTGCGGCTGTGACTGTCCTTCAAGAGGATCATGATGTCGAGCAGGATCGAATTCGGCGGGCTTTTCCCAGTCGTCAAACGGTGGACTAGGAAGACTCGAGCTACTCAAGCCTAATGGTGGCGGGAGGAGGTCGGAACCGTCAGTATCAGAGATCGTCCCGGACATGGCATCGGGCAAGGGTGGAGTTTGAGAGAGGGATACGGATTGCCCAACGAACGAGACTTGCGGTGAGGGCGGAGCTAATTGATCATATGCCGCTTGTCGATGTTGCTCAGCTGAAGACACAGAGAGGGGCGAGACCAGTTCATTTCTGCGCTGTTGGAGCTGACGGGAGAACTCGGTAAAAGAAGGAGCTGTCTTGTTGCTTGAGATTGCATTGGTAGAAGTAGCAGCAGATCTAAGAGATGAGATCGAGACTGCCTCTCGTGGCACATCCTTTACCGGTGGAGACGGGTTATGGCCCAGGCTCAGACGCCTGATGAGAAGAGGTGCAACGGTGTCTCGGTAAGCTTGCGGGTGATGGAGTGTTGGCAAGGGTGGGATGTCGTCCAATTCACGACACCCTCCGCCGTACATGTGGATGATATTGGTGATTGTAGTATCAGTGCTATACACGCTTGAGGACCTTCTCTTTCCCTCGAATGGCTCGAGTGGCAGTGGTTTGTCTCGATCTGAAGGCGTCGATCTCCCGGAGGCATGATTTGAGGCCGGTCGGAGAGTGTTTGGCGGTGGAGAGACTGACAACTCTAAACCCTGCTTCTGGAGTTCTAGAAGTGCCTTTGATGGAGGCGGAGAGGTCAGCCGCAATGGATGGAATGATCCCGGACGCAAATTCATTTCGGCCGGAGATCAGATAGCCGGACAAGACATCATGCTAGGACAACTGAGGATCTTCCTGCGTCCGCAGCCACAGGTTTCCATTTGACATCGTGCTTGGAGATCCAGAAGCTGCGATGCAACCGACACTCCATAACACAAGACAAAGGACCCCGTTTTCGGCTGCATTGTAGATATTGTCGTGCTCAATGAACGTTCCATTGTTCACGATGCTGCCGCCCACGCTCGCATACACACACAGCTATCACAACGTTGCAGAAACTTTCGAGTTGGTGGCCACATTCCTCGGTGTGCAGGCACCACACGAGGGGCGATGCATCACATTGGAATTTGGAGCGATGGTGGCTCAGAGATTTGCAGCTTTGACCAAGTCCTCCTTTGTCAACTCATCGTTTCGATTCCTAATTTCACCCAAGAAGCCAATTTTTCGGAGCCGAACAATCATGTCTTCGTCCCCAAAGTGAGAGTTGTGCTCGAAGGTAGGTTCTTGGTCATACGCGTAACGAGCGGCATCGACAAGAATCCGGGCGGTCATGCCAAACACCCGGTACCTAGAATATTTGTCCAGGTGGCTTGCCGTGACCTTCTGGTCTTCACTTCTTTTCGGCTTCGAGACGATCTGGTTGGTGACGGGAACAAAGAAATTGTGCATGCGCCATCGACTCTGATGCCAGTCTGTCCAGCTTCCCTTGTACCAATCACTTGGTTTGCCGGGGAGATTTGGCTGATCCGGCAGATCTTCCATGTACAAGAAGTTTCTGAAGGGTGCCGAAAACACCGCCGCCACCTCTCTCGCATCCAATCTTGGGAGTAGTTTTTCCCCCACGTTGGCATCCTCTCCGGTCTCCGGGTCATACGAATGTAGAAACGCGACGCATGGACGAACCAGAAGGGCGTTCTTGCTTAAATTCGTTGCCATCTCGCATAAATGCTCGACTTTGAATGGTCGCGGTAGGGCCGATGCACGCCTAGGAAGGCCTATCTCTTCCGAAGCCTCACGCCTTGCACATTCAAAGGCCGTCTCGCCCTCATCAGCTTTGCCGCCCGGCAAGGCGGCTTGACCAGAATATGAGCTCAGGGTACTTGCTCGCATGGTGATGACTACTCTCAATTCTCCGTTTGGATCTGCAAAAAGCAGGATCAGGACGGCGGCCTTCCGCGTGAGCGGCATTGTGGGCCATATTGTTTCTGGAGATTTGTAGGATCTCAGCCGATCAATGGCTTGCTGGATACGACAATCAGTGCGAGAAAACTTGCCCGGATTGTGGAACATACCGCTGAGATAGGTGACAGACGCGGCATGTTGACCGAAGATTTTTGCGAGAGAGCCCTTCTGCACAGTACAAAATACGGATGCCTGCTGATGTTTGACACTCGTCTGGAAAGCATTGAACAATCCCAAAGATGATGCTGATATGTGGTCGGGAAGATGATGAAAAGTTCCCAAGGTTGGCAGACACCGAGGTGGATAGCCGAGGCACTCCCACTTGAGCCCTCCCGGCTGGTCACCCCAATAACGAGTCTCCAACAAGGCCCGTGGTTGATGCGTCTTGAAAGCGACGACACCCATGCGCCCAAAAGATATCAAAATTCATTCTCTAATCATCATGGTTCTTGCGCGCACCCCCGAAAGTGATCTTTTGGCGTTTGGTCGATCTGCCTTCCGTGTCTTCATCGTTGGCGGCTGCGCTCTTTTTCTTCTTCTTGTCACCCGTCTTCTCCGCAGTAAAACTTCCAGTCGGCGTGGCTGCGTGGTTGGGTGTGCTCGTAGCACTGCTCGGGGAATCTGAATCTCTCATGTATGATACTGAGCTCTTGGAGAACACTCGGTCTGTGTCGTTCACGACCGCCTTCCGACGCCCTGCGCCTAGACCACCACCAACTGCGCTGCCTGAGACTGTCCCGCCTGCTGAATTGGCCGCTGCCGACACTGCAGATGCCTTGATGTAGTTGTCGAATCCTTTGACAATGTTTCCTGCGATTGCGGTTTCTTCGAGGTACGCCGTTTCTTGCCGGTAGATCTGGTCCTCTATGACGGCCTGAGACGTTAGCGCTCTGGAACTGTGTGCGCAAATTTGAGACTCACTAGATTTCGATCAAGAAGACGCTTCTTCTGTAGGGTGTCCCGTAGGTCGCGCCTCAATTTCTCGTAATCTGTTCGATCGTCAGATCAAAGGGGACTTTCTGCGGCCAGAGGCGTCAGCCACGCTTACAAGGTAGTCCCGGCCGGTCACTGCTTGCTGTAGGCTTTGCCGCAGAGCCTGATCCAGGAGGGACATTCTCAGCCATCATGACCCAGGTTTTCGCCGATAAAAATGTGGTGAGTTGCGCAGAAGTGGTAAGAGAGGTGGCCAGGAAATTCTACGAGTGTGGAAATGGCCAACGCGCTAAGCGGGGAAGTAACCGCGTCTCTCGCACTCGACGGATTCCGTCCTTCCATCTACTATCACACTCGCACCATCACTCAACTCTACTATTTTTCTTCACACACTTGAGCAACCTATTCGGCGAAATGGACCACGGCGGTATGGACCATGGCGGAATGGATCATGGCGGCATGGACGATGGTCAATGTTCCATGAATGTGAGTCTCCAGATGAACGTGGATCATACTGGTATCGCTCTAACAAATCAGATGCTCTTCAATTGGCAAGTGAAAGGCCTTTGTATCGTCTTCGAGTCATGGAGAGTCACGGGACCCATGTCGCTTCTCCTCTCCCTGGTCGCCATCGCCCTCCTTACCGCTGGCTACGAGTGTGTTCGGGAAATAAGCAGGAGATATGACGAGAAATTCAATGCCAGAATGAATGCACTTGGGACAAGTACGTTGATCTTGCCGGATGTTTCTCTACGTGTCGCTGAGACTCTCAAGGCCCTCCAGCGGAATCAAGCTCACTGCTTGCAGGATCGGAGTCGAGAGATGGAGCCGGCCGGCAAGGAACGATAACCAGAGCCGGTCTGTATGCCTTGCAAGTATTCTACAGCTTCTTCATCATGTAAGACCCCATTCCTCACTTCGGTTCCGACTAATCAGCTCGAGGCTACTGTTTATGACCTACAACGGATTCGTCATGTTGGCGGTGGCGGTCGGGGCATTTATCGGATATTTGGCTTTCAGCTATAAGACTTCGCCCACCAAAACAGCAGCATGTCATTGATCTCTAGATCATTCAACTTCCTCGTCTAGGTCATCGCCAAATCCGAAACTAAACCCTTGCCGCTCTTCATCAGCTTCGTCTTGACCAGCAACGACCTCTTCCCATTTGCGCTTGCGGCAATCGTCGAGAGAAGCCGCCAGGTCAGGATCGGTCTCCTTTAAGCGATCCATAAAGAGGGTATAGGGATCTGATACTTTGTCACTGAATCCGGAAACTTGGTCTGCCCGATCTCTCAGAAAGCGGATCGTTGATTGGACATGGGCTCTGGGGACGAAGTTTTGAGTGATAGCAATAGCTGGCTCAAGGTTGACTACCAAATGCCACCAACCTGAGGGGACATGGAGGACCTCGCCTTCCCGACAGATGCCCTCGAAACAGGACCCAGTCCTCCGAGCTTCAGTATGGTATGACAGGAGCCACTCGGCAATGCTCAGTGGCGAAGTGACCTCGCTTTGGTCTTGGGACATGTAGACTCCTGGAGGCAGGATAGAGCTTGGAAACATAATCCAATATTTCGAGCCTCTAATAATAGCGTTCCAGGCACTCGTGGCATTCGGGTCTTTGTGAAACGTGCTTCCGCTTCTTTCAGGTCCAATAATCAGCCACCGTCGATCGGGTCTCTGGTCCTTGAGGAGGGTGAAAAAGTCTTCCCGGAATGCCTCTGGGGGCTCGTATGCATCCTGCAAACCCATCTTTTCCACAAAGGCCCGATCAAAAAGGTACAACGGCGATTCATCTTTTGAAGTTTCCATGTAATTGACGTACGTGCTCAGCGGCCAATCCACTGCCTCGCAACGAAAGGGGACATCCCCGTACTTCGCGAGTAGATGCTGTAGATCCCACGTCTCAAAAGCCTTCCATTTCCTCACCGGCGCGGTCAGGATGAAGGGCTTGCCCACCCATGACTCGTTGAACTCTTCTGGCGAGATGTCGCTCAGCCGTGGAATTTCGTTTTCTGGCGGAATGTTCGAGACATACGGCGTCAGCGGTGTGCGAGAGCATTGAAACGGCCGATAGAGCGCGTCGGAAAAGACGTATCGGCAATCCACCTTTGCAAGCTTTGTCGGCGGAAGCCGCATGAGAGATGCTCGCCAACTTCCCCGCCACTCAAAACGCTCGTTCGTCTCGTTGACTGCAATATCTCTCCATAGCTGGTCACAGGTACAGTAGGCGTAGAGCCCTCGACACGTCGCACCCAGGTTGAGAAGAGCACGTCGATCCAGGAACTCGAGGAGCATCAGCATTAGCGTGTCTGGCAGAAGCCCGAAGGGACCCATGGAGGTTTGGGCATTTTCTTGGGATGTTAGGGCGTTTCCTGACGGTCTCAGGCCCAGAGAATGTGGCTCGACTTCATCTTCCGAGGAGGTCCCCGTGTCAGCAGCATTGTTGTCCTGTAAGAGACTTGTCTGATGGATTGAATCCGAACTCTCCGTGAGAGCGCCATGTGTTTGCAGAATGGTGGTTGAACTCATTGTTTGGGGTTGAATACAGCGTGGTACACACTAGCCCATTTGATTTGTCCAATCTCGAGGATTTCAGCGAAACCACTGGTCATACAGTTGTGTCGCCAACCATGGTCTGAGGTTGAATACTGCTGGAGAAGATTTCTTTGTGGGGGTCGGCGGAGCCAATCAACATGCGCATATTGCAGGTAGGTCTAGCAGGAGTCCTTCCCTAATCGAATTACAAAGTACACTTCACTAAACCTATTCTGACGATACATACTAGGTCGGAAGTATTATCATCATGGCTAGAGGGAACCAACTTCAAATCTTCAATGAACAAGCTCACCTTCTATGTGAACACCAGTCAAAAGCGCCACCATCATGGCTAGAGGAAACCAATTTCAAAATCCTCCACGAACAAACTACCCACCGACATCTGCCTTCCCCGCGATGCCTGCTCCTCAACTGGTGCCTTGAATCAATACTGTAACGCGGAGGTCTGTCTGGCGAATGGTCCAAGGATACTCGCAATATGAAGAAGTGATTGATAAGACGGCTGTTGTCCTCTGGGATGTGCTGGTAGACCCATGCGGTATGTACGAGCCTGAACTCCTTTGGGTGAGTACATACGCGGACCAAGTGAAAGCGTCAAGAAAACGTATCGTTGGAAGTATGCGCCAAGAAGATTGCGATACAAGCGTCATCTTGTTGTTGTTGTTGATCGAAGGGTATGTCGGTGGTGGCAGCTGGTGCTCTCTGTGTCTCGAAGCGAGATCCTGTCGTTGCAACTATGGTGTGCTCATCTTCATTCCCCTCTGGTGCACAGTGCCTGCCTTGGCCACGGACTCTCTTTTGATCCATCATCATCATCCATCTCACACCTTTTCCCGTTTGCAAACCTCGGGTGGAACCTCTATCTGGACGTCGTCAAACTGGCTCTCCTTGCATGGGTCTTGTCGAACTTTCCCCCTCGTGATTCTTTTGATCTCATCGCGCAGGTCCAGTGATTCGAGTTGAGCCTGATCTTTGTCATACTGTTCTCCCCCACGTTCTGTAGGAGCGCGCTATCGTTTCTGATGGGTCGGTTGGAACTCGCCAGGATCATGTTGCCTGGAGCATTCAGTTGAATAGTTACTGTCACTTCTGGTTTCCGACAGCATCCGATGGCACTCGAAGAGATGTAAAAGATCCATATCTTACCGTCAACGAGCATAATGTTAGACATCAAATGTGAACAAAAGTGAAATGACTTCCCCACTGGTTCCCCATCAAGACCGTATTCGAAAAAAGCTCATGCTAAGTCTTATGAAAAGGAACGAGCTGCGGAGTAGATATGCTACAGATGATGAGCATACACAGCTTTCATGCACGTTCCGGTATCAATCGATCGTCTGGATGTTCTTTTTCTGACTCATTCAGAATGACCTCCATGGGTACGGTGGGAGGGGCCAACGATGTATCTATCGTGTGAGAGGGTACCTGGATAGCAAAATCCTTTCCCTCTCTCTTTTCTCTTGCTTTCTTGTTTGACATATCAGAATGGCATATGATTTTGCTCTTGGCTTCGGTCAAAATTTCTATTACGTCGTAAGCATTCCCATTCTCTTTTGATCTCGCCTCCTTTGCTTTCGATCTTCTTTCAGCACCACTCTCTTTCACCTTGTTCTGTTCCACATTTATTTCAAACGGACACTGATCGTGCTCAGGAAATCCCTGCCGCCACTGCCCCTGCCGACATCTAGCGTGTCGAGGAGATAAAGGCCAAGAACCAGCGAAGAACAAGGCTAGCACGCAGTACTGCTATGGGCCGGGCGGGCGTCTTGTCCAAGCTAGGCTGTCAGTGGGAGTCGCGTCCAGGAGCTCCTCATCGACAAGGTGCTGATTTTATTAAGGCTCTGAGGCAGAGAAAGAAGGAGAAGAGACAAGGTGCGTCTTTTTCCATAAAGTGCAGTTGACTATTTCACATGACTTTTAGAGGAGGTCAAAGATACGCCAGTGACAATCCTCGCTGAAGACTTGTTGCCGACATGGCATTCAGCCCAACAAGACGCCGCTGCCGGTCTGGCAGCACCTGGCATGTTCCCGATGTCCATGAAGGACGCCACCGCCCCCGACAAAACGTCTTGGGCGAGGCTGAACTTGGTGAGGTAAGGTCACCAGGCCAAAACTCGGGTAAGTTGCCACTTTTCCAAGTTAGCGCCAAGTTAGTGCCGGGTTGCTTCGCTTGGATTCTATGACCCTGCACCTTGAAGGCGAAAAAAATGAAATCAAAATTTGAAACCAACGACCTACAAATCTACCATCTTCTCATCTCATCATAAAAGACAACGCACCCGCGACAAATCTCTTTCTCGAGATTTATTTTCTTCGTATTATTCACATCACTGTCAACTGAGGCGCGCGCACATTTCAGCGCGTCAACTCTGTCACACCACATTCCACATCACAGCAAACTCAGCATCCAAATTCAAACCGCAATCATGGCCGACAAAGGTCTTGAAGAAGTCCCAGAGTCTCAAATCGAGTCCAACTACGATGAAGTTACCGATTCTTTCGATGCCATGGGTCTCAAACCCGATCTCTTGCGCGGTATGTTGTCGCACCTCCCCGCCGCCTCCCCTCCCGCTCCCCTTCTCACCCTTTCTCCGACCCCCAAATGGTCTCTACAACTTAATCCATGTTCAAAATGCTAATACAATCGCTAGGTGTCTATGCATATGGTTTTGAAGTCCGCCTCCCCTTGATCCTATCGATTTGATTGAAGTGCTGACATTTGCTATAGAGACCGTCCGCAATCCAGCAGCGTGCCATCATGCCGGTGATCAAAGGCTCGGACGTGATCGCGCAGGCGCAATCCGGAACCGGCAAGACGGCTACGTTCAGCATTTCTTGCCTGCAGAAGATCGATCCGAACCTCAAGGCGTGCCAGGCGCTCATCCTCGCCCCGACACGAGAGCTGGCGCAGCAAATCCAAAAGGTGGTGGTGGCGATCGGAGATTTCATGAACGTGGAGTGCCACGCTTGCATCGGAGGAACAAACGTGCGAGAGGACATGAAGGCGCTTCAGGACGGCCCACAGGTCGTTGTCGGTACCCCAGGGCGGGTGCACGATATGATCCAGCGCCGAGTGTTGAAGACCGACAGCATGAAGATGTTCATTTTGGATGAGGCGGATGAGATGCTTTCGGTAAGTGACGCCAGCATACGCTCACCCGCACCCTCACCATGGTCCTCGATGTTGCCACCCAGAAAATATACTGACTGACTCGGTTGTAGCGCGGTTTCACCGAACAAATCTACGACATTTTCCAACTCCTTCCCCAATCCACCCAAGTCGTCCTCTTGTCCGCTACCATGCCACAAGACGTGCTCGAAGTCACGACCAAATTCATGCGCGACCCAGTCCGAATCCTGGTCAAGAAGGCCGAGTTGACTCTGGAGGGTATCAAACAGTTCTACATCGCTGTCGAGAAGGAAGAGTGGAAGCTCGACACCCTCTCTGATCTCTACGAGACAGTCACCATCACACAAGCCGTCATCTTCTGCAACACCCGAAGAAAGGTGGACTGGCTCACCGACAAGCTCCAGGCTCGTGACTTCACAGTCTCGGCCATGCACGGTGATATGGAGCAGGCTCAGCGTGACGTGATCATGAAGGAGTTCCGATCGGGATCGTCACGAGTTCTGATTGCCACCGATCTTTTGGCGCGTGGTATCGATGTTCAGCAAGTCTCGCTAGTCATCAACTACGATCTCCCCGCCAACCGTGAGAACTACATCCATCGTATCGGACGTGGTGGTCGATTCGGCCGGAAAGGCGTTGCCATCAACTTCGTCACTGCCGACGATGTTCGCATGATGAGAGAAATCGAACAATTCTACAGCACTCAAATCGAAGAGATGCCCATGAACGTTGCTGGTAAGCATCTCTCCCAATAATCCGAAAATGCCGTGCTAACTCAGTTCTTCAGACCTCATCTAATCACTCTAACTGGGCATGTGGATGGCGTTTGTTGCTCCAATTGTATGCGACTCCTCGAGAAAAGTGGGATGAAGCCTGTCTCCGACTGCTTGGCTCAAGATTGTCGCTCCACCACAAAAGTCATGTTTTTCTTATCATGAGCACGGACGCGGTGATATCACAACCTGACGGCTGAGTTTCGCTTATGTGGGCAGATTTCGCTGGCGTTCTACTGCTTAATGTCTAGCTGGCAATCCGTTGTTGGCTGTCTTTGCAACACCAAAGAATCCGAGTGCATTCTCATGTACAACGCAGGAACGATGGTTTCTTTTGCTTCTTCACGATAGATAGGTAGAAAATGAAAGGTTCACATACCCCAAAATTTCGGATATGCCTAGGAAAGGAGAGGTGCCTCCGCCAACCTCCACAGTTTCTCGGGAGTACTTATTACTTCTACCTAGAGGCATCTCCAGTTTAAACCCCGTGTCAGTCGACCATCCATCAGTATGCCCGTCACTCCGCTTTCAGACCGAAAGATGGAGGTCAATTATGCCATCGACTTGCTTAAAGCTCATCAAATCCGTCGAGAAAATGCGTTGCTGCACGAGCAGCTCAAAACCTGTGTCAAAGAGCTCACAGCTCTGCGTGAAGAGATGCGAGAGATGAAGGCCAACCGCCTGGCTGCGGTCGAAAATGAGCTCAAACCCATCAAGGAATCAATGGACAACGTCATGAAAGTCACGGTTCTCATGGAAAGGCATGAAACCCAACTCAATGACCAGACTTGTGAGATACAGGCTCTCCAGCAGTTGTGCAAAACAATGCAAACCGAGACCTCACATATCAAGGCTTCATGTCGCGAGACACAGGAAAACCAGCAGACGCAAATGACCATGGTTGAGAGGCAGATTGGAGCAGTGCGTACTGCATGTGAGAACCAAGCTACTGCGCAAGAACAACAAGATCAACAGACCCTAGCTTCCCTGGAAAACCTGAAAAGCGCTCTTGATGGCAAGGCAGACGCAGGACTCGTCAAACTGCTGGAATCTCGTGTAAACGAACTCTCGAGGGACCGAAATGCTGGCGCAGTTGCAGTTGCAGTTGACTCAGTCAGCCACATTTCAGATACTGCGGAGCGCAGTTCCCCTCTTCATGAGCCAGGTACACATCAATTGACTGGACAAATTAAATTGCAGCTGACCTCTTTGCAGATGAGTCGGTCCAGGTTCAGGATTCCCAGCATGGAAACCCCCAACGCCACGAACCCTTTGGCCGTCCTGTCCCTCAACAGCCTCGAGAGATGACGGTGCCCGACGATCTCGACCTCGACGCCAACGCCCACACAATCAGCTATGTTGGCCATGAGTGCCGTGTGCCGGAACAGAATGACTCCTTGAAGATGTTGTCGCCGTCCACCGGACAGGCTACCCAGCTCGCGGAGATCAAAACCCTGCGACAGAGAAGATTCGACGGCTGGGATACCTACTACAACCAAGGTCAGAAACTTGTGCAAGCCTTGCCGCAGGACTTTGAAGGGATAATCGTCCGCAACTTTGTGGACGGGCTCTTCAAAGATACCCACAGAAAGCAATGTCAGCAGTGGCTCGACTCGAGTGCATGGACCTGGGCCAACGTTACCCTCTTTGGCAATTTATGCTCACAGCTTCTCGCAGAGAACGCATCAAAGGAAGCAATGGAGACTGAGACTTCGGCGCGCCCAAGACAGATAGGTGCGGCACTTGCTGCAGTTAGCAAATCGGGGCATGATGCGGACGGCGTGAAAAACAAGAAAAGGAACAGAGGCAAAGTACAACTAGGCAATGTCGATGCACCGCTGCGGCGAAGCCAGCGCGTGGCCGAAAAACAGAATCACACCATCTCAAATATGGAACAGCAGCGCGAGGTCAATTCGAAACTCATGTCGCTCGTTCACAGTGCAGAACGAGACATCGCCCAGGAATCGAAGCCCAAGAACAAGCCTGGTAATGTCCGCACTAGGACGCAGAAACAACCGCAGTCTGCCAATGCCACCGAACCGCGAGCTCGTCTGCGAGAACCCGAGAAAGAGGCTGAAAAAACCCAAGGGCTGGTGGCCATTGCTCGGTCGATAAAAGGTGCAACAGTCCGGGCAGAGGGCCTCAAGAGAACTGCTTCCGCCGTTGAAATTGAGCCCTCAGTAAAGCGGTTGAAATCTCGCCCGACGGCTTGGACCGGAGACCGTCACGACATCTCAATCCCACAGCTTGTGGCATTTCGTGAACGAAACGGGAAGTCCGTGGAAGAGAGCAGCAACGACGAAGGGTTTTTGTATAAAGCGAACGTCTCCAAGCCTTCAATTTCCATAGGGGCACGTCAACGGACCGGGCACAAGAGAGGACTTCCTCTGCCACCGCCACCAGAGATTCCTATTCTACCTACCTCAGACGAAGAGTAGCTGGCAATCCAAATGCCAATCTCCGCCGGAATGGCGATAGCCTCCAAAGTGATGTCGACCGATATCCCTTGCATCAGAATCTGGCAAGGACACGTTCGATGGCTGGCATCCCTTTTTTCCCTCTAACTTTTTCGGAAGTTTCAAGTCTCTTTGAACACATATCCAGCTTCGGATTCGTCGTCCACGACGTCGACCTCAATTTTGGCCTCAACTACTTCAAGCCCATCCGCCTCCAGACCGCATTGCACCTTGTCACCGCCTTTGAGCGGGCCGACGCCCTTAGGGGTTCCTGTCAAGATAATGTCGCCTTCTTCGAGAGCCATGACTTTGCTTATGTCGCTCAGCATTCTGGGGATATTAAAGAGCATCAAGTTGGAGTTGTCCTTTTGCCTGACCTCGCCGTTGACCTTCAGCCATAGAAGAACATTGTGCGGATCGGGGATGCGGTCGAAAGGGATCTCGTGGCTGATGGGCAGGAAGGTATCGAAACCCTTGGCGATGGTCCACGGGAGACCCTTCTTCTTTGCTTCATCCTGTACATTTCGCGCAGTCACATCGATGCCCAGGAAGTAGCACTTGATGTGGTCGAGGAACCGGGTATCGTCCGCTTGCAGATTCTTCAGCGGGGTCGGTGTTTCTCCAATGACCAGACCAAGCTCGACCTCATGGTGCAAATTCACGCCGCGAGGGCGAATAATAGGGCCCTTATCCGGTAGGAGGATAGATGAGGGGGGCTTGAGGAAGAAGAAGGGCTGCGCGGGACGAGCAGAAGATAGCTCCGTTATATGATCACTGCGAGGGAATGTATCAGTATTTTCCAGGTGCCACGCCCAAGAGCGGGGGAGTGCATACGCATAGTTTCGACCAATGCAGATGACCTTGCGACAGTTCGCCTTGATGGAGGCCATGGATGAGAGCTTGCGATGGTATGTAAGCCGCCGAGAGGGTGGTTGAAGCAACTTACTAAGGTCAACTTGATCGACCAAGGTCTACACCATGGCCATGGATGCAAGCTCAAGCTCGCAGCAATTGAGGTCTTCCCCTCAGTATCCACCGCCGCCAACCATCACTGTGGGCAGTGTGTGCCTTGCATGAGTGGTCAATCTGTAGGGGTCGGTAAGTTTCGGACAACAGCCTCACACAAGGCGATGGGGGTCAGGATATGGGGCAAAAACATTCATCCGTTTCACGCAACTCCATAACATCATCCGCTTCCCATGGGGTGTGCCTTTCCCATCTCTTTTGTCTTTCCTGTCCCTTCCGCCGACTCTATGCGTGGACACAGTAGCTTCGAGATTCTACGCAGGCGAAGGTGATGATGACCACCTCACTGCTTTCGCCACCGCAGGCAAACAGCTAAAGCGGCAATAGGTTGTTCCAGCGCAGCCATGTTTCACTGTCTCGTCAACTGATTGACGGCGCCCACGGATGCGCTTCAAGCTGCCATCAAGCCGCCAGCTCCGGCGTTGTCGGCTCCTTGTTTGCTCTACCGCGCGGCTGCTACTCTCATCTAGAGGAATCTACAAGATTCCAGTGTGAGCTTCGTCGAATGGATACCTTCGCATTACCAAAGCAGCCTGGGCTGGGATTACAAATGCCTTGCTCATCGCCCTGCAGCAAGGCTGAAGAATCGCCTCTGCAAGGGACAATGTCGCCTCAGCTCTAATTTGATCTGATCATCTCGGTCCCGGCGACATCGTCACCATTACGATCCTCTGTGATGGATGCATGTGAGTGGACATCCACGTGTCTCTCAAAGGCGAGCCGGAAGAGAAAGGTCAGATCGATACATCCGTTCGGAGTGGTCAAGGTGAATCGAGATGCCCGGCGGATTTAGCTGTACGATGGCGAGGTGTTTCTTGAGGATTGCATAACCTTTTGTCGCACAATGAGCAAGCCATTTCTCACGGCGTCATAAAAAAATTTCTCTCTCTCTCTACAACACACTCCAAATTCTCCATTGGTATCAGTGCCCTCAGGAGGTGGATGTGACGTCTGCCAATGATGCCGCAATATACCAGAAATTGGCGCTGCGCAGTCTCTGTTCCATGTACAACCGGTGGCTTCTCGTCTGTTCTAGCAGGCGGGAACTCTATTGTCCTGTCTGACAGCTTTGTACGCAGCCTTGAACGGCAAGTATTCGCTACCCTTCTGAAGTAACGGTCGACAGGGCAGCGGATTGTTGAATCCGTGGGGACGAAAAAGTTTCGACTTCCGCAGCAAAGTTGATCGCGAGCCTCCAATCAGGATCTGTCGGCTTACCAAATTTTCGCAGTAAAGTCGGAGGACTTACGGAGGACCCTGGTTGCTTTGGATGGTCCTAGGAACATGTGCCATGACCTAAATGCCCGTCGCAATTAGCGCAAGTCGGATCGTGGCATGGCTGGATGCAAGGCCAGGAAAAAAGACCCCTCGTTGCATGGGCTTACAGGGCCCGTCCCGCAAAAAGAATTTGGAAAACAGGACGACGGCGGTACATGGAGGTATGTTGTACGATTTCGGATCCCAGAATGGCGGGTCAAGGCAGAACGGAAGAGGGACGTTGGCGCTAGGCTGAATGATCTGGACCATCTGCGAGAAACTCTGGGAGGCCAGGCGGTGGCTCGAGTCTGGTTGGTTCGCGTGCTGGTGGAGGGACATGGATGGAGCGTCTGGCAGCACCACTCACAACACAGCTCGATCCCTGTCGCCCCTTGCCGGTCCGGCCGTCTACAAACCCTTGCAAGGCAATACTCGAAGGCGTTTCCGCAGTACCCCCCTTGCGGTTCAGTCCCGTTGAGTCTTTATGTCGACCACTATCAGACCTCGATCTGTCGAACCGTGCTTTTACGAGGTTGCTTCTGATCTCACACCTACGACAATGGAAGCGTCCTTGGCTTTCGATCGATTAGGCTTACGACCTTTCCTGTCGGGCTTGATTCGGAAGACGATCAGAGACGCGCAAACTAGATATGTCCTTTGGTTCCCTGTTGCTGCCGTTGACATGCACCATGGAACTTGTACCATGTATACCGTACCATGTCAACGAGACGAGGACGAGGACGGCCGGGTGGCACTAACCCAGACTTCCTTTGGGTCAACCGGACCCCAGACTCTGAAAGACTCTCTGCCACCCGACAAGAACGGGAGGAACTTCGAACCATTACTAGCCATGCCCGTCAATGGCGCGCTGCACTGCGACGACAGCAGAGGTTATACAGCGCCCAGACTGAGGCCACTCACGCGCAAAGCATCGTGGGCTGGGGAAGGCAAGGCACCGTCTCCGAGACCAGCTCCGCCGAGACCTCAGCGGCGCCCTCACCTGCTGCAATGGCACACATCACGGGGAACTCTACAGATCCATTTACCTTCCTGGAGTCGCCCGATGATGCCTGGTGGTCGCATAATGCGTTTAGGTACGCCGTCGAGTCGTGGCTGCCGTCGGTGTTTCAAGACTTGGACGTGTTGGACGAGACCATACCTAGCTCCGAGTCCTGTCTTGCCACGATCGATCGCATCGTGCAAGGCTGCCTTGCCAACAGGATGCACATGTTTTCGTTGCTTGCCGCAAGCACTGGGTTTCTCAAGTACGTGTTGAGGCTTCAGCTGGACAGATACGACTCGCCAGAATACTGCATGGGCAAAGCTCTGCAACATCTGCGCCACCATTTGGCCGGCACACCACAACCAAACGAGAGCCTGATATTTGATCTCAAGGCACTGTCAACGTTTGAACGGTACGTGGACAACTTTGAGGGAGCTAGAACACACCTACGGATGGTTCAACACCTAGTTCAGTCAATCGGAGGCCTCGAGATTTTAGAACCGCCCATGCGGCTGGTCTGCTGGCTTTGGGATCTGTTGGTTGCCGGTGGCACTGGCGAGACTCCCCTGATGCCTCTCACCTGGGATCCCGGCTTGCTTCCAAGGCAGCAAATGCGGGATGAAATACTTCCTGCTCTGGCCCAGAGCGGAGTGATCCCCAGTGGTTCAGGGCTTCTCCAGTACGGACCAATGGTGCAGAGGGAACTATCACCCATCCTCGTCGACACCATACAGTGGTTTCAAGTGCAGCAATACAATCGTGTTCACAATTTCAGCCGATCTCCCATCGAGCAATGGTCTACGAGGCGGGCACACGCCATTGTCCATCGTCTACTTTCCATGGCACCGAGTTCCCCTGGTGACAGAATGCAGGGATTGCTGTCGGAGAGTATCAAGCAGAGCTTCCTGATTGTCATCGCGGACGTGGAAGGAGCGAGGCGATCCCGAGCACAGACCGAGCCCTTCAGAGACCCAAGTAATTACTCCTGGTCTGATGTCAGTCGCCTTCGGCAAGCCCTCTCCACGCTCGTGCAGTCGGAGGAAACCTGGCAGGAACAGCACGAGGACATTGTCCTGTGGATGGCGTGTCTAGGTCTCCAGGCAGCATCGACAAGTGCATCTGGGTCAAGCGTGCCTGGGGCACAATCGGCACAAGCAGCGACAGGAGCAGCAGCAGCGGCAGCAACAGCGCCATCACCCAGCGAAGAGGCGAGCCCTCGGGAGTGGTTCCTCGGATTAGCAAGGCACATTTTTTCTGAGCGGCGGAGCCGTACTCGAGCATCGTCTTCGTCTTCGCCTCCGCCCGCAGGAGATGATGACCTGGTGCAGCTCATGAGCCGCTATCTCCATCGCTGCGAACCGTCTGGACGGCCAAATATCGTGGGGCTCGAAGAGGTACTGGCTCCGTGATTGACCCTTGAAGAAACATCACACAGACCCCTCCTGAGCAAGTGGGCGAAAGACAAGGAAGGCGGCGAGCCAAGTGGGTGAGTGAGCGTGGCTGATCCGCCGGACATAGCGGCCCTTGGGCACCACATCCCTCAACTCGTCTTCTCCCCACCCTCGTCCCGCCCGGGGGCGAAGCGAGGCAAAACAGGGGGGACAGAAGGCGAGAGAGCTGTGCCATCCCACAATCTGAGCAATATCCGAGTGCCTACTTAGGTATCTATCCCATACTAGGAGTATGTGAAATCGCCGAGGATGGTTGGACACGGCTCGCTCACGACCCATGCGTCCCTCCCAGATTGATGCGCCACGGGACGAGGCACCGAGTAAGCTCGATAGCTCCAAACGGCTAGAAAGTGCCAGGCGCGGCGCCGGCACCAAGGACCGCAGCAGTACCCAGAACCAACGACCCAAGAATCCAGGAACCGAGAAACCAAGAGAACCAGAGGACGAGGAGTAAAGAGAGAACAAAAACAAAAGCATTCCTTGTGATACCCCATCGCGGAGCCGCATGTACGAATAAAAAAGCAGTTGACGATTCCCCTTCCCCCCCCTCAAAATATTAATGAACCATCTCAATACCCGCGCCCGCAGTCTTGTCGTTCTGTTGTCGATCTCCTGCCCCGCGCAGGCCGTGCGCAGCCGAGGGACCCCAAGAGACCAAAAGCCACACCCGACGAAATCCAACCATGCCGCTAACGACGGACGATAATGACGATGACGACGACGATAATGATGATGAGGACGAGGATTGGGGGTTTTTTTTTTTTCATGAGAGACGAGCGCACGAAAGCCCAACGAAACCAACCTAATATCGACTTGCACGGACCACCCTACTGGATGGACGGGACAGAGACCAAGAGGCATACAGGCTTTCTTGCCGGAGCCGCAAGTGAGCGCCCGCGGTGTGATTCCCGTCTAAGCTGACTTTCCTAGTCTCTACTCGGTACTACTGCAGCTACAGCATTTCAGGTGTTAGTTCCTAAGTAGGTAGGCAGGTAGGCAGGTAGGTAGGTAATTTACCTGGTAGGTAGGGATGGACTCGTACAAGGTCCAAGCATGTACAATAAATACATACATACATAGGTGAGTTGCGTCCATATTACATCCCTAACTAACCTGACCGACTTGCTTACAGTACCATCCGTAGGTAATAGCTAGGTCACCTATCCAATTAACCAACTAAGTACCAAGGTACCTGCTAGGTAGGTAGCGAGGCACCTAACATGCAGAGCCGCACCTCCGTGCCATCGCACTATATATCGGAGGGCGGGGGACATTTTTTATTTCACGGCCTTAAGCTCTCCTTGCCTAGGTAGGTAAGTTAAGTAAGTAAGTAGAATAGGTACGTAGGCATCCAGGTAGGACAGGTATGTTTTCCCGTCGTGTTCTCCCTCTTCGGGGGGAGGTTGGCGGAGTTTGGGATGAGGGCGGTTATGGATATCGAGGCGGATAATGTATATGGATATGTACCTCGTGCTCGGTCCCGAGTAACCACTATGGCTCTCCCACTCAATACATCCTCGATCTCAATGATGGAATGAGTTATGGGATACGAGTTATCGACGTATACAAATAGATCACCTGTATGATATAGCAATGCGCAGGCCAAGTAAACTACGCGCAGAGTTTGGGTGTTCAGAAGGGTCTAAGGGAAAGATGAACAGAGCAATGGGAAGAAAGGTCCTAGTACTCAAAAACCTCTCCCTCGCCTCTTCCTCTCCTCTGTCCTTTTGCTCAGGCTCACCTCTGCTCTCTGTTCTTCTCTCTGAGCAACCCAATAAGACTCAGAGGTGGATAGGTCGTTGCCCAATATCTCGATCGCGAATATACCGCCCCTCGTGTCTTTGCCTCAATCGTCATTTCGCTCACCTCTGGAGGAAGACACAGGCATCATCCCCATCATCGCCTCCACGCTCAACAGGACTCCCTCGTCCCCATCCCAGTTTAATTCCAAGCCGTACCGTGATGGTATCACGTTGGACCCCACACGAGGCCGAACAACACTCAAACTCCTCTGCGCTTTGGATATCTGGCTCCACCAGCACACACTCCGTACAACTCATTCCGGGCAGAAGGAACTCATGTTGTCAGTGGCGGCGGTAGCGAGCCTCCTCCGAAACACACCTCCTGAACGGAGGCCCCGTCGGACGACCCGCACAGGGTACCGCTCTGGGTCTAACATGCTTGACACTCGGAGCCATCGCCCATGTACGAGTGCAGCAGGGAAGTTGAAAGCCGCGCAGTCGTAGTGCTAACAGTAGCGGCAGCAGCGGCAGCGGTAGGAAGCTCAGTAATGGATACTAGATACTGAGGGCCCTGTGCGGCCGGTGTGTGGATTGGTAATGCAGAATCAGGAAAATGGGCTCCTGAGAGAAAATTTTCGCCATTGTTCGAGTGCGGGAGAACTTCGAGGCGGTGGCCGCCCTGCTGCTTGCGCTGTAGATGGGGAGCGGCTGGTCTCCACGACTTCATCATACTGTTGCTGGTGGTGGTGATGATGGTGACGGTGGTGGTGGCGGTAGCCCGTACCATTGGAACCACCCCATCATGTGATGCCGACTCGATAGTGCGAAAGAAACACCCTCATCAAGAAACGCTGCTGTTATTCTTTGATCCGGAAGGGAGACACAGGAGGAATGATTACACTTGCCGCTGTCGTTCTCTGCGCCTTCGCCTCTGAAATGACTCGGCGAGTACTCCGTCCGCCATAACTCACTCTGTGATGGGCGCAAGAACTGCGCACTCCTTCAAATGAGCGGCGCACTTGATCCTTCGTCTGCTGGTGCTTATGGTGGTGACGGTTCCATGCTTCTCCAGCCCGAGAAAAGCCCCTACCTCGCTAGACCCTGAGTGACTTCCGGTGGTGACTTGGCATGGCTGTCTGGAGGAGATCATTGATGTCCTCCGTCCCTCGACACTCTTACGCACGGCGCGCAGACGGATGAAAGGGGAACCGGCAAACAGCCATCGATCACCTCGCTCGACCACGACAGAAAAGCACCGGGATGGGCAGAGGCGGATCAATTTTTGTTGGGCAGTTACAAAATCGAGGAGAGATGATGGGGAAGCGGATGAGAGGAAAGGTGGTCCTGGCGACTGTGAGCGAATGAAAGTCTCCGTGCGAAGGCGGCTTAGATCGCGACGCAGCCGGTATCGAGTTGGTGGTCAACACGAGCGGGATGGCTATCGTCGGGGGAATCAGGCTGAGGCGGAGACAGGAAGCGAGGGTCTCGCACGGTGCATCTTCGTACAGGAGCGACCCCGAAATACGCCTTGATCGATGGGAAGACGGGACACAGACGCCAAAGGGTTGTTGTGGCCAAGTCTCCCGGGCGGCTCATTGCTGCGGACCAGTTGACAAAGGTGCGGATCCTGCGCACGGCAGTCCGGAAGATGGACAGGTAGTGCCAGTTGGCGACGACACGCCTAGAACATAGGTTATGTGCAGGTGTGCAGGAGTTCAGGAGTGCTCAGATTGATGCTTTCAGGGACGGGAGAGAGAGAGAGAGAGAAAAGCACGCAGGGAGGACGATGCAGGGTCGCTGGTGATCTTCCACCCAACCAACTGCGCCAAATGAAAGCCGGATCTGCGCTTCGAAGCCCCGGCCACTGGTCAAAGCTCCTTCACCTCCTCCATGCCACCATCGCTTAGCCCACGCCTGACGAGTGCCATGTAGTTGCAAGCACCATCCTTCACCACATCATCGTCGTCTCGTATCGACCTCCATCAACACCAGCACCGTGCTATGCGGTTCCGCAAACTCTTCGGCCCTGATGTCTGCAACGCATGCGGAAATTCTCACGGTGCTGAATGACTGCGTCTCGATTCGGACATGTTTCCTTCCTCGACACTACACGTCTTGCAGGAGAGATGCACGCTAGACAGAATGCAGAATACGGAATAGCATGGCAATCCACACATCCAGTCACTGGCAGCCATCAGACAGTCAGGACAGCGCCATTGAAGCTAGACCACCACCAGCCTTCGCCCATGTCTTTCCACGCCGCTTGATCATGTGTGCCATGCTGGTCTAGTTTGTGCAGTGACTCTAACGCGACGAGAAAGAACCGGACAGGCAAAGAGAAGAGGGGGACAACCAGCAGAAGCCATCGACGATGAAGATGCGAGCGTGGGTAATAGGTTGCTTCATGCCTGAGCTCGAGATGATACCCAATGCTTCTGTCGATGGTAAATACCTCGGGAGGTTCTCTGGCAGACATCGCACCCCAAACGGAAGTGCGCTCTAACAGCTAAAGCCAGATGCCTTGAGCGTTGTAGGAGATGCATCCCCATACCAATTGGATCCTTTCACCCCTATATCACATATAAAATGTGTTGCAACCCAGTCAACATTATACGGTCCAAGGAAGGTTCGGTAACTCGCTTCAGACGTCATATCTGTCGCCCTCTCTAACCCAAGTCCCCCTTCCCCAGGTCTGCAGACGAGCAGAAACGTGTCAAGCGTGGAGATCACACGTTCAAATAGCGCTGGCGGAATCTCGACGGTGCCAATGCTGATATGCACGATGACGAGCAGCCTGGTCACGTCCCCTATCGAGGCATCGATATCATTGGAAACCCGCATGCATGCCTCGTCGGCCGATCGCCGGTGCCATCAGGCTTATGCAAGGCTGCGCAGTCTCTTCTTTGAAGCTTGTCCGAGCTGATTCGGGCCAACTTACTCAGCCAGATCTGATGCATTCAGGCTGACTAAAAGGCATCAGGACAGTGGTGGAGTCTCTTCGACTCGGCGGGAGGCGTGTGTTATGTTTTTGTGAGTCTATCATTTCCAATCACTTCAGGGCGCGTCGGCTAGCGCCACAGCAACAGCAGCACCAAATATAGCTGCTTCATGAGTCGGTTCAAGGACCACCTTTTCCGTAGCGAAAGCACCTCCGGCTGACGATCCGGTGGAGATCATTTGCCTGATGAAACCTTCACATCGATCTTTGAAGCCGGGATATTTCAGGATAACGCTGCCGTTGCACGCAATCGACGTTTTGGGAGTTCCGTTCGGGGTTGTAGGGTTGATGTCGGTGTCCTTTTGCAATGCCCAGAGAGCATGGACAGCGACGGCGATGTAGGCAGATGCGCGATAGGAGATCGATTCCGCCGCTTCTCGAAGGAACGAAACCTCTTTCACCGTAGGACTCTTTTTCAACGCGAAAGCCTTCTTGACCATCGAGATGGAGCTTCTCATGCTCTTTGTCTGATCCAGCTCAAGCTTGGCCATAATCTCGGTGTCCAAAGAATAGCACTCGCGGATCACATCGGGCATGACGCCGTTGAATAGCTCCCCTGTTGCAACTGCCTCAACAATGATCAATCTCAAAAGCTCTCCCAAATAGCGACCAGTGGTCATGTACTCGAGAGGTTGAAAGTCCGGCCGGACATGCTGCTGATTCAGAAGTTCGTCCCACCGTGTCTCTGGTAGAATTGACTTGCCAAACATTGACACCTCCGTGTTCGTGATGACCCGGTCGGCTTCGTCGAACCATGAATGATCGCGAACCCCGAACTTGGACTTCCCCATGCAGGATGTTGGTAGATACGCAGCGGCGTTGGTTCCCGTCCCCAAAATAAGCCCCATGGATGTGGCGGGATCAAGGTAGGCTTGAGAAAGGAGGGTGGCAGAAGAATCATTGACAATGGCGTCGACTCGGACCTTCAGATTCCTCCTCTCGCAGGCGGCCTCGATGAGTTCGCCCAGATCCATGCCGATTGTCTCTTCATGACAAGCAAACCCTTTGCCCATGCCTTGAACCTTGCCGCCCCGGTGACTTGTCTGCTCGATTGGAAAACTCCACGCCAACCCCAGGGGCAACGTCTGGTCAGGCGACCAAGCTTCCTTCCCCTCTTCCAGCATCGCATGTATCCTGTCGGCCATCCAGTCGAAGAACTGTGTTCCAGGGAGCTTCCGTATTCGCTCGTCAATCTTACTGGTGGACATGTGCTTGATCACCATGGGACCGTGTCGATTCTCTCTTCCTCGGAGTTCAATCAATGCCACTCGAAACGTGGAGCCGCCCACGTCGAGAGCGATATAAGTCCCCATCTCTTTTCCCGTTGGTAATGTGGTGCAATACGAGGGTAGCATGCAAGCGTCGCTCTCCTGAAGTTTGGCCTTGTATTGGATGCGCAGGGCGGAGGACATGGACAGCATTCGACGCATGCTACAGGGATATCTGAAGAGACGCATGATTTCGTCCTTGAGCGAGTCCAAGGAATGGAGACTATCCACGGTCTCGACCACCGTGACCTCGGTGTTTGGGGATTTGACGGAGACATTCATGGTCTTGAAGGAGGAGGGGAAGAGGATCATGGCGGCCAGCCGGCGCAGGATGCTGCGGAAGAAATCGAGGATGGTCATGGTGATGAAGAAGGGAGGCTCGACAGACCGCCTCGAGGGTTCGGGTAATGGTCTCAGTCGTCCAAGTGATAGAGGAGAATCATGATGGGCTTGAAGGAAAGGTTTTGTTTGTGATGAGGACGGCCAGGTTGAGGTGGTGTGGTGGTGGTGAGGTGTCAAGGGTAAGGAAAACAAAGAGAATTCTGCCGTGACATGGAGTCAGAGAGGGTCAGGATCGGTAGTGTAGCAGGAGCAGCGAGGACAATGCCAGAAGGCACAGCGAGCGAAGTGGTAATGGCCGTGGTATTGGAGATTGCTGGAGTAGTAGCATAACGTTCAATTTGTCTGGTTTGGGGGGCGTATGGGGGGATGGGGATGCGATGGGATGGTATGGGATGGGGGTCGACGGATGGCTCGCTGGCTCGTCAACAAAGCATTGTTCCAGTGGGAATGGGCACCGAATCTGTCTCATACGAGTGAAATGATCAGTTGTCGGTACAGTCACAGGCCCGTGCAGGGCAAAAAGGCGCAGACGCGAATTGTATGTAACTGTAGAGGGATGCTACCGTGAGCTGAGCGCAACTGCGACTTGGCGTTTGCCCGCAGGTTGCAAGCCTGCGCACGTTACGCCCACGCCCACGTTACAGGTTGCACGTTACATTGGTGGTATTGGATCGTCTCTCTCCGCTACCTCTTTCGCCTTCGCCTTTCAGCCATGGGGTTTTCCAATGTAACTCACTCATCAGATGCCGAAGTCGCTCTCCCCAATCGCCAGAACACTGTCTAGCAGTCCCAGAACGATGTCCTGGTGGGCAATCACCGTCGTCACGTTACCCTTCTCTTCCAGCTGCCTTTGGTTGAGCGAGCCAGCTTCGTCCGATTTGAAGTTCCCTCCAGCACAGTGTCCAATCTGACATCTGACTCATAACAGTCGTTTTGCCGATAGCGAGTCCATTGTATCTGACGAACAGCTCGCCTCCTCCCCCCCTTCTGCCGCAGGCATTCCGCATATGATGGATGGATGTAGTCGACCTGGAATAATATCCTGAGGGTGGTGTGCAGCTTTTGAAACACCATCAAAAGGGGCCAAAAGTAATCATTGAGACTGACCGGCCGATTTGAGATCGGCCTTTCTGAAATTCTAGCCTCGTCGAGTATGACGAGCATCCATCTATATAATTCGGTCAAGACGTCCCAGTGGTCTCAGTCTGGAAGGGGGAGAAGGATCTGCACAATGCGGTGCAAATCACTAGGTGCTTATGCCTGCCTCCAGGCAGGTGTCAGCATTGTGCGACCCATGGGTCGTGCCGGCAGTGTCACAAGGGCTAGGAATATGCCTGCATTATTCTGCAATGGACAGTGCCCCCATCAGCAGTGCTATGTATATACTCTCCTGCGTCGACTACGTCGCTCTCAGGGTCGTCTGATGGGATGTATTCGACATGTTCTTGAAGGCTGAGCTCTTTGGCACCCGCCATCCCCATGTTCGCGACGAGGGTCACTCTACCGGAGACAAGATTGCCGGGTGACTTTGGCGAGATTGCGACTTTTCTGACAGGCGGGCGCGCCCATTGATCGGTCGCTTGACACCTCCGGCATCAGGAGATGTAACCCGATTCGGCAGTATTCGAGTACAGAGTGACTTGTTCTCGATCGGTTTGGTCTTGAACTCGACTGAGGCTGGGGGAGGGCACAGTCCAACCTCGATATGTAAGGAACCGTGAAGGTCCTGCACACCAGTCTCTGCTCGCGTTGACCGCCACTCTGGTGGTTCATCGATTGCGATTGCCCCCATGGTTAGCCACCATCCAACATCGCGAGACAAGAACAGACGTAGCAGTGGCCGAGTACGAGTATTTCAGAATCTAGGCTAGATTTGGGCACAACATGGGCTGACGCGAGTCGAACAAGGCTACAAGGTTGGCACACACGACTATGCCACAGGGATGCATGCACTGTGAGAGGGGATGCCTGTCACAACTGCAAATATCCTCATATGATGCATGAGATGTGTCTTTTGTGGCGCCAGGAAGAGCAAGAATGGAACTTGTGTGTTTACAGGTAAGTCTTGCTCAATTCGAGTATTCAGCGGAGAGCATGGCTTCAGGAACAAAGCCCGAGGGCCTTTCAGCCCCGAAGATGCCCCCCTATTCCAATAGTCTAGGCTTGTCAGAGGCCCAGCTACGCCAGTCTCCTGGGATGTGCCCGTTACCAAGGGCACCCTAGGCTGATCGGCAGGGGTGTGGCTGCATGTCTGTGCACATGTTCGTCTTCCGGCTCGCCTCTATTCGCTTATTCCGATAAGCCCTCGTCTCGGCTGTTCTGGGGCTCCTTGGGATCACTGTGCTCGGCGTCGAGGGGTCACCCATGGCTTTTGCTGAGATTTCATGTCAAATTCCCCATCGCTGGGTCTCGGGCTTGCTATCCTGACATGGAGTCATGGACCAACTGCCGGCCACACACCGATCTACCATCGTCGTCGTTATAGACAACTTCAAGAACGGGAGAGATGCCCGCCGATACACGCCTGATGCGCGCTCCCATTGTTTACCTCGGGGTGGTTTGTTTGTTTTGGGTCCAGTCCGGGGTGTTACGGCTGTGCCTCTCGCGTGCACCCGTGGGTTCGTCGTGATTTAGCGACGTCAACACTGAGGCAGCCCATCCACTCACAGAGGCCCAGGAGGTCTTTGAGGAGGACAAAGTCTCCGAAAACTCCAGGACCCGCGTGGAGCCCATGGACGAACCAACCACCGCATTTCCTGAGCCTCGTTCTGCCTTGTTGTGCCTCGTGTCATGAGATCGACCCTTGTCCCTGCCCGCGGCCAGCCTCCCCCATGCTACAAGCTGCTTCCCTGTTCGCTGTTTGACTTGCAAAACGCCCTCTTCTGCTCTTCTCAAACTACAGCCCCGGTCCTGCCCGTCAGAGATTATTTGCTCCTTTCTCTTCCTCCTCCAAGAGCCATGCCTGCTCCTCTTCTTGCATCCCCGACGTGTCTCTCCTGTTCTCGACCAGAACATTGTGTTTCCAATTCCAGCGCATGGGCTCTGAAATAGAATCTGAGCTCCTCTATATACCAGCGACTGGGTCAGCACGCCAGGGTCTTTCTATTTAAGCACGTCAATCGCCCCTCTGACGTGCCTGCTTGACACCGGAGCCTGATCCGCCAGGCGCGCTCAACACCAGTCTTTCGAGGTCAATGCTTTACCACCACTCTTTAGCCTTTCCAGAACATGGAATCGCGGTTACGGAAGTTACTCTCGCCCAGAAGACACAAAGGGCAGCGGCGACAAGATGCTTGTCCCGAGTTGGATCTGCATAGCGTCCCGTACACGACAGCTCCACCCCAGGGCCGTTTACCTCTCTTCAACAAATCCAATGGTGTTACAGCGAAGCAAAGCAAAGTCAACTCGCCTCCAGATCGTCTTCGATCTTTGTCTTATGACAAGGCCGCGCCAGGGAAGCCGCCTGAGCTGGGAGACCGACCGCACCGAGGCAATGGCCCTGTCAAGCTTCAGACAAGTCGTCGCCTGAGTTCCGGGGAGCTCCTGGTCACCGAGCAGGACTACGATCGCACTCTCGAAGACATCAAGCAGGGCGAGTATATCGTTGGCGGCAAGGAACGAAGGACTTCCCACACCTCATCACAGCCCAAGTCACCCACTGAGCCTCGCAATTTCAAGTTCATCTCCACCGCTCCAAGTTCCCCTCGAGATCAAGTCACCTTTTCGAGCACCATCTGGCAGCCTCCATCCGTACTCAGTGACATGGCACCACCCACATCTTCCAGCTGGGCTTCAGGCAGCTTTGGTCACCAAGACCGCTCATATTCTTCCCAGGAATTCCACTCCAATATCTCTAGCCCTGGTTCTAACAACCATGGGCTCGGCATCTCCAGCCCAGCCCAACCATTCTTTTCGCCCTATATGGCATCAACCGCGTCCCTGCTTGAGCCTCACGAGGAACAGAACCCGACGATTCAAGCGCTTTGGAAGGCAGAATACGGTCGGTTGGTCTCCATATATGGACAAGTCGGGGTTGACCGGACCATTGGGGAGCTCAACAGAGATCGAGCGGAGGCGCTTAGGCCGCCCCCGTTGCTTTCCACTCGCGATAGCCCTTACTCGGCCTCGTCAGTGTCACTAAACCAGATAATTCAACGGCCACCAGATTCAGGAAGACGTGGCCTCGGAATCAAGGCCTCCGGATCGACGCCCAACCTCGATCTTGCGTATCTAGACGAACACTCCGATCGCTCATCTCACGCTAGATATTCGCACCTTTCTTCGAGCGGTGCGTCATCTTCCTTCACGACGCGGACGAGCGTGGCTGAAGATCCCAGCATCAGCAGGGACGATATCCGAAAGATTGTCGACGAAATGCGCACAACCTATCTCCATGCCATTGAAGCGCACACACCTCTCCGGCCTCTGCCTGATGCCCCGGCCAAGAAGCCTCGATCCAAAAAGGAGACTCCTTCGCTCGCGTCGTATGCCTCGGTGGATGGCAGTCTAAGATCAGCGAGTCGGCAGTCAACGACCCGCACTAAATCATGGCAATCCTCGACGACTCTTATGACGACCCCACGGACATCAGTCTCGTCGCCTATGCTCAGATCGAAACGGACAAGCTCTGCGACGAGTCGACGAACTTCAGGCCAGCCTGTAGCCGGCATTGCCACCCTGCCGGCCATCCAAGCGAGCCCGGCCAAGTCGGCCAAGTCGAACAAGAGCGGGACGAGGAAGAAAAACGACGATGTAGGCCTGAAACGCGCCGATTCGACCACATTGGGCGTCATGGCTCGAAAGCTGACGATACTCGATGACCGCCATTCAAGTATCTCGTCCCAACCCACAGTTGGATCGTCTCTGACATTTTACAACTCCTCGAGATCAGACTCGGATTCGGGTTCCGAGAAGAGTCCCCCACCAGTGTCACCTAAACTCTCGCCCGCCAAAGCCTCTTCAGTGCAGCACACGCCTGAGAAACACAAGCCAGCCGTGCGCCAAGTTTCGCCCCTCTCGAAGCAACCGTGGCAGATCGACGTCGACCAGATTCTCCCGGACGAAGAGCTTGAGTTGGCTCTGGACATTGACGATTTCGAGGCCTTGTGCGACGGCTTGTTCAACACCCCGGCCATGGAGCGAGAGCCCCAATTCAACATGCTCCAAAGATGGGGCGGCGAGGAGACGGCTGCTGACTGCGATGATGTCCTCGGCAGTGATGACGGTGACACGCTCGCCATCGACAGTCCGACGATCTTGAAGATGCCACAGGCCTCAATGGACCAAATCGGTCTGGGCGTGACTGGACTTCCCACGATGATATGAGCACCGCTGTCGTACCGGCTCTTCCAACCACCTACAGTCCCTACCTACCTACGCACGTCCCTCCTTTCAACCAACCAACCAACCAACCAACCAACCAACCAGTCAAGCACAATTTAACGAATCTTTTTATTCATCACGCTATACCGACCTCTCACGATTTCTGGCTATTTTTTGGGAGACGAAAAGAGGAGGAAAATGACATGAATCTCGGGTTTGATTCAGATCAATGAGGAGGAGGATGGTTTGGGTTCTCTCTATTTGGAAAGCCAAAATTACGCGCTATATATCCCCATCTGTTCCGGTTTTTGGTTTTTGGGGCGCGATATTTTCGTTTTTTTCTCACGCTTTTCGCTTATGGGAAAAACTCTGGGTTTTGGCTTTGTTTTTTTCTGATGCGCCACGGAATGTCTCCCTTTTTTATTATATATTTTTTTCACGACGACATGCCTTCTTTTGGGGGTTCTTATTTCAGGGACCTTTCTCTTGGGATTGGGAGGGTGGTGGACTTGGAAAAGAAGGCTGTTTTCGAGTCAATGGATGGAAATATTGGGGCTTGAGATTCGATTTAGATTTGGATTTGGACGAGGACTTGAATCCGGGATGTGGGATCTCGACTCGGCCCAAGAAACCTAGTCATCAAGGTCAAGGAAAACAAATAAGGAAAGGGGGCGAAGGGTACAACTTCAAAAGAGAGGATCAGGGAGGGCAGGGCGGGCAACAAAAAAGCACACAAAATACGAGGTACACGAGGGCGACCTCGGGGCGGCTTACGGGCGAACATGGTAACGAAGGGTATGGTTTCTTTTTCTATGTATACACGCACATGACGGCCCTTTGCTGGGTTCTGGGTTGTGGATGGTGGAAAGATATGGTGGATGGCTGGATACTTCAACCAGTTCTGATCATGGGAGTCACTGAATCACTGAGCGAGCAAGCGAGCAAGTAAGCAAGCGATCGTACTGCGTCCAGGGCATCAGAAATACATGCATGGCCCCGTTTCTCTACAATGCATGCATGCATACCTGTCAGGTCAGATCTTGGTTCATCGCACTGCAAGTTTACTACTTCTGCGTCTGCTTCGCTTGTTCATTCATTGATTGTGAGACACAGAAGCCGCCGCCAAGGATATATCACGAAATCAGACCGCATAGATGGCCGGCCGTCCAGAAGACAGATAGGAAGAGAGGCACGATTGACCATGTTGAAAAGGGTCTCGGCGCGCCTCTCTTTCTATCATCCCCTCCAGCTGTTCTCCCTGCTATCCTTTCTGTCTTCCGGCGTCCGGATAAGGTAAGGGCCCAAGTAGAATAAGCAGCCCGGGATACTGCAGGGCAAATTCCCCTGGTGGCATAATCCTGTATGCCAAACACATCTTTCCCTCTTTTTTTTTGGTGGTTCTGTCTCCTCATAAATCGTTTCCTCGTTAAATGTCTCGTCTATGCTGGGGGTATCATGTTGAAATGAGCTGCTTTGCTCTTCATGCGTGGGGTATCATGTTGAAATGAGATTGCTTTTTCCTTTTTGCTTTCGCTTTCGCTGGCTCCCTTTGTGTTGCCATTCAATCCTTTTGGGTCATCACCTACCCCCACGCCGGCCCCCAGAGGCATTGTTGAAAACGAAACGCCCCCCCGAAAACTCCAGTCCGGCTTGTAAGAGCTAGGACCCGCCCAAGTTAGCAGAGTTGATCATGCTTTGTGTCAAATAAAACGCCAGTAGAAGCAAAAGACAAAGATTCAAAGGAAAATCCGGCAAGGAAGCAACTACGAGACTATGCTCAATTGGAGAGAACCTCTCCACTGGCCTTCGAGGGGATCTTGTGTTGCTCCCCATTTGTAAGGCCTTTCTCAACGTCGGCGAGCGATGAATCACCATTCACCGCGTCTTTGGTCCCGCTTTCGGGATGACTGGCCACGGTGTCTTCGATGACCAAATCAAGATCCTTGGTCTCCAGTCCCTCAAACACCTTGAAGATCTCCTTGTTTTGGTGGAAGTCGTTGTTGACAATGTTGACAAGGTAGCACTCGTCCATGATCTTCTCGATCAGCTTTCTGCTTCCTGAGCCCGCGGGATAGCACTTTGCCCAGTCCTGTCCGAGACGGAAAGCTTCGTCCTTCCATGCCAGGAAGGAGACGGTCTCCACGACAGTGGGCTGCACAATCTCTCGGTTCGGAAAGATGCCCCATGTGACGGCGTTTGGACCTTCGTCCTTGGTGTTGGTGTACAGTTCGCCTTTCCGATTCACAGCATAATAGGTGAGGTTTTTGTCGGCGTTGAGTCGTTCCATCACCATCTTGAACATAGAGGGAAAGACAAGCAGTTCCAGATATGCCTTTTGGTAAACCCAACCGCCTGCAGGGCCCCATCCATAGACTGGGTGAGTGGAAGACGCACCATCGACTGCTGGCTGAGAATTAATGGTCAAAAACCCATGCTTGTTTAACTGTAGCAGATCATTCTTGATGACGTCGGCTTCAGCAGAGATGGCACCTTCACTCCATGGTAGTCGATCCAAGTCTCCCTGCAAAAAGCGTACGAAAAGACCTGTGACGTCGCGCAGGGATTTTGGTTTCCCCCATAACTTGATGTTGGCTTCGTTTGTGCCCTTCAACCCAATGCCGTAAGCATCCAGTTCCCCAAAGGCGGGAGATCTGCTGTCGCCCCAACGACCATTGGGAAACTCATCCCAGTCGGCGGTCCTGCTTATGTATGATGCGTTGCGATTTCTCCAAAAGATTGGCCTGACCGTCTCGTCCCGGCGGTTGAATCCTAGAGACTGGCGCCAGGGGAGCGGCTTCTCCAGCGGCATCCCAGAAGTTTCAGGCGTTAGGGACAACTCTTCCAGCACCATCCGAGTAGCTTGCGCCAGATTCATGGTGTAAAAGTGGAGGTGTTGGATTCCAGAGTCCAGAATTTTCCGGCACATGTCAGCGACCAGATCTTTTCCGATAGCCCTGACAGCCGCATCGTCATTTTTGACCGGCTCCAAAGCCTCGAACCATTCTGGAGGAACATGACATTTTGTCCAATTGGCTCGTCTCACAAACGCGGCGTAGGTTTGGACGGGCATGATCCCAGGAAGTATCGGAACACTGATTCCTCGATCACGGCACTTCTTCACCCAATTGAGAAAGATATCGACATCGTAGAACATTTGCGTGATGATAAAACTGGCTCCGGCGTCGACCTTCTCCTTGAGATGGTCGATCAGCAAGTCCACATCCCTTTGGTCATCGCAGCCCTCCGGGTAGCCGGCGACGCCGATGTCAAAATGGTCACTGTATCTTGCTTTGATGTATTTAACCAAATCCTTTGCATACCGGAAACCACCTTCTTTTGCCTCCCACTTTTCCTGGTCCCGGGGCGGGTCTCCACGGAGTGCGAGGATATTTGTACACCCAGCTTTGTATGCGCGACGAAGAGCTTCGTCGACTTGTTGTCGTTCCATATCCGTGCAGGTCAAATGCATGCAAGTTTCTAATCCATAGTAGTTCTGGGTAGCATTGACCATCTCAGAGGTCAACTGGGAATGCCTTCCGCCTGCGCCCCAGGTAATGTCGATGAAAGTCGGGCCCAAATTATGCATGCGGTCCATGCGGTCGTACAAATTCTGAACGCCCTGCGCCGTCTTGGGAGGGAAGAACTCGAAGGAGAAGGTCGGCTTGTTCTGCTGGTGAGCCAGCTCGAGTTTCTTTGAGATATGCATGTCGGAGACGTGGGAGGAGGTGCAATAAACGAGGGAACAGCTATGGGAAAAGCGACTGGAATCAAGAACGAAGAGGATCGGACAGTCTGAAAAGAGTGTTTGTTCTCAATGATCCTCTCTGCTCCTGTGTGACCGTGTTCGTAGTCACGGTGTAGGACGTTGTCCTCCCTCCAAACCAAAAAAAACCAACTCAACCGAAATAACGGTTGCGAGCCCACCTATCGGCCAGCTCTCGCTGCATTGAGGGTTAGATAGTCAGTGGAAAGGACGATTCTGCTGACTGACTTGGGTCCAGCAGAGAAGTGAGGGGAGTTGAGAGGTGGAAAGGCCAAGTCATGGAAGCCCTCGGGGAAAAGCAATGAACTCACTGACTTTTTGCAGCTCACCGCAACAACCAACAAGCCAACATCATCTCGCATCCACTCACGCACACCGGAAGCCTGTTGCGCCACGCCGAATCCGCTTGTTGGCTTGGAGGACGAAAAGTTTGCTCTTGGCAGGCACCGTCTCTGCAAAGCGCCACTCAGATCGCGCTTGTTGCTGCACCACCCGCAATAGATAATTCCAAAGATACCCTCACATCCCGTCGGATTCTCTCGAACCGGACGACTTCTCTCGCGCTGCGCGCTTCACGATGGCGACGGATTCATCCTACAAGGACGCCCTCCTCGCCCTGCTATTGAAGGCATCTGCGCTCTCCTTTGGCACCTACACCCTCAAATCCGGCCGCATATCACCATACTTCTTCAACTCTTCCCTTCTGCATACTTCGGCCCTCTTAGACGCTCTCGCACGTGGTTTTGCTTCAGTGCTAACCTCCCCTCCTTTTTCTCTCCCACTTGGTACCGACGAGGCTGGCGCAGCAGCAGATGGCTCATTCGCACCTCATTTTGATGTGGTCTTTGGTCCGGCATACAAAGGGATCCCAATGAGCGCGATCGTGGCTCGAGAGTTGTTTTTCGCCGGACAAAATTTTGCGGGTGTCTCATACGCATACAACAGAAAAGAGGCAAAGGATCACGGAGAAGGGGGCATCGTCGCCGGAGCACCGCTTAAAGGCAAGCGAGTAGTCATTGTTGACGATGTCATGACTGCCGGCACTGCCCTGCGAGAAGCTGTCTCTATCATCAAGGCTCAGGGGGGCGTCGTGGTTGGGGTGGTCCTTCTCTTGACCAGACAAGAACGGGTCTCTGACGCAGAGCCGAGGAGTGCCATGAAGGTGGCTGAGGACGAGCTAGGTGTGCCTGTGAGGGCTGTGCTCACATTCGAAGACTTGCTCGAAGCTATCCAGGCTGGAAAGGTCGAAGGCGCCGGACAGGAACAACTCGAGCTAATGAAGGCCTACCGTGAGAAGTATGGGAGCCAAGATTGAACCCGGAGATATTTTGACTGGCCTCGACTCTTGTCACATTTGCAGACGATAGACATGTGTATGGATGGTTCGCGACGAACAACATATTTTTATGAATGAACGGCTTTTTGAACCTTACACTTCCTTCCGGAAAAGAAGCATATAACTAACTCCCCGACTCGTCTGCAGGGACTGGACTGTAGCCATGTATATCTTGGCCGCTCCAACCGACCCGCGCAGCTTACAGCTCATCTTTCCCCGTGCTATCATTCAGAGTTGTTGGCTTCACACAGCCACTCCCCTCTTTCTTCTCGCATCCGCTGGGACACTCTCCATCCGCGTACTGCCACTTGAACAGCTGCTCGGTCTCGTTCGCCAGCACGTCCCCAATGATCCGCGTCCGATGCACCGACAGCCTGCCGACACTACGGGAGAAGATCTCCCTCGAGCGAATGACGATCTGGGGCCAGCTGAGCGAGCGCAGCGTGGGGATCGACGTGGAGAAGATGTATTCGCGGAACCCGCCATAGAGGATTGCCGACGAGCACTGTTTCAACCAGATCCCACACACATAGGTCAGAGATGAGTACCATGTGAAGTATTCATTTCAACGACTGAGGGTGGCATTCTTACCATGGGACATGCCTCCGCCGTGGTATACAGGCTCAGATCACTCAGCGCCTGGAGTGCCTCAGGCCCGGAGAGCTTGTATGGGCCGTCCGGATCGGTCAGTATTCGGCTGCAGTTGTTGATGGCCGCTATCTCGCCTGTTCCCGCACGTCAACCCTGTTCCTTCTTGGACCTTCTCGTTTCGTGGGAGACGGGCTTTGGCTGGCTTGTGGGATTCGATGAGAGGTTGGGAACAGGAGAACGAGAATGCGACCTTCGAAACAGCACCATACATAGCCACAGACTTGGGCCGCTCACAAGAACCGAAGATGGCCCAAAGCCATGCCTGTTCCCCCATGATGTAGACTGTCCACCTGGGCACTCACCATGCAACGTCGGGTTTCCATCCCTCACAAGTGAATTGGCACCAATGCAGACCTCCACGCCCAGCTGATCGGCCCGGTCGCCCTCCCCCGTGCCCTTCCCAGGCGCCGTATGGTTCACGATCACGGAACCAAAGGCCGCAAAGGGGCAAGGGCTACCTTCGTTGATGTCCGCTAGAGCTGCGATGGCGCGTCGCATCCAGTACGCCCGGGTCGAGAAGGGGACGGGATCAGGGCCGAGGTCGCTGGCGCCTCCTCCGGCGATGTAGCAGGGGTTGGAGGGATCATGGAGATCGCAGCCGTAAGATGTGGCGGAACTGGAGACCAAGAGGAGAGGGAGCGCACAGACGACGAGGGAGAGCTGCATGATCCTGAACACTGTAGATGCGAACGATACTAGCATTCAGCAAGTTAACACTGACCCGGTTCTCTCAACGATGGATTCTCAATCAATGTAAGATAAATATTGGGATAGAATCGAAGAAACGCACATCATATGCAGGGAAGAGCGCTCATGTCCGGTCATCAAATCAACCCGCCTGGTGCGCCATACAAGATGCTCTCACGCCTTTTCCTACAGATAACGGTGTCGTTGTTCCCAAGCGGTCCTCAGTCAACGTCTTCGGTGGCCTCAACCGTCTGTGCAAGGTCGAGACGCTCGATAACACCAGGGCTTGTTGCTTGCTGAACTCTGAAACCAACTCCATTTGAAGCCTTGCTCATTCCCATATTAGGATTCCACCCAGGCAACAGGTCCAACAACCTCGGTGCGAAACTGGATCGAGTATCCCCAGATGTTATTGCCGGTGTAGATGCACTGCGCTGGGCGCGTGCTCTCTGTTTCTGCTGTTTGCGCATTTCTTTCGTGTGCTTTGCGGCTGTATGTGCGGGCATCGTTCGTACAGCAAACACGTTCGGCCACTCAACTACATTCAGCGCCAACTTCTGAATCTCAAGTGCGACGTAGCCAGGCGAGACTAGGACGATCTTTTGACGAGCCACTGGATGGTCACTATATTGCTCAAGCATCCGAGCAAACCCATTGTCGAGGCAGGCAGCGAGAAAGATTGCGTGGCAGTTCGGCGTCGAGAGGTAAAGATGGAAGTTTTCTGGTATCATCAACGGTTGGTTAATTGAGAAGAGCTGTCGGCAAAGGCGTCGGGCTTTACCTCTAATTTTGTCGTCTACCCTCTCTTTCCCTCTCCCTGCGTCAAAGAAATCGAACAAGGGGATTTTCTCGGTGAACTGGATCGCGAAATCCTTCACGGCCGTGCTTGTAGGACCATTTCGACGTCGGGTTTGCAGCACACCCTGTCGAGCCCCAGGCCCGAAGTTGAGGAAGACGCGAGTGACGACCTTAGATGTTATGGGTATGGTTCCATTTTGATTCAAGATGTATTTGACCACTTCGTTACGGATTCTCGTAGCGCCTATGGCACCTGGGTCGGTGTCATTGACATGAGTGGTTGTCGAACTGCCTCCTTGCCCAATGCCATTTTTGTAGATGTCAGGAGCCCACTGTTTGAATCCCCAAGCGTTAGCAGATCACGCGATACAACACGCTCGGGCCAATGCTCACACCGTAGGCATCACCATCCACTAATACGACAACAAATGGTTGCGCTGGTAGGGGAAAGTCTTGTGCGAGGGCGATCAAAGGGTCCTTCAGCGGCTCGGCATTTGTAGTACACTTGAGGTATTCTAGATCCAGCTGCGTATCAATCAACTTCTCCTCAAGTTTCCGGGCATGTTTAGTCATGGCTCTCAACGACGCCATCTCAGTATTGAGTCTTGCTTGGAGTTGACCGGCAAGAACAGACCCGTTTCTCGAGCTGGTTTGCATGGTCTTAACCTGTGCCTGGAGGGTTACGCATTTTGCTTGCTCCTCGACTAGTAACCGGTGCGCTTCAGCGCCGCTTTCCCGCTCAGATTCCAGTGACCTGCGGAGCACGTAAAGTTCTGTGCGATACTTGTCAAGTTCGACGTTTGCTTGGTCACAAAGTTCATAGGCATATTCGAGTTCCGACCGTAGAGCTTCCACTTTGTCTGCGAGGGTGTCAAAGTCCCTATCCTCAATGGGCTCCATGGGATCCACTATTGCTGGATTGGTGGTTTGAACATGATTGCTCTCACTGACATCAAGCTTGCTTTTGAAAGGTGAAAGCCAGGAAAAAAGCGGCATAACGAGAAAGATCCGCAGTCCGGATGCCGACGAGTCTGTAGACGAGACTCGGTAATCAGGTGGGGGATGCACGGGCTTGGGTGCTAAGGAAATGACAGGTAGTGGACGACGTTTGAGCGCCGGTCTGAGAGGTACTTTGTTCGACTGTTCGACGGAGAAATCAGGAAACTAGGACGGGAACACCTTCACATATCCGTACAATCCGCGGGGCGGGATAGAAACGCAATATGCCTGGCAACATAAGTCTGAATAATGAGGATAGAGCGAATGGCCATCGAAGATACTGATAAATTCACGTGAGAAGAAATCGACAATGGTAGAACGTCGTGAGAATATGAAAGAGTCATCACAATAATAATGAGGACGAAGCAGTCGGCGCCGCGTGTTAGAGCGGGGCGGAGGGATGGACACGTTACACAGGGCTTGGCGCCACGTGATATCAATAGCGGAATGAAGGAAGTCCGGCGTGTTGACACTTAATCGAGCACAACTCAGTCCTGTTGTCTGCAATAGCAAAATACGCTGTCTCCGGCAAGCGACAGAGTCGTCATTTGCAGGACTCGCAGCGCTGCGGCACGCAACATAATCAGCTCTCGGTGATACACCTTCGAGAGTGGTGACCTAGAAGCCTCTTCCAGTGGCAGCCATTCTCTCCAGACTAGGTACAGCGTTGAAATTGCCAACACCCATTCCTCCGTTGACATTTCCCGACATTGCACCCATGACGCCTGCGTGGATTGGTCGATTCCCCATGCTGGGTTGTTCTTCCAGGTCCTCGTATCTCAACGTGTAGATCCGTCGGACTTTCTTCCACAGTTTGGTGTCCCACCAGATGTAGTAGCCTTGTTCACTCACTTTGTCGTCCAGTAATACCGGACTAGGCGACGCGTCGTCCCTAGTGAGCCACTGCTTCTCCCTCATGTGGTACCGCCATTTGCGTGCCACCAACTCTTGAGCTACTAGCATCTGGATGTAGTCCCGAGGCATGGTGTAGAAGATGAAGAATAGTGTTTCGTCCACAAATCCGGTGATCCGAGTTGACAGTGGTGCGATCTTCTTGACTGTGTAGCAGTCTGGGATGCTGTACTCCGAGTCCAAGGGCCGCAGCGGCGTGGCATTGGGTTCGGCCCACGGCCCTGGGTAGGATGATAGTAAGGGTTCTTGAGAGCCCATATTAATGCCGAGCGTTGACAGGTCCACTCCTCTCATCAAACTCCTTGCTGCCGGACTCGCATTATCCTGTTCTGCAACATAGCCCTTCATTCCGAATCTGTCTTTTTCGCTCATACCTGCGAAGATTGAGTCATGGTCGGCTCTTGATCCGATTTCTCGATCCGCGAACATGTCCCGCGGCTGCAGTCCAAGCGACTGCGACGGCGAATCGTGTAATTGTGGCCTTGAATCTTGCCCTAAAAATCTCTCTTGGCCAATGGCCGCATTGATACTCTGAGATATGGGTGAGCGTGCTAAAATCCATCCGTCAGCAATCGGCGAAGTTACGCAAGGGGGGAACATGTACAAATCTGTGTCTGTCCGGACGGCGAAGTGACTCTGCTGGGATCACCTGGCGTGCTGTCGCCCTGTTGATTCGGTTGTCGTTGCGCAAGTCCCGGCGGTCCGCTTGGTGCTTGACTTGTTCGACGTACAGGCTGGGAAGACTCCGCAGAGAACTCCATAGGGGCATTCCTGGAGTATGTATCCGTAGGGTAGAACCCGTCTCGACCGGCATTGCTTTGTTGCTGTCGAGAAGAGATGTGCGTCCGCGAAGCTTGCATTTGCTGTCGTTGTGCCTGTTCGTTCTGAGGTGGCCCAGTTTGCCATGCACTGGAGCCCACACTATGACCCTGTGATTGGAGGCTACTGTTGTTGAGGCTGGGGAAGGAAGACGCGGAGAGATCAAGCTGAGTATTTGCCCTCGAACCCATAGCTTGTGCCCAGCTGTCAGGTGCTACGGAGTCTCGAGTCTGTTGTGAGGGTGCAGGAAGACCACTTTGCCCCCAAGTTGCTGGCATTGTGTCAGGTCGTATCGTTGTGGCTGATCAATAGACATACCAGGCTTGCCTCCCACCAGCCTGCCGCTGTTAGCGGCCCGGCTTTGTGTGTGTTGATTCATGTTGTTCACAGCAGGTATTTGTCGTCCTTGTCCTAGAGAAGTCTAGTTAGCACGTGGCACCAATGCAAGGTACGAAAAACAGCAATGTTAACGAGCTAGTTACAGAGAGGTCCACTTCGACATAGGAGCTCCACGTGATCTGGCAAGCCCGTCCCTGCGGATTCGTCCCAAGTGCAAAGGCCGCAAAAGCCAGATCTGAGCGTTCCGTGGAAGGGAAACTCCAAGCTTGCAACGCTGCTAAAATGGCGATTGGAGGCCGCCGCAAGTCGCGGACGCTGGCAATCGAACAGACCCTTGAATCGGTATCCATTTGCCAAAGCACATGTCTCAGAAGCCGCAGAGCAGAATTGGTGCTATTGCGTGGGCTCAGCAAATCCTTTCTGCGACTGTCGCCGTAGCGTAACTGCGCCTGGTTGGTTCCATGGAACTGAGTGCGTCGCACACAAGCAGCATATCCCTCCATCATTGATTCAAATATGCGCCGACAGCCGCCCGTACTCGCAGGAAATCATCGTATCGTTAACCGGTGCTCTGACGATGTTGTATTTTTGCAATAAAGCCATCGGAGGTAACAACCTCATCGCGAGCCGAATGTGCACATTGCCACCTCTTTCGATCCGTCCGGCATCCGTAGTACTCATTCTGAGCGAGCAAGTGATACTACAGATGCATACCACTTCCCGGAGGCCCATCGAAGAGGAAAGTGAAGGCAGTATGCTGTGCGAGGGAGCCATAAACCCACCTTGTCGATTCATCTCGGTCTTCGACTTGACAGTCTAGACCGACCCCCAAGATGCTCTCGCTTAGGGGAGAGCGATCTCTCAGTGCGCAAATCTCAGATCGGCCGTATGTTCGCGTACGAGTTCGTGATAAGGAAGAGAGGAAGCGTGTCGTTGGTCACCAAGTGTTGTTCGCAGGTCCCTGGAGGCCCAGGGCGCAGTTCGGATTCAACCTTCCCAGCCTTGGCGCAGCCCCGGAGCCTAATGTGATGAACGCCGAAGACACCAAGCACGACGCATTTAATTAATCACTTTAGAGGACCTGCCTGCCACTTTCGAGTAAAAACGAGGAGAAGCTACGGGATCTTGTAATTCACTAGAGATCGTTGTCATTAAGATACCTTGTCTACAGTGGTCTTTTGGTCTCGGATTTTCCCAAATTCGCCAGGTCCCCAGCAATTCAAGTGTGGTCTCGTGTCTAATCATCCAGAAAGTGGGCTATCAAATGCCCGAAGGTTGATGAGACTGAATTGATGCCTTCCACAAATATTTCGTTTGGGAAGACGATGCTCGTCCAAGCAACGCCACGCTCACTGTCCCCGAATATGATTTAAAGCAACAACCCGATAGCGAGTTCGACATTTCCGCCTGTCTGCCGAAGCGCTGCAATGGCCTCCTCTCTTGTAAAACCCAGCTCAGTTACTTGGGCTATGGATTCTGCTGTGATAGGTCGTGGTTCGCCGAAGTTGTTGGAACCTGGCTCGGGTTGGGGCACGGACGATGAGACAGCTGTAGCGGTCGGACCCGAGGAGGACGATTGATCTACGATGCTGGCGCTTTCCTGACCGAGCCTGGTTTGAGTTGATGATGATGGTCCTGCCATAACAGTTCCGGTCTTTGCGCCAACTGTGCTCCCCCCAGGTCCTTCAACTTTGGGCTCCTTTTCCAGAACTTCTTCCATCATCTTAGGGATCTCGCTTTCCGGTAAGAAGGGAATCTCGTCATTCTCAATGCGGAGACAGTTCTTTTTCAGATCGATGCACATCTGGTGCCGCTTGAGCATGTCAAGGCCCAGGAGCAGATCCACGTCTTTGCCTTCCATGACTGTGAAGCTGCTGGCTAGGTTGTATTGTCCAATTTGGATTTCGGCCGAATGAACTCGCCCCAAAATTTGGGCCGTACCAACGCCTTTTGCTATTCCTCCGAATCGTTTGTCGACCAGCCGCAGGATGCCACACCGTTCGGCGGCTGACGGGGACATGATGGTCGTTTGTGCGCCTGAATCCACGAAGGCTTTGATAGGATGGCCGTTGACGACAACGTCGATATAAAGCATGGTAACCTTGCCAAATGCTGGAAGACCAGTGTCAGGCAGCTTCCCTAAAAGCGGGTCTCTGACTTACCTTCTGGAAACTCTTCCATTGCTTTTTGCAGGTTTTCTGCAACACGTTCTTGCCGGATCATTTCCTCAATCTTCTGTTGTGCGTCGACGTTGAAAGGATCCGCCTCTAGTAGCGCAATTTGCTCTTCCTTCTCTCTCTGCAACTGCTCATTCTGCCTCAATCTATCCTCCAGCAGGTCCTGGAATCTCTGTTGATCCTGAGCGGCAGCTGCAAGTTCGGGATCTTGTCTCCGCAAATCAGACATTGCGGCGGGGTCTGCGAGTATCCGGCTTCTCAGTCGCTCGGCCTCATTGGTGCTTCTTGCCCTTTGCGCCGACGGCTGGCCGCTAGGTGTACCCTGAGCTGGCCGTCGTCTTGGAGGATTTGCCTGGATGGCCATCGGTATGATACCACCTTCCTGAACGTCAAACTGTGCGAGCGTTATCGATGTATCTGTGACTGCCCTTCCATCTCTTAAGAATATTTGAGCAGATGGAGGAACACCGATCTCAGCTTCGACGAAGGCCTTGATGTCGTTGAGGGTCATATCAGGGCCGACATCGAGAGTGATGAGGTCTGTCGGTAGCTCTCTGTCGGATGAGACAATGGTTATGGACGTACGCCTACGAGAATGTCAGTCCAGGACACCTCCGGTAATATCACTGGATTGCCTGCACCTACATGATGGCGCTTGGCTGTCGAGGATGGGGTGGGATTGGTTGTGATGTGAGACTGCGGCTGGAAGATCGGGAACACCTCTTACAGGATAGCGACGATTTGAATGAAATGCAAAGACAGGATGTGGAGAATGTCGCTGAAAAGACACAGTAAAAAGGTGAACACGTTGTTCAAAGTGATTTCTCATCAACGTGGCCCACAAAGGAAATGTTGCCTTGTGGAAGAATTGGATGTTCGTAGAATGGAACGGCTCAGGCATATTAGCGATGACGCACCAGTGGTGGCCAGCCCGCTTGACTTGCTGTATACAGGCATGCCCGCTAGTACCTGGAGCTGCCCCTGGGGAGGGGCTGACAATCATCAATAGGCTCTTCAGTTAGGTAGCGAGGTCGATACCTTAGGTACTAGGGAGGTAGGTGCCTAGGTAGCTAAGCAAACGGAGTCCCAGCTACCGAAGCTAATAGGTACCTTATATACCTGGTGTAATGGTAGGCAAACTATTCGCGGGGTAGAGTAGTATGTGCAGTACTTGTGCCATTCCTCGTGCAGGCGACAGCTCAGTGCCCTCGAATCGACTGGAATCCACCTCTGCCCTCGTCGCCGCAGAATGATTGACTGTACATCGGTAGGTATGTGTTACATGACCTCGTACAGGTACATATGTAGCACTCAGCTGGTCCGTGCCTGTTGAGGGTCTTCCATGTTGACGAGTGGAATAATGAAACTTCTCCCTCACCCAGCCAAAAACCCAGCTCGCCATAAACTCCAGCAGATATTGGCAGATCTGGAGTGGGGGGCTGCTTAAGGGCTCTGGCTATTACTTGCTCATAAGTACCTAGGTAGTTAAGCACAAGGAGCGTGGATCCTCCCTTCAACCCCCACTATGCCCATGCTGCTCGCTAACGTTGGGGGGAGCAAGAGGGCCATTGGCGCCTGTCAGCGTCTCGGAAGGTGCCTGCTGCCCTAGAGTCGCGTGCCATGGCAATTTCTTCATCTCACTTATGAGCCAGGGAACCACATCATATTCCCATCCACTTACACTACCTTTTTGTCACTTCACGCCTCTATTAATCAAGTGCCTGGCTAGTTCTTGGGACACTATCTTCACTCAGTTGATTGCTCTGCCAATCTCGCCATAGTGATCGAACCTTTTTGTCCTTCTGCTACTCTGTCCCACCGTGTGAAGCCGGACTGCAAAATCGAATTTTCACCTCACACCATTTCTAGTGCTTTCTCTCCCCTTGGATTTTCTTCTCGTCTGGAGTCTTATGACGGAGCCTTCTGGGAGCTTTCCAATAAACAGCCAAGTCAGCTACCAGCCAACCGGCGCGAATTCATTTGCTGTCCAATCCGTCTTCAATCGGCATCTCACAGTGCACGTCGCCTGTTTATCCGGTTGACGACTCGTCTGAACCAGTAAAAATGGCCCCAAACCAGGATTCATCGAGCCAATCAGAAGAATCGACCAGGCCGAGTTCCGCCAAGGTCGACTCCAGAAGCGGTCAGTCCTCACAAGACGAAGATGGCTTTATCGACATCCACCCCGAGGACGTGGAAATGCAAGACAGCGATTCGGACGCTGTTGCTCCACCCCCGAAAGCGCCGTCTGATCCTTTAGAACTTCAGCGTATTAGTCATTCCGACAAGGCTGAGGAGGTTCCCGAGGAAGAAGACGATTCTGAGGACGACCGTGATTTCATGGCCAACCATCCACTGTTGAACATGCTGACTGGCCGACTGGGAGCACGTCGACGAGGCTCTTCGCATAAATGGGATCGCCTTCATCCTGAAAACCAAGCACTGTCTGTGTCCGACGTGGACCAGTGCACCTCACTTGAAGAGGCCGCTTTTTCGCCGGAAGAGAGGGCCACCCGGGAAAAGGTATGGCAAAAAATACAGACTTCTCCTTATGCGAGCCACTACCTGAAAACGCTTTGTATGCCGATACTTTGGCCATCTTGCTGACAATAACCTCTATTCAGTTCCAATACCGTCTTACCAGATGTCCCGAGTTGAGTTTGGGGCTGTTCACCCAGCCGACGAAAGCGGAATTGAAGGATGCGTCAACACCGCCTCAGCGTCGCCTAATAGGACATATAGTCTCGACCAGAACTCCAGCACCTTGTGTTACTGAGGCTTCGATGGGCGTTCCCTCAAACTGGAAGACTAGGAGATCGTCGCTACCAACCAACGACGATAAGGAGCCGATAGGCCATCAAGACATGGGTGGAACCATCTGTGTTCATTCTTTGGCGGTGGCACCCGAGTTTCAGAAAATGGGGTTGGGGTCGATTTTGATGAAATCGTACATCCAGCGTATGAAGGATTCCAAGATCGCTGACCGGATAGCGTTGCTTGCCCATGATCATCTTGTCCCATTCTACACCGGGCTTGGATTTGAAAACATGGGGCCAAGTGCGGTGACATCTCACGGCGGGAACTGGAATAATATGGTGACTCTCAGCATCGTTAATTTGGCCGGACTGGACTAACCTGAAGCCAGATTCTCGAATTTCATCATGAAGACGACGACTAGACGCGGATTATGCCGCTACGAACCCACTGGACTGCTACTCTACTTCTTGCGCCTCGTCGTCAACGCTCTATTCGCTAAGCCCAGGTACTGAAAACCACGCGCTCGGATCGGCTGGGCGTGGTGACTATTGGGAGTTTTGGCCTTGGTGCGGCGTGCGACAAAAGGAGGCTGGCAATGAATTTCCATGAAGGATGATCTGTAGATGTGGCGGCGGAAGCGCGAAATGAAATTGGCGAAGAGTGCATCGGGATTAGGCTGTATTGTGCTGCCTGGGACATGTCGTGATGTACATGCACGACTACTCACATCCCAGAAAATGAATCCTGAGTCTCATCTCCCGGTGGCATATGTGGCTCGCACGGGATTATTCTATGTGTACCGAGTATCGTGGCCTGTTATCGGAGGCATGAAGGCAGCGTGTGTCGTGTCCAATTCTCGACTACAATTACAGTCGAGTCACCCCTAGTGACAAAAGCTCCTTTGGCTGGAATTGCTCGTTATTTGTTCTCCTGGGATTTATTGCACTGATCGTTGACTGACAAGGCAGAGGGTGGATGCGAGGGAACATGGCGGGTTGAACGTAAAGCCGAGGGAAGAACAGGCGGAGAGCAAGATGCTTCACCAATGACATTCCGTACAATTGCAACTCACTCCGCTTACTTCTTCGCTTCCACACTCCCGGTTTGTTCCTCGTCTCCATCATCGCCCGATGGGGGATGATGGATGGAGGGAGGGCAAGGCATTCCCACTGTCTGCAGGTGACGATATTGCTTCTCAAATCTACTCCTCCATCCACCGTGGTTCATATCTAATGTTTATCTTCCCTCACATACTCAAACCTGCAAGATTTGCGCCTCTTTTTCTGCCTCATCCTCCATCGCCCGCTCAGTTCCATCGTTCTTTCGAAGAAAGACGAACCCTTTTGTTTAGCTCAGCCCTGCTGCATCTCGGAAGTTCCTACCGAACTTGACAGTACCACTCTATCCGCCTGTGCCGCCCGCTGCAGAGTGACTCCTCCACGATTTCGAACCCAGCCCAGCCCAGCCAGAGCGCGCTAGTCGATCTATACGAGACACATATGGTCTTCTTGCGGAGAGGCCGAACAAAATAGGGTTAAAAGTGCGGAGGGGACCTCACGGAAGAGTGCGGGTGAAGGGCGTCTACAGTGTACAGGGTCAACCAGTTTCAGGCCTATCGCAGCCTGCGCCCACCAATTCCTAATCGGTTACCGAGCATCAGGCCATTCGTTTAAAGTCCTGACCTGGGCCGCGACAACTATCCCGCAACGAGAATTCTCCTCTGCCATCTGGCATCGCACGTCAAAGAGCCAGGTCTGTAGGCACCATGCCCACCAACCGACCGTTCTTCGCCAACTTCTTTTCGGCCTTTCGAGCCCGCACGAGCCCGGCGTTCCAGGCAAAGTCTAGCACGACCTACGATGCCGTGTCGCCCGGTTCGCTCGTGGCAGCTGCACACGTTTCTACAACCACAGCGACAGTGACCTCGTCAGGTACAAGAACAATAGCCACCAAAGGCACAGGAGAGACCTCAGCCTCATCACAACAAGTGCAGTCAAAACCTAGCTCCAGCACGCCGCTTCCCTTCTCGTCCAACCCTAGCTCACACCGATATGCACCGCCTCTGTCCAGATCGCCGGGGACGAGTTCGCCTGGGCCTCACGCAACGCATACAACCGCCAACCTATCAATGTCACCGCCCGGCACGTCAACCCCGATGACGAGGGGGCGACAGAGACGTGGCAGCGATAGTTCCAATTCTTCAGGAGGATTCATTGATGCATTGGGCCCGGAGAAGTGGTATATTGGCGGCCGAAATGCAGCGGGTGAAGAGACATTTTACAAACTTGGCTTGGTAACAGGAGGAACGGGACGAAGAGTTCGCAGCTTAGACCGGTTGAGTCTTTGAACTGCGCGAAAGCCGAGAGACTGCTATCAGAGAAGGAATTAAAGAGAGGCGGAGTTGCAAAGCAAAGCCGCAGCGGTGATCTTTCAAGCACAAAAAGACCATGGAACTGTTCTCCACCGGTCCTCAACTTTTTACGATCAATCACGCTCAGGCTGACTGATCTTGTCGTCTCTTCCCGCGCGTCTTTAGTGCAAGCATTGAAAGCACGGGGTATACGGAGAGCCAGAAATCATTCCAGCCTCCAGTTTGGGACAAGGCAGGGCGAGTGAAAGCGAATGTTTAAGAGATGGTCAAACCACTCTCCCCGACAAGGGCGAGGGCGTACAGAGCAAGGCGTCAACGGCGTCGAAATCCAAACAAAAATGCAGCGGCCACGGGCATCGGGGCAAGGCTTTATGGGATCGCATTTATTGCCGAGTACATAGGTGCCCTTCTTTGCTCTCCGGTGCGGGAGAGCATCGACTTGCACAGTACCTACGCAAACATACTAGGGACATGCCTAGTACCTAAAATATGACAGATGATGAACTCTAGTATCTTTCTGTATCTTTGCTCTGTAATCGGTCCTTTGAGATCCCAAGAGTGGATGTCGTCCCCAATTGTGCGGGACGGGGGGAAATGGAACTCGGTAAAGGCGTGTAGACCATTTGTATAGCACAGCACGAATGCCGAGATTGGCAGCGTCATCAAACCCGGGCGAAGGATCAGTTGGGCTTGTATCGTTTGGGCAAAAGAAAATCTGATTATGGCACGCTGCATGTGCAGATGGCGCGGGGACACGTCAAGCATTGGATCTCTGGACCTAATAATCGCAAGTCTCTGTGCCACCCAGTACCTACATGTGTAGGGTACTCCAGGAAATGATGACATACTCGTTAAAGACTTTGCCGGAGCCATGCCAGTGATGCCACAGCATATCATGGTTGAAACTGGAGCACCTTCGACGCCCCGAAAGAGCGGTCGACGGGTTGTGGTGGTAATAGTGGATTGCATTCATTCCAATTCGCTCGCCCCGAGGCCCCGACTCTTCTCCGTGCTCTCCGTTGAAATCATTGCCCACCCTTACCACCGACACATCACCACCATTATTTGCACCTCCCACGCCCGTGTGATCACCTTGCATGGGGCTGCACCTACCAATACGATCAACTAAGCCATGCTGTGTGATGCTGGCGTGCAACAATCTATTCTCTTTTCTCTGGCTTCCTTCGCCCCTTGTTTGTCGGACCTGTGAAGAGGAATGCTCTGCGCCCAAAATCTGACCTCCCAAGTCACCCATCCATCCATCCATCCATCCGTCCGTCCACCACGAGGAGAATATGCTCCGTTATTCTTACTCGGTTATCGATGCTTCAGGTCAAACCACCCGCAGAGCAGAGATCCCCAAACCCGCCTAACTTGACTCCGGACAACGGCCCCGCTGGCCATGTTACTCGGTTCCTCCAGGGGACGCACTTCAGTCCTACGAGCAGGCGGTCGAAGCAAACGCCCCCCGGCGGCGTGCAGCTAGCATAGCCCCTCCTTCCAGCCTGTTTCAACTCCTATTCGCACCCTCTGACGCCTCCTGCACGCGCCGGCCCCTCGAATACGAGCACTACAAGACGTTTCAAACGGTTCGGATGGTGCCTCGTGGGGCACAGTGTGGAAATCCTGTTTTGGCGGGTGCGAAAAGCGAAAAATTTTACGACAGGTCTTGCATGGGGCTTACCGGACGCTTGAACAAGCGAGAAGCCAAAAGGCCTAGTACTCCGTACAAGGTGTCCAAACAGTTAAGGGCTGCTAGCTGCAGCGCGGATCTCAGAGCCAGAGGTCCTCTGGCGCCCCCTGGCCACCACCTAGTGGCTGCTTGCTGGCGCTCCCCATCTTGCGAAACCCTCCCCTGGCCCATCCAGTCGCACATCCGCTTCAACTCGGATGCTTGGACAAGTACAGCAAGCCAAGTTACAACTCCAACTTTGACAGTCATTATTGCACTCGAGCCGGTCCAGGTGAGCGCTCCTGGGTGGTTCTGGCTTGTGGCACTGAGCTCTCGAATCGTCCTCGACCGTGAACCGTTTCTTTTATTCCCAATAACTTCCCTCCGAATCGCGCTTATCCAAAGCATGCTGCTCAGTCATCCTGGGGGACCTCAAGCAACTGGAACCATCCGAACTCTAGGGGCCTCTTTTAAGCCGGCAAGCTGCTCCTTCCAAGTCTCGACAAGGTGCATCCCGCCCGTGGCGCCCGTTGTGCCTACACCGAATTTCGCATGGCTTTTCTCTGCTCCTGGTCATTATTCATGGTAAATTCGATCCCGTGTCAAGCAACTGGCCCCCTACCGTAAAGATCAACTTGATCATTCTACGATTAATATTTGTAACCAGCCGCCATCCCCGCGCCTCAAAAGTTCCGACGTTTCTCTGGCTCTGGAACCGGTTCTCTGTTGCGAACATAGACATGAATACTCACTGATAAGCAAACATGGCGTCTCGAAAACGCGGCGCGGAAGAACATCCTGATGGTGTCGTCAGGGCGGCGAGCAAATCATATTTTGCCGCCCCGCTAACAAACTCTTTGACGTCCGATCATCTCAGTCCTCCTCCAAGTCCAACTTCGAGTTGTAGTTGCCAGAAACCCGCCGGCATGGAACGAATTTTCGCTCTGTCGCCGACGCCGACTGTCGTCCTCGACAAAGATTTACGAATAATCATCCTTTCGACTTCCTGGCAGAAGCAGGCCCATATCCCCCTGGACAAAGTTCGTGGCAAATCCTTTCTGGAGACGATCGGCGACTTGCTCCTGCCAACAGATGCCGTCACCACCACCCAACTGATTCAGGGTGCAATCGCGAGCCGCGAAGAGAAGCGCTCTGAACCCCAGCCAGGGATCACGGCTTCCAGTTATTGGCGGGTCCGAGTGGCCCCGATTTTTGACGAGGACGAACTTCTCTACGTGGTTGTCGAGGGTGTTGACGCTACGGACGAGGTCGACAGAACGCAACAACAGGTCGCCCAACTGTCATCGGCAGAGACATATCGTATCTTGGTCAGCACCCTTCGAGATTATGCCATCTTCATGCTCGACGCCAATGGTTGCATAGCCACATGGAACACTGGTGCCATGCTGCTCAAACAATACACCCAGGAAGAAATCGTGGGCAAACATTTCTCCACCTTTTATAGCGAAGAGGACCGAAAGGCAAGGAAACCTGAAAAGGAGCTGGAAGTCGCTCTGCGGGAAGGAAAGGTGGAAGATGAGGGTTGGCGTGTCAAAAAGGACGGGTCCAGGTTTTGGGCAAATGTCATCATTTCTCCCGTCTACCGCGATGGAGTTTTGACTGGCTTCAGCAAAATCACCAGAGACCTGACAGAGCGAAAGGCGGGAGAAGCACGACTGATTGCTGCGTACGAAGAGGCATCCAGAATGAAGTCTGACTTCTTGGCTAACATGAGCCACGAAATTCGAACGCCGATGCATGGGATGCTCTCGGCCCTGTCGTTACTGATCGACACAGGACTTACAAACGAACAAAAGGAGCTTGCCGGCATTATCGATGAATCAGGAGCCATCCTGTTGCAGGTCATCAATGACATCCTCGACTACTCCAAACTCAGCTCCGGCACATTTTCACTCAACAAAGAGCTCATGAACATTGCGGAGATTGTTGCCGCAGTCCGACGGTGTTTCAACATCGGGTCGTCCGATAATTTGAGATTTGAAATCGACCTGGACCCTCGTCTCCCAACCTTCGCACAAGGAGATCCTCTCCGCTATCGTCAGATCTTGCAAAACCTAGTGTCGAACGCAGTCAAATTCACCGACAGAGGCTATGTACGCGTCAAAGTTGCCCTTACCTACGAGGACGATACCTCGTACGGCCTCAAAACCGAAGTAATTGATTCGGGTATCGGGGTTACCCCCGAGGCGGAAAATGTCTTGTTCACCCCTTTCACCCAGTTGGACACCTCTTCGACTAAGAGATACAAGGGCACAGGGCTTGGCCTTTCCATTTGCAAGAGTTTGGCTGAACTGATGGGCGGGGTCGTCGGTTATATGCGGAATCCAGAGCACCAAGGAAGCATCTTCTACTTCACATCCAAGGTTAACAAACTAGAAGGCTCACCAGCCAAACCACTTCCGAAAGCACCGCTGGACACAGATCTCAAAAAGTTGGCGCAAACTAAACATATACTTCTCGTTGAAGACAACGCAATCAATCAGACCATTATGGTTCGCCTTTTGCAAAGCTTTGGCTTGGAGAAGGTGGACGTCGCTTCTGACGGCGCGGAGGGTGTAAGAATGGTAACCCAAAAGCCTCTGGCTTACAGCCTGATCCTGATGGACATTTCTATGCCCGTGATGGATGGTGTGACTGCCACAAGGAGGATTCGAGAAGCTGGTCACGTGGTTCCAATAATCGCCATGACTGCGAATGCGTTGAAGGGAGACGAAGAGGCGTATCTCGCGGAAGGCATGAACGACTACATCGCCAAGCCGGTGGACAGAAGACTTCTTATGGAGTCGCTAGTGAGATGGTTGCGTTGAAATGTCATCGAAAGGGTTTTAACAGGCAATGCGGAACCTGAAGATCCTGAAATTGGTCCAAGAGAGAATTTGACCATCCTTGGGTTGAACACAAATTGTCGCATGCACTTCGTTTGCAAGCCAGTCCAACAAATGCTGGTGTGGCGCCCTTGGTCCAATTAGCTCACTTGGAACCGTCAGTTTCGCACCAGAACTGGTGAAAGATTCCTTGCGCGACTGTGTCGAGACGCACTGCAGCGGTATTGAGATCGCGTCTAACATGAGGAGCCACTCAGACTTGACGACGGTCAGGGAACATTCCCATCGCAGGGGCTTGGATCGAGGATCTGCATTCCACCCCCCTGAAGGTCCATACGCAGAGCACCCGAGAGTCGACCTGGTTTAAGAGTCCTCGCGGTATTGAACAGGAAAAGGTCCAAGCCTGATCCGTTAGGCGGACCTCAGTCACGATCAAGCTGGCCTCTGATTGCCAGAGTCACCCAAAGCCAGAGCATCACTTCACAAGGACAAATGGCACTAGTATATGTGCTCGCCCACATTGAAAACATGTCACAATGCGGCACATTCGACAACCTTGCGTCTGGTGGCGCTGAGACTTGCATAGGAAAGCATTCGGGAGTTGCGCCTTATACAACTCTAGAATTCCATTTGCCTCCCTTCACGCGGCAAGGGCCCGGGCATCCTTGCTTAAAAGCTGTGGTTGTCACCCTCGAGGAAGAAGCGGAGCCAATTACTATTTCTAGTATTTCTGTGTACATGGGCCCGGCTACACTTTCCCATGCTTCAATTGCCACCTGCTCCGCACGCTTTTCGACAGCCGATCCTTCTTCCTGGACTTCACGAAGCGCAGGTGCCAAGCTCAAACGCAAGATTGGTGCAGCCGAAGCGAGCGGGTTGCTTACGTTTCTCCTCCCATACTGGGTGTATATACACACCACACAAATACCTCTACCCTATGGCAGCTTGGACAGCCCCGGCCCCACGGCCCCCCATGCGGCCCTCAATTGGCCCGCCCCTGCAAAGTAATCCTTTGATGAGACAGCATACGAACTTTTCACCTGAAATGAGACGGAATCTCTGTTCTTTATGGCGACTGCCGAGGCGACAGGCGGTGGGATAGAGGGTCAAGCATGATCTGAAATTACACAACCGAAACCACCATTCGGTTGCCGTCGCTCCAATGAAGGGGGAAGCCCCATCGCTGACTCATTTCTTACTAGGGGAGGACTGGGAAGGCCTGGCAACAGAGGGCGAAAAATAGCGGTCCAAACCCTGAGCGCCTTGATTATCAAAGCCATTGTACAGGCCATTCTCAGTGTCTGTCCCGGGTTCCGGCAGCATCTCACCTTGGTAGCAAACCTTTCACTCTGCTCGTCCATTTCACCTCTGCACTTCTGCGGACTCCGCTTTCGACATGGCCCTTGTCGCTTAGAGTTAGGGTCATGCGATCCCCAGATTCCTCATTTCTGCCTTTCCTCCCTTGGTCAATGGCAATCTCGTGGACGATATCAATAACTTCCCCGTCATGACGGATTTGCCGCACAAAATCTATCTGCATGGCTTCCGACCCGCGGAGAGAGTTTTTGTTCCTGAATCAATCTCTATCTTCCAAACCCCGCTCGCAGCGGGAGAAAGAGCTCCAAGATGCCGATCGTCGAGCTCACGCGGCTCGGAACTCTAGACTCAAGCGACCCGTCTCAGAGGCCGAAGACGCAGCTGCCAGCTTGAGAAGCCGCTCCTCAAAGAGACCCAACCGGCGTCCAGTTGAAGATGCTCAACAAGACGGCGACGACGCGGCTCTTCCAGTTGTTGAACAGAAGCTGGCTGTACGACCCAAGACTCTAGAACACCGGCAGACCATGCCCGAGCCATCTGCCTTGGCAAGGACCTTGACCTCGACAACTCCCCTAGGTCAGGGTAACCACGATCCCTTTGACACTGCCTCGATTAGCGGGCTGCCTCCATTCATCTACGATATGCTGGACCATTGTGAGTTGTAACCTCTCTGAGCCCAAGTCGGTTCTTTTCTAGGCGGAGTTCTAGTACCCCTGACCCCTTCTCGGGGGTCTGTTAGGTGTCAGATATTCCTAGGCGTGTCGGCGTTGCTGACTCTTGCGCAATCTTCCAAGCCTACCGCTTTGTCTGGCCTACCGTGCTGAACGAAGACCCGAAGGACACCCAACAAAATGCGGCCATGAGAAGGAGACGCGCACGGGAGAATCCATTTGTTCTTCATGCACAAATTGTCAATGCTGGGGGCCACAGACTACGGTTGCTTCCCGCTGGTCACCAGTCTCGGTCGCTCATAGCACAGGCAGTATCGTATCATGAGCGGAAGGCCCTCGAAGCTGTTACCGATATACTACAGAAAAGTCCAACCCCGCCATGGGAAAGGATAGTTTTGGCGCTACTTTTGGTGACGTGGCCCGCTGGAACTCATGAGGAGAGCCCGTCAAAGTATCCTGTATCCCCCATGGCCACCGCGCAGAATCTGCACCTTTTCAACAACATGGAATTGACGCCCGGCAGAATTCAGCAGATCCAGCGATTTTACCGTATCCTGGAGCCTCTAGGTGGTCTGGATGGACTCTCAACTCCCGAACACTTGCATGTGTTCAGCTTGTGCGTTCCACCCTACGCTTGAGCAGAATGTTTTGAGCCGGTCGTGCTGACCCTTGGCTTCTAGTGCGGACACCTTTGTCTCCTCGCGACTCGGCGTCCGTCCTCTTTGGCCGTGGCCCAACAAGCTGCACTACGCCTTCGAAGCATTCAACGACCTCGTGCTTGATCCTCGAGCTTTTCAGATGTCTTTGGTGATGGGCCGAGGCTTCTCTTGCGTTAAAGATGCTCAGCTTTTACGTATCCTGATAATGGCCTGCAGAGCCACACTGGGCATCGATCTGTATCAGCGGAACGTCCCCACGGCACCCTCACCCAGGGATATATGTACGGTCCGGAACGCCGTACAGCACCAGCTATGCTCACTCGACCCACCGTCGGATTTGTTGCCTTCACATGACGCCTTGCTCTACAATATGGTACGGCTTGCTGCACTGATATACAGTGACCTAGTGATTTTCCCGCTGGGCGAATCCGTGAGTGTCAAGTTGCAGCTTGCATACGATCTGCGAAAAGCATTGGAACTGTGCTTTACTGGCGAGACACTGGAGGCGCAGGCAGAGCTCGAGCTCACAGTTTGGTGCCTAACGATGGGTACCATGGCATCGTATGGGACGGTTCACCAGGAATGGTACGTGATGCAGCTGGGGCGGAGCTTGCGCGAGGATCGGCGCCTGTTGGACTGGATTCTATTCCAGACTCTGATGTCGCATTTCTTATGGTGGGATCATGTGCTTCAGCCGCGGTGCTGGGATGTATGGAAGGAAGCGGCGCAACCGATGCAGGTGGAGGGGTCGAGTTCGCCCTCTCCTGAGAAGGGAGATGGTGTTAATTGATGGCGGTTCACCACGATTTAGAGGATGTGCTCGGGGGTTAACAAAGCGGGGTCGTATCCCTCGGACAGAGGACTCAAGGAGACTTGTATCGCTGCATCATGATGATATCTCGGTCCGTGGTGCAAGCGCAGGGAATCTCTGACTCGTCGAGACTGCTTTAGTCGGGTACAAGCACCCTGTGCATTGAGACAGCATCAGACTTAGGCCTCATCAGCCATTAGGCAAACTGCTGACAACAAACAAATGCATGATAAGACGACCGCTTGTCGCTGTGTCTGGTCATGGCTTCATCGAGTGCGTCTCTGGTGTGTGGCGGCTTCTTATTGGGCGGGAGAAAGAGGTGGTGGTTGTGGGTTGTGGATTGTGGATTGTGGATTACGACTGTGAGGGTCTTCATCCACGGGCACGTGGGGGAAGCGATAACAGGGAGAGGGAAGAACTGAGGTGAGAGAAGAAGAGGATGGAGAATAATATTACTTGTCCCTACATACTGGCAACCTACTACCAGGTGCCTGCATGGGTACCTGATGTACCTAATGCCACCCAACAATCATTTGATCCTCTTTCCTTCCTCCCTGCCTCTCACCTCTGCTACTGTCTTTCAACCCTTGCCTCCAATAATAATCCTCAGACACCACTCTTTGCCAGAGGATATGGCCCATTGATTTTTCTTGCCAGACCAGATCTCCGTCCTTTGCCTAGACCAGCGGCCAAGGAACGGGCCCGTGGGCACCAAAGAGCCAAAGAATTGCGGCACCAGCACCAACAAAGTTCGCTTGGGGTGGCCCTTATCATCACCATCATGGCTTCCACCACCTCCTCCTCATCCTCATCCTCTGCCTCCGTGTCACTCGCTGACAAGCTCTCCCTCTCCGCCATCACCGCCACCGCGAGCCCTCTGAACCTCGTGGTCTTCGCGTGTGTGCTCGGCTTCCTCCTGCTGCGCTGGTGGCGCCGGAAGAACAGCCCGGCCCTGCCGGATCTGCCGTGGGTTGCACGCAACGACAAGGCCTGGATCCTGCGCGATCTGAGGACCAGGCTGTGGTGTTTGATCAACTATGAGGAAGCCTTGAGGAGGGCGTATGATCAGGTAAGGTTTCAATTGTTGGCTGGAGTGACTGGGGTGCTTTTTTGGCTCTTCCTCATCCTCTCTTTTCCCCTGTTCCCTCCCCAGAATTGGATATGCTATGGTGAGACGGAGGTGAGAGTCTGAGAGATATCAGGAGGGAAGAGGGAAAAGGGAGGATGCCATTTGTTAGGACTCGAGATTCGTCCTCTACCAACTTCCCTCCTAACCTGTCTATCCTACACACTTTTGTCATTCTCTACCGCCGGGACTGAGCCTTCAACCTAACCACACTCTCCAACGCAGTATGCCCGCCACAACAAGCCATGTATCCTCGCCACCCTCGACGGCGAGGTCATTCTGCTGCCGCCTTCCAACACGCCCTGGCTGATCGCCCAGCCCGACAACGTCCTCAGCGTCAATGGCGCGCACAAGCACATCCTGCAGACCCGATATACCTTTCCCAAGCCCGAGATCATGGATCCCACTGTCCATTTCGGTACGGCCCCCTTCTCCCCGTGTTGGAGTTTTCCATCGTTAGACTTGGGTTGTCGCATTTCCCGACCCAGCTCCTCTTCCCTCCGACATTGCTGACATTTCGTTGTCCTATGCTAGACGTCATCAAATCCGAGTTGACCAGGCAAGTCTTCAATGTCACGCCTGAGGTTTGCGACGAATTGGCCGCCGCAGTGGATCAAATCTGGGGCAGCGAAGCTGATCCCGATTTTGAATACTACTCTGATGCCGACGGGTGGAAGACCGTGGTGCTCTTCGACAGTCTCACCAAGATCGTTGCCAGAATCTCCAACAGGGTCTTTGTCGGCCTGCCACTCTGTGAGTATCTTCTCTTTTTCTCCTCAAATGGAAGATTGCTACATGCGGAAACGCAGACGGTGGTGTATAGTGTCGGCCGGAGATGGAATAGCCCTTCATCGTGCCCATGACAGTTTCACCGTCCTCTTTAGAAAAGAGACCGCCTCTATATTGACAATGTTCACGGAGCAAATGCTAACCCGAAATCGGTTGCAGGCCGTGATGAGCAATATCTCAAGAACGCTATCGGTTTTGCCGAAGACATTGCCTTTTCTGCAACAATTCTGCGTCTCTTCCCCGGCATAGTTCGGCCTCTTGTCGCTCCAGTGGCTACGTACTCAAATCGTAAACACACTCGTGAATATACTGAAATCCTCACACCCGAGATTATCCGGCGTCAACGCCTCCAGCAAGAAACTGCGAGTGGCCCCAAATCCGAACACAAGGGCAGCGAAGCGGAGCAGACTGGAGACGAAGCGAAGAACGACTTCCTCCAATGGCTCTTAACCCGCTCGCTCACGAAATCGTATCCGTTGCCGGACGAAACGGATCCGCGAATCATCTCTGCACGCCTCCTGCATGTGAACTTCGCATCCGTGCACACGACCAGCTTCATCGGTACCAACGCCTTACTGGATATCCTTGCCGCACCAAAGAATGAGCGCGTCTTGGAGACGCTGCGAAAGGAGGCGCTAGACAACATGGAGCCAGATGCAGGGTCTGGGCCGGCTTCGAGTATGTGGTCGCGCACGGCTATCTCCAAAATGCACTACCTCGACTCTGCCCTACGGGAGAGTTCACGCCGTGCGAGTATCATAGGCGTGGGTGTTAACCAAAAGGTCGTTGCTCCGGGTGGCATCACGACACCCGATGGTACGCATTTACCTGAAGGATGCATGGTCGCCACGCACAGTTGGGGGTGCCACAATGACGAGAGCCTGTATGAGGGAGCCGACAAATACAAGGCTTTTCGGTTTGTGGAGCTGAGAGACAAAATCTCCAGTGGAGTCGGGGATGGCGATCGAGACAAAGCGGAGCGGGAGAAAGAGTACCTGGACAAAGCCCACCTCTCCTTCATTGCGACCTCCCCTTCCTACCTCGGGTTTGGACACGGTCGGCACGCCTGCCCCGGAAGATTCTTCGCCGCGCAGGAGTTGAAGCTGTTACTCGCATATCTGCTCTCGCGGTACGAGATCCAAATGGTGATGGAAGGTGGATTGGGAGGGAACTGGAATGGGAAGGGCATCAGGCCCGAGTGTTACTGGGCGGGACCGAACCACGTCCCGCCGATGAGCGCCAAAGTGAGGGTGAGGAGAAGGAAGGAGTTCCAATAGTCTGGACCGAGCACTGTGTGAAAAGGTCTTCGTTTTTGGGGGTCCATGGTCGAGTGACCCCAATGTCCCGAAGATGATGTTAATCGTTAGACCAGCGCGAGCATTTCGGGACGTACCTAGTATATATAAGATCCTTGATTGAGATTGATCAGCACCGCCCGAGATTGACGGATGCCAATAGCTGTCGCAGTCAATGTTGATCGGCGAATGACATTGCCTTACGGCTCAATAAGGAGGTGTCTTCAAGTCGAAAGTCGTTGCGCGGCACAAGTGATGCAAATAGAAGTGCCTTCCACGCACCGAGCCATCACATCAGCTCACCCATGGCTCTTAGCAGGACAGGCTGTGCCACCTTCTGGTCAGTCTCAGCCATCCTCCTGCCCGCCGACCTTGGGCTCCCACTGACCCATTTCCTCATGCTGCCGCGCCCTCCAAAACCCCTTGCCGTAACTCACCACGATCTCCTCCCCCTTTGCGATCCCCTTCGCCCTCTTACCTCCGCCCTTCCCGGCCTTGCCTGGACTCAGCACGAACACGCCGATCCTCCTCTCCCACTTGCCGTTGGGAGCGGCAGCGGCCACCTCGACCCAACAGTCCTTGAACTCGGCGTTGGGCCCCTCGGGCCGGACGCCGCGGTAGTCGTTGATGAAGCGCGCCTCGTTGCCGCGCCGCGAGGCGTCGATCGCCAGGTCCAGCTCGCGGTCCAGGCTGAGGTCGTAGTCCGACGCCGGGTCGATGGGGGTCGACGACGAGTGCAAGGTCCCCAGGTACAGGATCACGAGCGACGAGGGGGGGAGAGCCCGGGTCGCGAAGAGGCCGTGTTGGGTGTAGGCCGGGTGGGAGGGGTCGGTGATGGGTTTTATCTGGACCAGAGGCGACAGCGGGCCCGGCGACGGAGCAGGGATGATGGGAGGCGAAGAGGGTGACGGTGAAGATGGCCGTGTGGTTGTTTGGAGGAGGTCCGGGGACAGAGGAGGCGGGATGTGCAGCGTCGAGAGATAGATGATCTCTTTGGGCCAGTTCTTTGGCAGGGCGGTCGTCGGCTGTCTGAGTGGCATTGAAAGGCGCTTGTTGAGTGGTGTGCTGGTACACGGCGGTGTTGGTTTACCAAAGTGATTTGTATGCCGACGAGGTGGCAGAGAACAAGGGGCTTCGTCTAAGTTTCCCCGGCCACTCTCGGTCACCCACCCACACAACACCTACCGAGTCCACGTTCTCTGTCTTCTGTACTGCTCGATTCCTGACTACCTTCTCTTCACAGAAGTACATGATCCTGATTGTGTCAAAATGTCGAGGACCACAGATTTGCCAATATCTCAAACACAAATCTAAACCATCAAGACCCGTTTATGATCACATTAAGAACTAACAACCACCAGATCCATCAAACACCGCCAAACTCGACCAAACACTATTGTCCCTCGAGCATTACCACGATCTTCTTCGCGCTGACACCCTTCTTGTGCAGGTCCATGGCATGTTGTATGCTCTCCAACCCGTGACCCACGACTTCGGAGTCTGGTGCTGCCACAAACGATCCTTCGGCCAAAGCTTGCGGGACAAAGTGCTCATACATGGCCGGCCCGACTTCGTTGTCCACCAACGTGTCGCCCACGATGAAGCTGCTCCGGATCCCATGTCTCTTGGCCTTGATCCACAGATATATCAGCGACGTGATATAGTGAAAAGCGATCTGGGGCACGACGAAGCGCTCGGGCGGTGTCTGGGGAACAGGATAGCTCGCCATGGCGAGGAACTTGTTGCCCTTGCAAGAGGCGAGGATGTCCAGGCATTTCTCTGCCGCGCCTTGGCCGATCGACAGTGCCCCAGCTGTGGTACGCCCCTTGAACGCCGTCCTGATGTCTGCCACCACCGTTGGGCTCTTGTAGTCAAACACGTCCACGGCTCCGAGATGCTTCACAAGGTCAAAGTTTCGCGGCGAGGCGGTGGCGATGACCTCGTATCCGGCCGCGACGGCGAGCTGGATCACGTTAAAGCCCACACTTGTCGAGCCGCCCCAGACGAGCAGAGTCTTCCCCGTGGGTTTTGCGGCAGGCACGGCGGGGAGCTGCATGGCAAGCTGATCTATCTGGAACAGACCGCACGCCGCAGTGGACAGCCCGAGCGGAATCACGGCCGCATCCTCGTAAGAGAGGGTGTCTGGGATATGCGACGCCATGTGCGCCAGGAGGACTGTGTATTCCTGGAACCCGCAGTGCGAAGCAAAGTTGTGCTTCTTGGCCATTCCAATGGCGTGGCCGACGACGCGGTCGCCGACCTTGAACCGCGCCGCGACGTCCTTGCCAACCTCGACAACTTCGCCCGCCACATCGCTGCCCAGGATTGCAGGGTACTTTACCCAGTCGAAGAGCAGGTTGCCCAGGCTTTGCTTCATGTGGTCGAGCGGGTTGATGGCGACGGCGCGGTTCTTGATCACGATTTCCGATTTGCCCGGTCTGGTATAGGGGGCTGACTTGACCTCGAGAGGTCTCGCTTTGGCGGACATTAGGTAAGCGGATCTATTGGACGGCATCTCTCAAGTTCCGACGTACGACAAAGGTATGTTATGGTAAGTTGTGTCGATGGAGTGGAATCTGTTCGGCAAAACTTTGGATTGCGGGTGTCTTGCACTATCGTTGTCTCCTGCGATTTTTCAATCCTCCCAACAGTTTAGGTAAGCTCCTCCATCTATCTCGGGATTTTGCTCTGGTATATATACATGTATCCCTTGCTTGTGTCCTGGCGGCATACGGAGCGACCTCAATGAGGAGTGGGCATTGCGACCATCCGACTCTCCATCGTCCGATCCTCCGACACATCAAATGTCCGCCCGCCCTCGCGGAGGACTTCAGCCCTCTTGTTTCAGGGTCTTTGCGCAACACTTCAATTGGCAAGGACTCTCCCCTTTGAGGTTTGACATCATCTACGCATCATGGCCGCAGGTATAGAGCCGAAGATGGATACGGTTGGGCGTGGAAGGGAAATGTGCGCTTTTGACCCGCTACTCCTCCTGAACTTGCGCCGTTGGTCTTTCTGGAGAATAATAGAGAGAAGGTATCCCGGCACAAGCTTGAGCGGTGATCTATTTGGCAGATGATGACATGCCGGGCTTCTTCTGCGTTTTCTTCGGGCCCCCATTTCCTGCAGTCAGCCCAGAACTTTCGATTACCACATTAGAGTCTGAGATCAATAGCGGGACGGGTACGGAGTAGTTGGTTTTGGCACCTGCAGTGGCCTTGTCGGCAGTTTGGGGGCTGAGTCCGCCAACTTTAGGTGGTTAGCCAGTGATAGATACTGCCCAGGCAGCCTGAAGCCCCCGTAACCCGGGGAAGCTCGAAGCTGACAACGCCAACTCAGTAGTCGGAGCGGCCTTCCGGTGACGCCTAGTGGGCGGCTGCAGGCGTCACAGCTCCCCCCGTTTCCGCCTAGTCAGCCCCAGGTGGCACTAGTTCGATACTGCTGCGTTGGACAGCAACCACCACGCCACCAGCTCTCTCCACCTCCAAAACACGCTTTCTTTAACTTGACCTCAATCTCACCATACTCCTTTCCATCCCGTTCATCCTGTGCACGACTCTCTTGCCGTGATGGATCGCCATTCATTATCGAGCAGCGGTGCTCGCATCGGCGAAAAGTCACCGCTGCTTCGAGATGAAGAAAGCAGTGCACCACCCCTGACTCCCCGCTGCCCTTCTTGCGGCCGTCACCGGAAGCAACCATTCCACTGGCCTTTCTTCGGTGTGTTCATGGTCTTTTTCGTGATATGGCTTGGTTTTACCGGCTTTTTGACGAAGAATGCTTTGCGGACGGGTCCTGGGCTCAGCCTCTGGTCCGGGAGCTGGCCTTTCTCGGTCAATGGTGAGTCTCACTGTGAACTGGGTAGTAATCCCTTAGTTTATTGACACTCTGAAGTGAACAAGGAGGACCCAGAACTGAGTGGAGCTGATGTCTGCCTCACTCCCGCATGTGTCCATGCCTCCTCCGAACTGCTTTACAACTTGTCGCCCGAGTACAAAACCCTCGACCCGTGCACCGACTTCGAGGAGCTCGTTTGCGGAGGATGGCGGGACCGTCACGATCTCCGTCCAGACCAAGGCGACGCCTTTACCGGCACCATCATGGCAGAGAACTCTCAGATGCTTCTCCGCCATATTCTCGAAGCTCCATATCCCGGATTGTCGGCGGTAAGTCCCTGGCAGCAGGTTGATGATCTTTGGTTCTGTGCTCATATACCTGCTCCAGCATTCCTACTTCTCCCCCGCCGCACTAGACGGTGCCACTGGCTCAGTTGACAAGGAGAATTTCGACAAGCTCAAGGCTGCCTATGACGCTTGCTTGGACGAAGACACCATCAAGAAACTTGGGGTGGCCCCATTGGTCGAGATAGTCAACACCACCTCGAACCATTTCTCGTCTGGCGACCTGTCTTCCACCATCTCATTTATGCTCGAGACCGGGATGTCGACTTTGATATCTGCTGACACCGGTGCCGACGACAAAGATCCAGACACGGTGGTCGTCTCTATCTCGGCCCCGTGGAGTGTCGGTCTACCGGCGAAGGAAATGTACGAAGACGAAAATCTCGTGAAGAAGTACGAAGATACGGCCTCGAAAGTCCTCTCAGCTCTCCATGAGCAAGCCGCGGCGGATGCAGTGGATGCTCGCGCTTTGGTGGAGTTTGAGAAACAGCTTGCGAAGGCTTCGCCCAGTGCTGAAGACCGCAACGACGTTACAGTGAGCGGGGAATGCTGTTTTTGCAATGCCAAATTACTAACCCACCAACAGAAATACTACAACCCCATGTCGCTGGCCGATGCAGATGCTCTGACTCCACAACTGAAGCTGTCAGATATCCTCGACAGCCTCGTACCGGCGGACTACAAATTGGAGAGAGTCATAGTCATGGCTCCACAATATATGAAGGATCTCAGTAAACTGCTTGCAGAAACTCCAAAGAAGACCCTGCACTCGTTCTTCATCTGGAAGGCAATCCAGTCATACGCTAGCTTCATTGAGGCCGATGCTGTTGTTCCACTCAAACAGTTCTCGAACGAGTTAGTGGGCAAGGTACTACCCCTCTCCCAATCCTATTATTCTGCAACTGACATGTATTAGGATCCAGATACAAAGCCAGAACGGTGGAGGACGTGCGTCTCCCACGTCGACTTTGGAGTGGGCTGGATCTTGAGCCGCTTCTTCGTCGAGAAAGCCTTCTCCGCCAAGGCAAAAGCGTTTGGTGATCAAATTGTCTCCGATATCAAGGATCAATTCATTGAAAAGCTGAAGGTCACTGAGTGGATGGAGAAGGAAGTGATTGAGCTAGCCATTTCAAAGGTCCATAACATTGTCCAAAAAATTGGATATCCAGACAAGGTATGTCATGCTCCAAGGGCGGTCGACCGTTTGCACAATACTGACATCTTCTACCCACAGAGCCCCAATATTATGGATCCTGTGAGTTTGAAGAAATACTACGACCCAGTCAATATTACTTCCTCGACGTACTTTGGCAATGCAGTGTCGGTCATCCGTGCCGAGCTCTCTCGTGAATGGGCTGCCCTAGGCAAGCCTGTGGATAGGAATCAATGGTTCGTCACGGCTTCTTGTGGAGGTGTCTGGTGCAAAGTGCTGACAATCTTTTCAGGGATATGACCGTTCCGACTGTGAACGCATGTAAGCGCTTACCCATCCCTGCTTCTCGACTTGAGACCATACTAATTTGCAGACTACAACCCTCCTGGCAACGAAATCGTTTTCCCGGCAGGGATCATGCAGGTCAGTCATATCGAAGTGAGTTCCAGCTTCGGAGAGCTAATCCGAACAGTTCCCTGTCTTTGACGTCGATGTCCCCCAATATCTCAGCTACGGCGCCTTCGGGTCCGTGTCTGGGCACGAGCTCTCTCACGCATTCGATTCCACCGGTCGCCATTACGACCAGAACGGCAATTTCACCGACTGGTGGACGGAAAAGACGGTCGAGAATTTCAAGAAGCGCGCAGAGTGTTTCGTCGAGCAGTATGCCAATTTCACTGTGCCCGGGCCAGACGACAAACCGCTACACGTCAACGGCCGATTGACTTTGGGAGAGAACATCGCCGATGCAGGAGGTCTAGCTGCGGCATTTGCAGCGTGGAAGAAGCGTGCGGCGGAAAAGCCAAACCAGGACCTTCCCGGCCTGGAATTCTTCACCCAGGAGCAGTTGTTCTTCGTCAACTATGCCAATTGGTGGTGCGGAAAGACAAGGAAGGAGACTGCCATTCAGCGCATCTACCTGGATCCCCATGCGCCAAAGTTTGCGAGGATCCTGGGTACCATGGCCAATTCGAGGGACTTCAGGGAGAGCTTCCAGTGCGAGAAGAAAGAGCCCGTCTGTGAACTGTGGTGAGGGGTGAACGGGTTTGCGAGGCCCAAGCAGGCCTGTCTGCATTGCATCAAACGGCTGGCATTGCGCTTTCAGTTGCCATCAAAATCTGGACGGACAGGAAAAGCACATTTGGGCAAAAAGCTGGGCATCAACGAGCATAACCTCATTGGAGTCTTTCTGTAGTGTTTGTCAGACAATCATTCTGTACCCACCGATGTCCCGATGGATGTCAGTCGTTGGGGGCATCGAAGCCCAAATAGTTCCATTTGCTTGTCAAAAGCGTTACTCCAGTATTTCGTGGGGTTCAAGGAACTTGTTGCTAATGACAAATTGTTCGGGCTGGTCGTATGGTTAACGGTGGTGGCATGGTATCCCCTCCCCCGCCTGATGCGCATCGCTTAGTCGACGGAAACTCTCGCTGCCTAGATTTTTGTGGAGGCGCAGTACGCTCGAACGAAAGGGATACGATAGAGAACAAGCTAGGCGCAACACGTTTGGGCTGCTGTGTAACCAGTGCTATGGCCGTGGAGGATAAAAAGCCAGACCAAGGCGGGGTGAAGGCGTGACGGGTTCAGACCACATCGCTCACATTCCACCAGCTTGACTCTAACACTTCTCACCTTCAGGATACGACTCTGCGCGTTGACCCCTTCACTTTGACTGCATCGACAACGACGGCACGAATCTAAGACCCTCTCCTATCAAACTCCACTACCGCCATGGCAAAGTCTCGTGAAGAGCTCAACAACCTCGCTCGCCAGCTCAAATCCCTTCATGTCCCTGGCCAGCCTCTGATCCTGACAAACGTCTACGATGCCTGCACTGCCTCGGTGGTAGCCGGCCTCCCCTCGACCAAGGCCGTGGCAAGCGCCTCTTTCGCGATCGCAGCCAGTATCGGCATCGAGGATGAGAACACCATGTCCCTCAACGACAATCTCGCTGGAGTCCGCAGGGTGGCTGCGGGGCTCCGCAACGCCGGCAAGGCCGATGCACTGCCATTGACGGCGGATCTGCAGGACGGGTACGCCGACCCGGGAGAATCGGTCAGACGGGCCATCGAGATCGGAGTGGTCGGCGCCAACATCGAAGACGTCGATAACAGCTCCCAGCCAGCGAAACTGAGACCCCTCGACGAAGCAAAGAGCCGCATCGAGGCCGCCGTCCGCGCCGCCAGGGAGGCAGGGGTCCCCGATTTCGTGGTGAACGCGCGAACGGACGTCCTGGGGTTCGACGGCACGATTGACGACGTGGTGGAGCGCGGGCGCGCATATCTAGACGCGGGGGCTACCACCGTGTTTGTTTGGGGCGTGAGGAAGAAGGTCATCACCGAACAGGAGGTGAAGGACATGGCTACCAGGCTCGACGGCAAACTGGCCGTGCTTGCACAGGGCTGTACCGTCGAAACCCTGAAGCAGGCGGGCGTGAGCCGCATCTCCGTGGGGCCTACGCTGTTGTTGAGAGCGCTCAAGTTTATACAGAACGAAGCTACGGCTATTCTGGAGGCGAAGGAGTGGTCTATGTGAGACCCGAGGCCTCAAAAAGTGAGAGTCTGTAAGAAAGGAGGCGTGATCATGTCGGATTCATGAGGGTATCCTTTTTACCTTACTTCCTCAGGCACAATATACCCACTGGTTTTGGACGACCTTCCTTTTTTCGCTGTTGCCCTCCCGACTTTTACCACCCATTAATTCCTCCCTCCTCGGAAAACCAAGCGACTCGAAGTGGATTCGCGGGCTCGAGTCGCCTTGGACGGGATTCCGCCATTCGCTGGGGACGCGGCATCTGTGCGAGGCACATCTCTTGGCCAGCTTGGCTCGAGGCGGGCTGGTCGACATGCCGCCAATCGCTCATCTTCTACCGCTGACTCAGGAAGTCAAGTTGTGGGAAGAAAAGAGGTGGCAATACCGGCGTGATACGTTGGGGGTGATGCAGAAAAGGGGAATATGTCTAATTCGAGGGAGTCTCCTGTGCTCCTCAGGACGACAACATCCAGCATGAGCGACTCCAAGTCAACATCCTACCGGCAAGGAAGGCAGATACCATCTTCACACTTGCGTTTCTCGGAAAACCACTCATAGCGTGGACGAGACTCCCTGCTTGAAGACCGGCGACAACTGTTTCTATCTGCACCCACATCTATACGGCCTCAGACGACGAGATCGCCCACTTGTGGCCTGCGATATGCCAAAGGTCAGAGTCTTCTTCGTTGACTGCCACCCGAAACGCCCGCAAAGAGACCGTGGGCTGGACGACGCCGAGCGCAGGGCCCATGCTGCCCGCGAGACACACAGGAAAAAGGAGGCTCAACGGGACAGACTCCAGTCGCGCCATGTCACGTCTCCAACCAGTCAGTCGATCCTATCTAGGACCGATCCTTTCGGGTCTGCATCTGTCAAAATTGACAATGCCGTAGCTGGTTTACTTCACTACTACGTCTATTTTTACCATCCCGCCCTGTGGCCCAACGAAATGACCGTCCTTCGGCAGGGGGTGTACACGTTCAAAAGCGCTGTCGACTGCATCATGCGCACGGTCGTCGAGGACAGACTCACCATGTACTGTCTCTTAAGCGCCGCTGCGTGCCGACTCCAGTTCATTGATCGCCTTCCTTGCACGCTGGTGGTCGGGAAGGACGGCCACTATATGCGCAACGCGCTCCAGCTGCTGCGCTCTCGGATCGACACGCGGTCTTTCCAGACATCGGAGCAGCTGAGGCAGCTACTGATCTGCATCATGTTCTTGACCTCAGCCGAGTGCTACCGCGACGACGTTTCCGCGGCCAAAACACACCTGCAGGCTGCGGTCGGCCTCCTTGAACGAAACGGCGGGCTCATGGCCATCCAGGATGAAAATTTGCGGGGCCAGCTCGCGATGGCTGATCTGTATCTCGCCTGCGTCAAGCTCAGACCTTGTCTTTTTGCGTGGGACTACGACCCAGGTCCGGCCAGTATTCTTGGACTGAAAGAACACGAGTTGTCTCCTGCCCAGTCTGAGAGCAGAGCAATTTCTCTGTTTAATAGAGACACGTCGATAGTACCCGTGGAGCTGAGAGCTGTGGTCGAGCAGTTGGTCGAGTCGTACGGCGTCAAGAGTCGCCTACTGACCTCCTCCATGTCGGCAGCACGAGCTCTCCAGGTCACCCACTGGATCACGACCCGAAACATGGCCATTAGAAACAAGATGCTGGCACTCACCACGCGCGACCCTCGAATCCACGCTCTCAGGACAGCGATCATCATGTGGACCCTGCTAGCGATGAACGTGACGGGCCGCGCAAAGACCGTCAAGGTCATGGCGCCCATGTTGAAGGAGATCCTGGCGCAAACCCAAACAACACCCGACGGCTGGGTTGGCAGCGAGGACATTAGGCTGTGGATTCTGGTCGTTGGGTTCTCCTGCGCCGCCGAGGGGAGCGACGTCGCCGAGTGGTTTGCGGAGCAATGCTCCTTCGCCTCAAGCTGGTGTCTGGGCTCGACAGAGCCAACGCTGTGCTGGAACGACGATGACGACGACGATAGCCTCCTCGCAGAGAGACTCGAGACCTTCCAGTGCCGAGGCTTCTTCTTCGACGTGCTTGTGCAGAGGCCTCGGACGAGGAGACTTGCCCAGGCGATCAGCGCTAGCTGTTGGATTGACTGCTCGAGCTGACAGTGTTATTGTGGAGGCGAGTACCGAGTGATAAAGCACGTCGAAACCAACAATGCACATTGACTCTGTGCACGGTAACCAAGGATGAAACATACATTCCATTACTTGGTATGGTTAGACTCTCTTTGATGTCATCCAGATCGTGCTGTGCCAGATTCGCAAACTTGCTGCGCTTGATTGCCATGGCAATGATTGCACCGCAAGTATCGCCCAGGCTTATGTTATACAGTGATAGGACACGATATTCATGCAGCGTTTAATTATTGCCTCAGATACAAGATTCAAGCCACTCTTCCTCTGTGCCGAAATACCTCTGCATCACTTTGTTGCAAGCCTCACGCGCTCTCTGCTGTCGCATCGCATCTTCTTTGCGACCTTGATCCGCTCCCCTGCCAATCCTCCAGCAATCTAGCCCTGGGGTATCCTTCACCTCCTCTCTATCATCGTCAGTACAGCTCAGATATCTCGGGAGAAGAGTCATGTCAGGGGCAGAACTCAGAAAACGACCACTGCCCAAAGTCACCATGAGCACCACAAACGCCCTCACAACCCGGTCGGAGGCTAACCCGCGAACCGTAACGTGGCAGGAGATTCCCGAATGGCAGCTCGACAACGAGTATATCCTCGGTGGCCATCGGCGAGAGAAAGCAGACTATCTGGACATCTTGACCAGCGTGACCTTTCTGCACAACGAGACTTACAATGTACATACTCATCTCTCCGGGGCTGTCCTCCTCCCACTCGTCGCCGCTGCATTCCTGCGGTCACTGCCCGAGCCTCAATTTCTCAATGTCTCGTCCTTGGACTACGCTATGCTTGGAATCTACTTCTGATGCGCGGAGATCGGTTTGGTCATGAGCTCCCTTTACCACCTGATGCTCCCCAGCTCGCATCCCGTCGAGCGGTTCTGGCATGGAATGGATCTGCTTGGTATTGTCGTTGTGACGGTGGGCACATCCTCCTCCGACATCTACTACGTTTTCTTCTGTGAAGCGAGCTTGCAGAAATTGCACTGGGCTATTGTCAGTCTCTCCGAGCGTCCGTCACCACCGCCCTTCGCTTTTTCCTTTTCTTTGCAGCCCCATCACAGGAAAACATACGCTGACATGAATTCAAGATCCTAACCACGGGCACTGCCATGCTGTCCCTCCAGGCTATTCTACCGAACCAGAAATTGGCCCTCTGTCATCCTCTTCTGCATCGACAAGCAACAACGCTGTTGCCAGTCCCCATGGCAGAATGGCAGACAAACAGAAGAATGTGGGCACTGGTATTATTCACGAAGACCCTATTGCGAAACGGATTCAGGGTGGCATCGAGTATAATTCCATGAAGTAGTGGCAGGCTGGGATAGTCATGGCCGCCGAAAAAATCTCATTAGGGATCCTGTCACTCCATGCAGCAATGACAACTCTCGCCTTGCTCCCTGTAGGCCATGTCAAAGAAGGCACAGGTTCTGCATATCGACTAGTGGCACGCTCATCAAGCTCTAGACTTCATTCGTCCTCGTCCCTCCCTCGACCTCTGCCATCAGTCTGTTGTTACTCTCCCCGCGTGCAGTCCGCCCGTAACGAGTATCTCTGCGCCCGTCGTGTAAGCCGAAGCATCGCTCAACAAGTACACTGCCGCGCCCGTCAGGTCGTTGCGGTTTCCGATCCGTCTCATGGGCGGTGCATTCTCCATGATGTCGACCAGCTCGGGGTTCCTTTCGCGCAGAACCTTTGTCATGTCGCTCTGGATGTACCCGGGCGAGATGACATTACAGCGGATGTTGAGCGGCGCCAACTCGACCGCCAGCGCCGTGCTCAGCATCTTGACGGCGCCCTTGGACGCGTTGTACGAGGACAGCAGCGTGCGCGGGAGCGCGACGTGCGCGCACACGGACGCGATCAGCAGCAAACTGCCCCCAGTGCCCTGTTTCTGCATCTGTTGCGCCGCCAGCTGCGCGGTGAAGAACGTCCCGTTGACCTGTATCCGGTTGTCAACACCGGTAAATCGCCTACGTCGACAACGGGGGTCACAAAACGCACATTGATGTCCATGACCTTTCGGACCGTGTCCCAGCCCTGCTCAAGAAACGGTCCTTCCGGCGCGATCCCCGCGGCCGTCACGCTACGCGACGTCTTCTCAGCAAATGTGCAACAACCTTGGGGGGGATCTGCATCTTCTTCTCAGGCTTCGGAAGCACTTACCACCCGTCCAGCGTGCCCAGGGTTTCCATCGCCCGGGCAAACGCGCCCTTCAGGCTCTCCTCGCTCGTCACGTCCGCGTGGATGTACGTGACCTTGACGCCGAAGTCGCTCTCGAGCGTGTCGAAGTCCGACACGGGCTGGTCCAGGAGGTCGAACACGACGACGTTGCCGCCCATCTCGGCGATGGCGCGCGTGATGGCGTACCCGATGCCGCGCCCGCCCCCCGTAACGATGAAGTTGCGGCCCGTGAGCTCGAACGTCGGACGCACGGGCTTGAGGTCGCCATCGTGGAGGAGGGGGGTCATTGCTGCGACGGTCCTTATTTCCAGACTTTTGGCAAGAGACGAAACCTACACTTCCCGGCCGAATCGTGTATAATATACTCTTCTCGCCCAGATGTCCCCCCACACCTACACACACACCTACTCCTTACACCCGCCCACACAAGTCCGGTTCGAACATGCCCAGGGCTCACAATCGGTCACACCCAGCGAACGCGCGGGGTAGCATCGAGCGCGGAAAAGTCAGTCCTTGGGGGTTTTGTCCAGCCTCGGCTATGTGGACTGTGTGGACTGTGATACCAGAAGTTGAACCTTGGTCTAGTAGCCGACCTCGCTTCTACGATGGCCACCATCAAAACTAAACATATTACGCGTTGCTTTATATACTGAGATTGACGCCCTTCTGCGGCTATAGCCCTGTGTGGTAGAACTGGCCCTGAAGCCTTCCCTCTTGAGTGTCACTCCGACATCCTGGCGTCCACCACGCTCGCTCTAGGATATCCAGGAAACTCCTCTCCGACTTCGATACCCGGGGTTTGATCTCAGCTTTGCGGGGAATCTGGGGCCGCAACTCGCCATCCCCCACACATGATCCTGGATCGAGCAGAACTAGGTTGGTTCAACCTTGTGCCAGGCCAATCGCTAGTTCTTCCGAGTATCCTTGTCAAAGACTTCCTCGCTAGACGCTCGGCAGCTTCAAGGCCAGGAACGAGTGTAGACGAGTCGGTCAGTGTCTGAGGAGGACTGAGCCAGCAAACTGGTCTCGCCGAGTTTACGCTTCCAGGTGAAAGGTCTCACTCATTGGCCTAGAATGGCGCACGGCGCTATCTGTTCCCATGGCGAATTCCAGCCCAGCCTTAATACATTGGTTGACGGATTTCAACAATACATTCAACTTTGCTAGTCGGAAAACGCGACGTTCCTCTCGGCAAGCAGATCCGGTTCGTTGAGAGACCCTACCGATCCACTCCAATGATATACTTTAGGCCGAGATGGCGTGGAAGGGATTATGGATCGCGTGCACAACGCAGGTAGATTCTTTCGACCCAAATCACAATGCCCAGCGTAACCAGACTGCTGGTCACCCCCCTCGCCCCAACCTTTGCAGCCGAAGTGGAGGGCGTCGACTTCTCAAAGCCCGTCGACGATGCTCTATTCGAAGAACTCCGCGCCACGCTGCACAAGTACGGGGTCATCATTTTGAGGAAGACGGCGCTCGACGACGAAGGCGCGCTGGCCTTGGGCCGACGCTTCGGCGACCTCGACAACGTCAAGGCCCACCGAGCGGCCGGCCGCAAGTTCCGCATTGACAACGACGAGATCTTCGACGTGGCCAACCTCGACGAGAACGACCAGATCGTCACCGAAAAGGACCCCAACCGGACCGCTTCGGCCAACGGCAACGCTCTGTGGCACGCCGACGGCGCGTTCAACCCGCGACGCACGGGCGTGTCGATCCTGCGAGCGGTCGAGCTCCCACCACCCAACACCGGCGGGCACACCGAGTACCTCGACTCGCGGACGGCGTACGAAGACCTGCCCGAGGCGAAGAAGCGAGCGATCGAAGGCCTCGTGGGGCGCAACTCGCTCTTCCACAACCGCAAGACCGCCAACCCCGACTCCCCGCTCTTCCGCGACATCGACCCGATGGCGATGCCCATGGCCAAACACAAGATCGTCCAGGATCACCCCGAGACCGGCCGGCGGAATCTCTACATCACGTCGTACACGCACTCCATTGACGGAATGGGAGTCGACGAGGGCCAGAAGTTACTCAAGGAGCTTTTCGAGCACGTGCAGCAGGAGAAATACCGCTTCAGGCACGACTGGAGGGACAACGGTGACGTGGCCATCTGGGACAACACGGCGGTCCTGCACCGCGCGACCCACGGCGCGTACGAAGGCAAGTACCGCAGAGATCTGAGGAGGATTTCCGTCTTTGACATGGGCCCGACCGCGTACGGTGAGAATGATGTCTCGACGTACTGGCAGCAGGGTCTGCCATGATGTTCATAAGGTGGTGGGGACTACACGATAGGTTTTGGAATGGATGAGGTCGAGTTGAGAGTAGTTATGAAGTACAATGCATCTCAAGGCATTTGCATTCGAAGGTCTCTTAGATAGCCCTGATTAGTGGGTTCTATGAATATCTCCTCCTAATTGGTCAAGGCCGTAATGCCAAGACTTTACTCTGCGTTTTTGACTACGGAGGGGAACTCAGGCTTCGTCCAACATTCCTAATTGGGTTAGCGTACTGGTTAAAGCAGTTTCAAAACGCAGTATCAACACCGAGATCCTCCATTGTCCAAGCAAGTATTCATCCATGGATCCCAACAAGTGTATGGCCTCCTCGCCGGATACAACCAGCGATCTGTCTGGGCTCGTCTTGCCGGCCGGCCGTGCAATGAGCGTCCGAATCTCTGCTCGCTCTGGGGAATGGCGCAGACCCCAGGATTCTTCAAAACAAGGTTGATGATATCCGAGATGACCTCCGCCTCCTCTGGGGATGCCGGCTCTCTCCCCACAAGCTCTCGACCGGTCTCCTTTGTGGTACCAGAAATAAGCTGGGCGCTCCAACAGTGCATCGTCGAGCATTCATAACGACCCCTTCGTCTCTCGAATCTCGGTCAATCAACCAAGGGTCATCGTTGTCACCCATCGTTTCATCATGGAGACCAAAATCCACCGCCCGTACACCTGGAAGATGGTGCTGTACATCGTCAACGTCTGCTGGGCGTCGGCGGCGTACGGCTATGCCAGCAGTATCATCGCCACCACCCTCGGCCAGCCATCTTTCTACGCGTACATGGGCCTCGATACTAACCCCAACACCGCTGCCCTGATCGGCGCCATGAACGGCCTGTACTACACAGGCGGATTCATCGGCTGTGTCGCGATTGGCAAGATCGCCGACCGCTGGGGGCGGAAGATGTCCATCTATATCGGGATTGTCATCATTCTGGTTTCCAGCGCGCTGCTCGCGGGCTCGGTGAACACGGCCATGTTTATTGTGTTTCGCTTCTTCCAGGGCGTTGGGTGAGTTTGCCCGGTCTGCTTCCTCGCGGACACACCGACTGATGGGGCGCCAGGGCTTTCATCGAACTGGCCACCGTGCCTCTCTGGATCACAGAGGTGGTGCCGCCCGAAGACCGGGGCATGCTGATCGATCTGCACCCGATCTTCGCCAACATCGGCTACGTGATGGCGTCGTACGTGGGCGTCGGGTTTTTCTACTACAAGACCGCCGCCGGCAACGAGTGGCGCGCCCCGCTCGCGATTGGGTGTCTGCCCTGCCTTTTGTGTCTGGTCAGCATGCCCTTCGTGCCGGAGAGCCCGCGCTGGCTCCTCCTGCAGGGCCGCCGGGAAGAGGCGTGGCAGATCGTCGAGAGCCTGCATCGCTCGCACCACACGGACAACACCTCGTTCGCCGAACGGGAGTTCTACCTGATGCGCGAGCAGACCGAGTACGAGCGCACCCACAAGATGACGGCCGGGCAGATGCTGAAGAGCCCGGCGTACCGCAAGCGTCTGCTCATCGGCTGTGGGCTGCCGTTCCTTTTGCAGAGCTCGGGCGTCTTGGTCATCAACAGTCCGTAATCCCCCTTCCCATCTTTTCTTTTCCGGGGTGGATGGCTAATGGACGGCTTCGCAGATTACGGCACCCTGTTGTACAGCGGTCTCGGGTTCGGCCCGGAGCAGCAACTCCATCTCCAGGCCGGCTGGCTTGCCGTCTCGTTCGTGCTGAACTGCCTCGCCGTGCTGATCGTCGACCGCCTGCCGCGACCGGTGCTCATCACGATCGGCCTGGTCGGCGCCGCGGCGGCCCTGACCGTCGAGTGCGCGATCCAGGCGCACTACCTGGGGACGGACAACCGCTCGGCGCTCGCGGCCGGCGTGGCCATGCTGTACGTCTACGTCTTCTTCTACGCCATGTTCCTGGACGGGCCGACGTTCTTCTACCTGGGCGAGATCTTCCCGACCCACGCCCGCTCCCAGGGCCTCACGCTGGGCATGGCCAGCTTCTGCCTCGCGGACATCATCTGGCTGCAGGCCGCGCCCACGGCGTTCCAGGACATCGGCTGGAAGTACTACCTGTTCTTCATCGTCATCACGGCCGCCGGCGCAGCGTGGGCGTGGTTCACGTTCCCGGACACGCGGAACCTGCCGCTCGAGCAGATCGCGCGCCTGTTCGGCGACGAGGACCACCAGGCGCCGGAGTTGCGGGGCATGCCCGCGGAACCGGTGACAAAGATTGTCCAGCACGAGGAAGGGCGGACGGAGACGAAGCACGCCGAACTCGAGGAGGTGGAGAAGTTGTAGTGTGTTTGAGTCGATCGAGGACGAACCAGTCGGGAAGGAAGAGGGGGGAACAATTGAGGTGATATATACATTCATGTATGCCCAAAGAATCAGTTGTATAGGTCCCGTCAAGCGATCACCTCGCGACATCCAATGTACGCGCGAGGTTGATGTTTTTACTTTCCCCCCGTCTTCAACACAAGGGGAGCTTTGTCATCTCCATTGAACTTGTCTCATGCACTCCTATCTGTAACTTTCTACAGCGGATCAGTCTCGGGGTCGAGCGTCAGCCTTCCTTCTAGACTAACCTCTCCACGCTGGAGAGGCGAACTCTACGAGATCTCACTTCGGACATGGAAGGCCATCAACTAATGCACATCCTAGTGCTACACAGTTTTCAACCCTACGAAGAAGCCAACGTTTGGTAGTGGTGGCTCGCACGTTTCATGGTCGTAGAGACGAGGCAGGTGGGAGAAAGTGGAAGCTCCAAGGCACGACGACCGTCTTAATATCTCTTTGTCAATGCCATGGCATCCTATTCATCATATTTTACGACCCTATCGCCTCTGTGATGCTAATCGATGGTTTGCAATTCCCACCCTTCTTGACCCACGGTCCGGGCGGTCCGGTTTGTGTGCTCCGCTGATTCGTTGAAATACGTGGGTTAAGGAGTCGGAGCACCTGATCCGGGGGGCGCCGGGGTTCGAAGTCTCGAACACAACTTCAAGGGTGTCGACAAAGACGCAGCGGGTGGGATTCGGGTTTCAGGCCGCTGCTTCAAGCCTCGGTCGACCTCGCAAATCCTTCTAATGGGCGTCATCAGCGTGGCGGTGTTGCCGCCGAAATGTGACGACGTGGAAACGGCGACAATTGTCCCCAGCAGAAAGCCACATAAGTAGACGGGATTCCTTCAACCACCGCACCATGATTGCGACAACATCCAAGCTTGGAATCTCATCGTACAGATCAGTGTAACGCCATGTCGAACTCTAGGATGCTGCTTGAGAGGACGAGCACCGTCGGCTTCATCGGGTTGGGGGCGATGGGAAACCATATGGTCAGAGAGTCCACACCTCTTTGTTGCATGGGAAGTATTTGCTGATGCGAAGCACCAGTTCAACAACCTCGTTACGAGTGCGGCGAAGAGCTGCAGCCAGTTCAAAAGTTTTGCCATTTTCGACGTCAGCGAGAACGCCATGAACCGCGAGATCCAAAGACACAAGACGGAGCATCCGCTGGTCCCCATATTGAAGTGCTCGTGTAAGGAAGATGATCCCGAGTTTGGCTATGGTCCACTGTGCTAAAGTCGAATGTAGCTCCTGCAGAGGTGGCGACCAAAGCATCATACATCATCAGCATGGTCCCCACATCGACTCACGTCCAAGACGTCTACACCGGCGAGAACGGAGTCATGAGTGCCTTGAAAGAGCTCGACCAGGAGGCACGAGCGCAAACGCTGTGCTTGGATCAATCGACAATCGAGCAAAGTGCCAGCAAGGCGGTCGCGCTGAAGATGCGAGAAGTGGGAGCCGACATGATGGACGCTCCAGTGTCGGGAGGTGCGCTTTTCTCTTCATCATGGTCCACACCACAATGCTAACTGCGTGCAGGTGTTGTAGGCGCAAGAGACGCCACTCTTGCCATCATGGTCGGTGGTGACGAAGGGTCCTTTGAACGAGCTCTCCCGGTCCTGTCCCCCATGGCAAGAAAGGTGACACACTGTGGTGATCTGGGAACCGGCCTCGCTGCCAAAATCTCCAACAAGTGGGTTTTCATCGATCATCATTTCGCATTATAATGGATACTGATGTTTGGACATCGGCAGCCTTTTGCTTGGAATCACTATGCTCGGCTTGAGGTAAGACATACCGTGGTCCCCCGCCCAGGAATACCCCGTGCTGACGTGTCAACAGCGAAGCCACGCTGCTGGGCAGATCTCTGGGGGTCAAGCCCCAAGTCCTCGCCGACATCATCAACAACTCCACCGGCCGCTGCTGGTCAAGTGAGGTATGTCGCCCTCTCTCGGTTCCCCTGAATACAGGTCGTGATGGAGGGTCGTTTCGTCATTGTATCACACAAAAGGCACTGACAGTCACCACTCAGACGAATCATCCCGACCCAGCGGTGAAGGTTGGGGCCGCATCGCCTCCAGCCCATCGCAACTACGAGGGTGGCTTCGTGACCAAGCTCGCCCACAAGGACCTCGGTCTCGCCGTCAAGGCCGCAGAAGGTGCCCACGTCCCCCTCGAGCTCGGGAAGCGCTGCGAGGAGGTCTTCAAGCCGTTGGCGCGTGGTGAAGAATGGGCCAACCGCGACTTCAGCGGCGTGTTCCAGGCGCTGAGCGACCTCCGAGCCCATGCTGGACCACCTCAGGCCGCGTTGTGAGGAGATTGCGAGAGCCATGTAGTTAGTAGTTCCATAGCCAGCTGGGATAGACTTTTGGGAGCCCGGCACCACTCTATGAATTCTTTTCAACCGCTTAAAAGAGCTAAGGGGCGATTGTAGAGTCTTACTCAAGGCGGTGAGACCTCAACCCAACCTCCCCCTTCCCCTCCTCGTCTCTCCTTCGGAAAAGTCCTGCTTGCTCAGGGTTTTTCGCTCACCATGACCTTCAGGCCAACTGAGCGCCGACATTGACACTACCTGAGTTGAAGGGCTACAAGGCTACGAGTGCCTGACCCCCACCCAAGAATTAGGCCTTTATACTG